CGTGGCCTTTGTCCAGATTCAAATGGCAACAACCGTCTACGGGCTGAACGAGAACCAGCGGACGTTGGCACAGCTTCAAGAAGCCGCTACTGGGCTGGAATCGGCCATTTCTGCTCTGGACGAGATCGCAGGCCATCCCCAAACTCCCTACCCCAAGCACGACGTTGAGCAGCGTGCCAACATGGCTCGCAACACTCAACGCAAACAGCTCGAGAGAGCTATTGCCAGTCAGAAGGAGTACGAGGAGAAGAACAAGGAGAAGCTACAAGCTGCCCTGGAACAGCGTCAAGCCGAGCTCCGGAAGCGCGAGGAAGAGCGACAGAAGGCTTTGGAGAAGGAGCGGGAGAGGCAAGAGAAGATCCGGAGGGAGAGAGAGGAAATCGCGGCTAGGGACAGAGAGATAGCCGAGCGTCGTGCAGAGGAGGAGAAGGCTCGACAAGAGGCCGAGATGACGACTGATAGCGAGACTGGCGACAAGGTCAGGCGGAAGAAGAAGACGGCACCTCGGGGCGATGGCGAGAGCCGTCCGAAGAGGGTATCACGCAAGAAGAAGGCCGATACGGATGCCGACGATTCGGCCGAGGAGCGGCCAACGAAGAAGAAGCGCCGTCTTACAAAGAAGGAGTCGACGGCCAACAGCAAGTACAAGTCTGCCGAGATCATCGTGGATAGCGACTCGGACGAGGACGAGGACCCTCTCGACCGTGCCGAGAGAGCTCTCGAGAAGGCCAGCTCTCCTCTTTCGGACGCGGAAGAGAAGCGCGGAGATGACGATGACAAGATGGAAGTCGACAACAGGAGGGACGATGACGAGGAAGAAGATGAAGATACTGGAGTCAGTCGGCGACAGCAAAGTTCACGTTCCAGACGCGGCAGGGTCATTGAAAGCGACGAGGAAGAAGATGAGGACGAGGTCCCTACCAAGAACGGCGCTGGTGCAGACTCTGCTGACGAGGACGGCAAAGCGCGACGGGCAGCAGACACCAGTATGGCAGACGCAGACGACGACGACGAAGAGTAAAAAGCCAGAGTGGCCTGGTGAAGAGCTCGGTCGATGGGAGGCAACGCGATGGGATCGCTAGTATGTTCGCCTAGGAACCGGGATCTCGAGCACACACACACAAAAAAAGCGTCCGCGTCTATTTTGGCAGTTGTAGTATTAGTATGACAGGATAGGAATCACACAAAATGGCATGATGACCTCAAGGTAAAAGCATGGTTGAATGAGTCGAGTCGCCGCAAGGAGCCCATGTTGGGGCATGCATAGCTCAGCAGGATCTTCTGTACGTTGAAGATGGTTTGAACCTTTCGCGGTGAGAGTCAGTATCAATGGGGGTTTGAAAGCTGACCACGACATTGGCACCAGGTATCTACCCCGCGTAAGTGGGACGGGCTTCCGTGGTTGAACCCAAACTTGAGCGGCCAACCCCGCGCTCATTCCGGATCTCTGTGATGCCAGCGCTGGTGAAGGACGAAGACGACGAGTAGGTGCTTGCCCCAGTTCCCAGCACGAGCCTCTTAGGACCCTTCAAGGTTGGGCGCATTTTAAGCAACAGGTAATATCGTAGTATGGATAGGTCGATATCGTAGCACTCTTCCCGCAACGTTACGCGGACGAGCAAATGCATCCCTCCCGCGCAGTGGCTTCGAGACAATGCTCGTCGCAACTAACAACGAAAAACTAGCGGCGGCAGCGCGATAGATGGCTATTGGGCACGCTGCACTTGACGCATGTCGTCGGAGAGACTCCGCAAGTTGCAGATCGGACGGGGGACGGAAAAGGGATTCCCTGTGATGGGACTCTGAGAAGTCTGGAGAGCCTGGAGTCATGGACGAACGCGTAACGTGGTCGTCCCTGGTTCGGTACTTGAAGAGCGACGGGCGTGGTCTTGGCACCATGGGGAAGGGCACTATTGATAGCACCACCATGCGGATGGCTCAGCGTGGCAATGTTAAGCACTTATTCTCGGTCCAAGGTTCGCCATATGTGCCATGGACTTTGACCATGCCAGTGTAGGTATCAGTGTGTGGGATGCAAGTCCGGTTTAGAAGTGGTGGACACTGGCGCACACACCCCACACACAACCCAGAAGTTTAGTAGGCAGAGGCACACTGACAGAGACTCGGGAAGAGGTTGCGCCCAGATCTGCAATTTAGCGAGAGTTTGCCCGCACCAATCCGCTATCAACCCACGCCTCTGGCGCGGTGGACTTGCCTTCCCCCCCCCCAAACCCAATCCTGCCCCTATCAGTTTGGGGCCATTGGCTCACTGTATTTTCCCATGCTTTCCAGCGAGAATTGAGCTTCAACAGGCCACATCCATTGGCCGGCCCCTTGCGCGCAAAGCTCAGGTGGCCTCGCAACGACCTGTACAATCCACGCCCGCCCCTTCCCACGCCTCCATACCCCGCGGCGGGCAGTCCACAGGCTCACCACCGCAATGGCCGCATGCGACGCCTGCATGCACCGGCCTGCGATCGAATGGACGGTCTTCCGCACCGTAATCCACACACGCACGACGTTTCGTGTCCCGCCGTAAGTGCTTTCCGCCCATCTCTCTCTCTTGACCTTGATTCGGAGGGCGGGGCAGAAGGGAGCTGGAGCTTTGGGCTTATGTTACTCTGTGGCCGTTACGAGAGTTGTATAAAGACCGAGGGAGCTTCCACGACATAGCTTTTCGTTCACCTCGACTCAAGTCATTGCTTGGCTGCTATACCCGAGCTTGCCTTTTCTCCCATCTTTTTCTCCTGTGGTTTCGTCATCAACCTCCCCCCCCTTTTTCTCTCTCTCTCTCTCTCTCTCTCTCTCTCTCTCTCTCTCTCTCTCTCTCTCTCTCGATTAGATTGGCAGCAACAGCATCAGACTAAGAGTCTTCCAATATGGGTTCGATAACTCTCAGCAACGCCAGCAGGGCCTGGTGGAAAGACGCCGTCATCTATCAGATCTACCCCGCCAGCTTCAAAGATGCCAATGGCGACGGCCTGGGCGACGTCCCGGGAATCATCAGCAAAGTCGACTACCTCAAGAACTTAGGCGTGGATATCGTGTGGGTATCGCCCATGTACGCCAGTCCGCAGATCGATATGGGATACGACATTTCCGACTACCAGGATGTCCACCGCCCGTACGGCACCGTCCGCGATATGGAGGTCCTCATCGAGGAGTGCCACAAGCGGGGGATGAAGCTCATCCTGGACCTGGTGGTCAACCACACCTCGGACCAGCACAAGTGGTTCCAAGAGTCGAGGTCCTCGAAAGATAACCCCAAGCGGAGCTGGTACATCTGGAAGCCCCCCCGTTACGCCGAGGACGGCGCCCGTCTGCCTCCCACAAACTGGCGGAGCCATTTCAGCGGTAGCACCTGGGAGTGGGACGAGCCCACGGGCGAGTACTACCTCCACCTGTTCGCCAAGGAGCAGCCCGACCTCAACTGGGAGAACGAGGAGACGCGCGAGGCCATCTACGAAAACGCTATGCGCTTCTGGCTCGACAAGGGCGTCGACGGCTTCCGCATCGACACGGTCAACATGTACAGCAAGGGCGTCGAGTTTAAGGACGCCCCCATTATGAACAAGAACGCCTACGAGCAGCCCGCCTACATGATCTACTGCAACGGCCCGAGGATACACGAGTTCCTTCGTGAGATGAACGCAAAGGTCCTCAACCACTACGATACCGTCACTGTCGGCGAGCTGCCCCACACCCCGGACCCGCAGCACGTCCTCAAGTATATCAGCGCCGCCGACCGCCAGCTCGACATGGTCTTCCAGTTCGACATTGTCGACCTCGGCCAGGGCATCGGCTACAAGTACCAGGCCCGCGAGTGGAAGCTCCCCGAGCTCAAGCGCATCGTCGCCAAGTGGCAGCAGTTCATCGAGGGCACCGATGGGTGGACGACGGCCTTTTGCGAGAACCACGACCAGGGCCGCTCCGTGTCACGGTACGGCAGCGACAGCCCGAAGTGGCGCGAGACGTCGGCCAAGATGCTTGCGCTGATGATGTGCTCGCAGACGGGCACGCTCTTCGTGTACCAGGGCCAGGAGATCGGCATGACCAACGTGTCGCGGAACTGGGGCATTGAGGACTACAAGGACATTGAGGCACTCAACTTTTACGACGACGTCAAAAAGGAGCATGGCGAGGGCGAGGCGCTCGAACGCGTCATGGACAGCATCAACCTGCTTGGCCGCGACAACGCGCGCATCCCGATGCAGTGGGATGCCTCAGCGTTCGCCGGCTTCACCGACAACAAGAACGGCGCGTGGATGCGCGTCCACGACGAGTACGCCGACATCAACGTGGCCAAGCAGGAGGCCGAGCCCGGCTCGGTGCTCAACTTTTGGCGCGAGATGCTGCGGCTGCGCAAGGAGGAGGGCGAGCTGCTGACGCACGGCGCTTTCGAGCTGTTTGACGAGGAGAATGAGCAGACGTTTGTGTACAAGAAGACGCGCGCCGGAAGGAGTGCCGTCGTGGCGCTCAACTTTACGGGCGAGGAGCAGGAGGTGCGGATCCCGGGCGAAGGGTTGCAGGTCCGCGTCGGTAACTACGACGATGTCAAAGAGAGGGTTGCGGCGGAAGGGCAGAAGAGAGTGCTAAGGCCGTGGGAGGGACGGTTGTATTTGCAGGGTTGAACTTACGGTTTGGATATACCTTGAGATGATGGGAGAAGGGGCTTCTCAAGATTCCACTTTTCCCAGGAAAGGGATTTTGTGTGGTACAGAATGTTTCTATGATGATACCACGTCGACAGAGTAAGATAGCTAGCCGACGCTGTTGGTAATTTCGAGGATATGGTCTCATTTTAAGTAAAGGAAGCTGCTGCCTACTCCAAGACGCCGAGCGTACCAACATGTGACGGGTAACAAAAGGTCATGTAGACGTGATGGACCTTGAGAAATCAAGATGGGTTGTTTCAACCCGCATCGTTTGCTCTGTGTGTCAAAATGTCTAGGAGTCTTGGTCGGATAGCCTCAGCTAGGCAGAAGAACATAGTCTGTAGTCTACTCCTGAAGAGCCTCCGCCAACTGTCCCAGGAAATCAAAAATGCAAAATTGCATGGCCTGTTGGGCTAGGATATGGACCTCTAGCCAAGAGGTAGGAAAGGTCTCCGGGGTAAGGTCGAGCTGCAGGTAGAGAGGGAGAGGTCTCCAAAGAGGCGCGAATGCTTCAACCATCTTCTCGACGAACTCAGTAACAGGATGTGAGACCATGTTTAGGTTCTTCCAGAGTTCGGCCGGACCAGGGAGAATCTTCCGAGAGTCCTTTCCAAGGTGACCGCGGACCTCCTTGACCATCTCCTGGATAGTTGGTTCATAGTTCGGGGTAGAGCGCCAACGGACGGTGGTGTAGAGGGTGCGTACACTATCAATGAGCACAGTAGGGCGGTACCTTTGAGAGAAGCGACTTTGGGGTTGTGAGTACTAGAATAAAACGTGGGAATGAAATTGACTGCTTCTTACGTCTGATGCGGAAGACTCCTCCTCTAAGCAGCTGACGCTCCTCTAGCATAGCCGAGCGCCAGTACTTTGTGAGAATGACCCAAAGAAGGTGCTCCTCCTAGTAATTGCAACCCGCTTTTGAATGAATCCTCTCCAAATACCTCGTATTGTTTAGCAAAACATGTTGCAACCTCTTTCTTTCTGCCGGTAGACGCCGTAGGTTTCTCTGCACCATTCTCAAACTTGATTGAATCCTCGTTCTCGTCCAGCCACCGAGGAGCTCTTGCAACTTCGTGAGGCGCCCAGGAAACTCCATACTTTGCTGCTATCTGCTCAGAATATCGTTCCTTTGCCTTTCTGCAATACAGTATAGCCTGAAATTAGGAAAGGGGGATGACGATGCGTCAACGATGTCTATGAGAACTTTGTCCACCAGGGTAGCTTCAGCAGAAGGCGAGGCAGCCAGCCATGCTTGAGTTTTCTTAAGGCTGCTGAATTTGCGAAACTTCTGGGCATTGATGGTCCGCCTGGCTCTGTTGGGATCCTGATTCTCTGGAGACATGTTTTCGATTTTCTGTCATGTCTTCTTCGTGTTCCGGTTCTCGGAGTAGGTGCCCTCAGCTTTACGCTTGGAGCCAACGCCAGAGCCCAAGGGGCGACCTTGGAAAACTGATTATAAAAGGTCTGTACAAGGCTTCTTCGACATACCCCTGGTGGACGGGAGTGGCGACATTCTAGCTAGTGCATAGCATAGCAGCTGGGAGAAAAGAAATAGCTATTAAACATGGAAAAGCCTTATCAGAAGTACGAGTAATTGAACCTACCAATGAAGTTTGGCGATCGAGTGATTTTGGCGTTATTACGGGAAGGGTAGTGTCTTGAAGCGTTTTGCAGCGTCTGGCAATGGTTGAAAATATTTATGATTGCGGTTTTTGCGCAATGGTCAACGGCCACTCCTGCCTAAAACTCAAGATAGCAAAGAAGGTTTTGATTAAGAGGAACAACTGGAATGTAATCGTTTGCAATGTTTTGTAAAGTCGAACATATCTAAGTTTTGGCATCTTCCTACTTAGGGTTCTCTAGTAACTAGGAAAATAGCCTTCCATTAGTGGACTCTGGTTCGCTCCTTCCCGCGTCTCATATCTACCGTTCGTTGGTTTCTGTTTTCCCATACCATCCAAACACTCCCTTTATATACTCTCACTTGGATTTCAAAGGTACACAAATTCTCTTATCTCTTTTGTTTACCGACATATTCAGGAAAAACGAACACCGGCATAAGATTTTCATTCTTTCTGCTACTCTACCTAACCTACTTACTTGCAGAACGCCGCCGTGCCTCGACGAAAGCATTTCAGCCCTGTAAAGAAGAAGGTAAAGAGCCTCAATGTCTTAAGGCTAGTGACTCTACGAAGAAGAAACGAGCTTGGAAAGCAGGCAGTAAGCACTCATTGGTTACTAGATTCTAAAGCTAGAGAGTTCAACCCTAGCTGCCGCCCTCCGAAATATTGGGCAATTTCAAAAGTTGACCCACCTTCTGAATCCAAAAGTCTCTTTCCAGGGCCTGTGTCAGGAGATCGCCCATAACATCACATATGGATCAGAACTCCGATTTCAGGCAACAGCTATTGATGCAGTCCAAGAGATCGCAAGGACGTAAATCACGAGCATATTCGAGTGTACTTTTACCACCCTCGAATTCCTTCTTGGTTGATATGGGTTGTTCCATCTATAATTGCTAACTTATGTACCTACCGAGGTCTCCAGATTTTCGCCTTACACGCCAATAGAGTGACGATCATGGTGAACGACCTAACCTACACAAACGCCTTACCTAAAGCTGACGAATCCTTGGGAAGACTTTAGTATCATGATTGTGTCGCTCGATCACATCTTCCGATCACTGCGTAAGCCCAGGAGGCGTTTCCGCCGGCTCCTAGGAAGACCACGGACAAAGTACCGCAACATAGTCTCCCATAGTCTTCGCGGAAGATCGTAGCCTATGAAGAATATAAACTGACCGGGAGTATTCCTGTCCACTGTAAAAGCGATAGGATTGACGACCAAATCATGGAGGAAGACAACTTCGTCAGTGAGCATCGAAGTGAGGGCGAGTAAGACGATGGGCAATAATAGTAGTTACATTTGAGTAGCTAAATCTAGTTTAACCCAGTATATTTGCAGTCGGAGATATATCAATTTAGCGCTAGGTAATTCTCTCCTAGAACCTCCTATCTCACCCAACCTTGGTCTCCATTAGGCTCATTATTCCTCACCAACCTGATACACATTAATCATAAGATCTTTGACACCCTATCAAAGCCGGCACCGGCTAGAGGAGATATCAAAGGAAATGGAGATTGATACAGGCATGGAAAAGCCTTTGACTAACTCAGCAATGTAAGGGGGTTGTTCGGACGTACAGACTCGCCTAAACACAACCTACTTCTAACTGTCAAAAACGAGAAAAGAGGTCGACTAGTGGATAATACAATGTTTTGATTCTGTTAAATGCCGAGGACTGGACCTCGGGGGCAAACAACTGTGGGATGGGTTGGTTCCCATCCAATGCGCGGGGAAACGAGAAAGTTGGATCGAGCGCACGTATATTGCGAACAAACAACAAGCGTTTAGTATATGTTGCTCGTCCTTCTTGGTCACCAAGTCTAAAGACGATAGACAAAGAGAATGGTCCGAGCTGCAAGTAAAACACTCCTCACAGCATCCTCTACCAGACCTTGCCCCAGCCTCCTCCTCTCGTCACATCTTACATTCGTTTCCACCGCGCTACGTTCACCGAGATTTCCCCTCGCTTTCCTTTCTATGCCCCAGCCTTACAATGAAAAGTCTCCCAAATTTGGTTCTTGCTGTTGCGGGCAGCCTGTCGAAGGCTCAGCTCGTACATGGCGACAGGCATGGCGACGGCAAAGACAAACCCTTGAGTGTGACATTCGGCACCAGAGTCATCACTGAGATACTCCCAGTCCTGACACCAACAGTGCCGCCGCCGCAACCATCAACAACGCCAAAGCCGATATTCATTGTGGAGAGGGACGGGAGCTTGCTGCTTCAAGTCGAGACTCTCGGTTCGAATACTTGCGGGTTCTTCATGCTATCAAAAGACAACCTGAGTGAGTTTATCTCGCCATGTTCAGGACAAGTTAGACTCCATGGAAGCTGATGTGCGTCTCTTGTCAATCAGGCGTAACGAGAACCCGGGTTTGCGAAAATGTAACTTCATCGTGTGCCGCCTCAGGGAACTACCTTGGCTGCGGCGCAAAGCCGCATACAACCTGCTTCAACGGCAAAGAACCCGTATGCGCCTCGTCTGCCAAGCCAGGCGAGCAGACGCTCTGCTGGTATGTTTTCTTACGTTAGAAATAACAAATCCTAGAAGACGGGTGGAAGAATATCAGCGAACTGATGGGAATTGCATCATCCAGTCACAGGACCAGAGGCCTGAACGGGGAATGTCAAACTTTCGTTAGGGACGACGGTGCCCTGGGTGAGAAGACACTCCTTGGATGCCGCGAGGCCGATACCATCTGGGACCCTATAGTCTCTCTCAAAACGGCGACGGACCAATTTTCGGAAACGTCAACCGCGGCCGCCGCCTCCGCGGTACCAATAACTTTCATGCCGCCCGACACCCCGAGCGTCCCAGCGCCATCGACCCCGACCTGGCTAGCCACTTCGACGGCTACGCCGGCACCGACACCGAGTACAATCAGCAGCGATTCTACACACCCGCATACCGGCACGATAATCGGCGGTGTATTGGGGGGGCTAGCGATCCTAGCCATCGCCGGTTGTGTTGTAGTCTGGCTAGTCGTGCGACGAAGGCGGGCCTCGACGTTGAGTCACGGTTCAGACGACCATGCGTTACCGTCACCGAGCCATGAGCTCCCTGGTGACCAGCCGTGTGCCACTCCGGAAGAGGTAGTTGGGGATCATTGCAGTGACAAGGACTTGTCCCCCGCGTCAATATCTCGTGAGATTCACCAGGCACCGGCTATTGATGCGGTAGGAAGTCCGATGAAGCCTGCCGAGTTGGACTGATGCTGTCACATTTCGAGACTACGTGGTGTTTTTGAATCAAAAAGTAGGCATGATTTGATACCATTGGATTGCGGCGGGTGTTTTCATGTAATCACCGAGTGTAACTAAGATGAAAGTGGCTCAAATGCTTCATCCAACAATGTTGAGGACTCTAGCTGATCTCCTGCCGAATTCAGGAAGTGTGCCTCTCTGGTCAAAGTCGTCCAGTGCAGGAAAATGATATATGAGTTTGAGACATATGTTTGAAGCTAACAGAATACAGACCGATTAAGACCAACCATTTCCTTCTATGGACACTCTGTTCCAGCCCATGTTCTGCGGCCAATATTGAACCAACATGGTAATTAGGAGGGGATCTCCCAAAGCCAAAAATGTGACTTTTTCACAGTGCAATCAGCTGACGATGTTTTGTCAGTGGGCTTGGCTCTTCATGCTTATTGACGACGCTTCTCCACTGTCGGGTTATGCATTCCAATTTGGATTGGTCTTGCTTGAATACAGTTCATGATAGCATCGTTGCGGTATGGGGGCTTAGTCTCTTCCTCAACATGACGGTGGCAAAGGGATGGAAGTGGCCGAGATAACGCCAAACCCCGTCTTTGAGAAACTTGATGTGACACAATGTCGCTATATTTTTAGAGTCAAACATTGGCCAAGAGGGCCAGGAAGCAACAGACCATCGCCTGTAACCCAAAGATGTACCTCTTCTTTGAACTCCTCAGAGTTGGAGCGCATGCAAGGATATAGTTTGTGTGATAATCAAGCATGTTTGCTTCATCAAAGCAGTCCAACCGAGGCCGAAGGCACTTGGCACAGTACAAATGATATCCACGGCTTATCATAGTCTTCATCGGCGCCTTCCATTTGAATCGTGGTTTGTCTTGATACTTTCTCCATGTCTCTATTTCCCATCGCTAGCCCGCAACCCTCCGTGCTGCTCCTCCCACACTACAGCTTCATATCTTCAAGATGAAGATTCAGTCAGTTCTGCTCCCTCTTGGAGGCCTCCTCCTTTCGTCGACGACAGCGACAGCACACGTGAGCCACATCCGCTCCGAGTTACCGGCGCCGACCAACTCTTTGGGCGACAGACTTAGGCAAACTGTGAAGGGGCCCGACCCAAGGCCGACCTCAAGACCCGAGGCCTGGGGTTTGGACACCGATATCGACGTCCAGAGCCAGGAAAAGGAAACCTGCGGATATTTCAGCACTAACGGAGGTTGGTTCATGCCTTCATTCTCCCTCTATCATCCGTTCTTGCTTGGCGAATTTGCCTGCCCAAGGAGACGTGTAAGCTGACGGCATGATGCATATAGCGCTCGCGACGGTTACGTGCACGGGTTCCGGGTCGAGTGTCCTCTCCTGCAAGGGCACCGGGAAGTGGCTCTGCGGAGGGCGGTACACCAGTTGTCTGGAGCCCACCGCGCCCCTCTGCAAGTTGAACAGCGACCTGCACTCAAAGACCATGTGCTGGTAAGGTTTTAGCATTCTCACCTCTCCCTTCTCCCTCCTTCGGGTGAAAGCAAGCCGAGGGAATAGATTATCAGGAGGGCACGTGCTGATGTCTCGAGTAGTAACACAAGCTTTCCGGTATGCGGAACTCTACTACACGGCACGAGGGGGCCCCAGAGAAGCGGCCTAGCCTGCCTCGGGACCGAATTCAGGACCAAGTCCGTCGTGAGGCTGGCCACCGAGAGATGGCCCTCATTTGTGACGGACGCGCCTTCGACGACGACGGCAAGGAGGACGGTATCTAGGACATCGTCTGCTACGCCCCATGGCACACCGTCTGCGACTTCGGCGGTTGCTTCTACAACCGCTTCAATGCCCGCTGATCCCGCTTCGCTTACAGCGATTCCTTGTACGGAAAACCCAGCATCGACTATGGCGCCGTCATCCGTAGGAACCAGACTGGCTGGCTTGTTTTTGGTTCAGGGGTTTGCGGCATTGGCTTTTGCCTTGTATATAGTTTGGTGTGGTTAGTGACGGGAACGGCGAGATACTAGGGCGTGCTGAGAAGCGTGGGCCGTACATCAACGGAGAAACGACAAGACGGTTTGCCTGGTCCAATACTGCTTTGCATTTCGTGTTGCCGCTCATGCCGTGCTTGATACAAAACCGCAGCCAGCTCTCTTGCCTGGCGCCGGAGGAGTGATGATTATGCACACGAGCCCCCTGCATCCGTCGGGATGGGGTGTACTCCCCTCGTCACCTAGAACCTCAGCTTGGGCATCACAAACACCAACAGAACCAACGCAACCATAAGCCCGTATACCCACGCGTAGAGTATCATCCGGCCCCACCACCCCTTGCCCTCTGTCATCTTCCTCAACGTGCCCATCCTCCGGCTCGCCGCGTCCATCGACCTTTCCGTCTTGTCCATCCCGTCCGCCGCGCGTGACACCACGTTCTTGTCCTGCTCGAGAGTGTCGGAGAACTTCTGCGAGCTGGCCTTGAGCGCACTGGCCATCTTCAGGATCGACTCGGACAGCGCATCCTGTTCCGCGCGCTGGTGGTCCAGAATCGCTTCCGCCGTCGCTGTGGATGAGGCCGGGGCCGACGCTGTAGACTTGCTGGTGTTGGAGCGGCGGGAGGCGAAGAGGGCTGCGCGCGCCGTTGCTGTCGTTGTCGCGGAGGGTGAGTCGGGGCGGGCGGGACCGCGGGAACGGAGGGTCTGGGTTGTTATCGTGCCGGATTCTAGGGTTGTTTGTGGTGGCTGGTGTGATGACGATTGTTCTGTTTCTGAAGCCACTGCCGCTGAGGAGGGTTGTGATGGTTCCGTCGGCAGCGCCGACACTGGCGGAGGAAGGTCTGGTATCTCGGGTTCGTCATCCTCGTCTTGGTCGCCCGTGTCTTCCGTTGGTATATCCGTCGATCGCGAGTCCATGCTCTCGCTTGGCGTGGGGATAATATCGGCCAGGATATCCTCGCCGTCTGAGCTGTTGTCGTCCTCCTCCTCGTGTAACTGTTGCGCAAGCATTAGCCGTGATCCCCCTCCTGCCGAAAGCCCACCATGATTGCTTGACTACGCACCTGCTCCAGGTCGTGCATTCTATCCACTAGGCGTTCCAAAAGTTCGCGCTTCCGGTTCAGGTCGGCTTGCATATCTTGCCTCCGGGAAAGGAGCTTGATATGCATCGCCTCCTGTTCGACTCTGGTAAGAAGACTTCGCGCATAGTCGAGGTTCTGGGAGAAAGTCCGTAGTTAGCCAACGTTTTCGGTTGTTCCGACCGTGTGTGGAAATCATACCGAGTTCAGCCTCGCCCGCTCGAACTCGCTCGCCCGTAACCTGCGCTCGCGGTCCTGATCGGCATGGAGGATTGTCTGGTCGAGTCGACGGAGGAGCTGGTTGAGTTCGGCTGCACCCTTCTCGGAAGAGCTTTTGGTTGTGAATGGCGACGCCGTCGACAATCGAGCCATTATGGGTGTTCTTGTGCCGTCTTCTTCGTTTTTGGGCGCTGTAGGGGGTCTTTCTCGTCGAGAGTCTGGGAAAGATGGTGGGTGGACATGTGTCTGAAGCCGATGATGTCGTCGCATAGTCAAGCCACCGTGGCTGAAGCTCCCCTCCAAATGCTGACGCTCGGGCCACACTTAAAGTTGCTGATCCCAGCGGATGTTCAGGACGTTGTAGAAGCTCCTGCAGCTCACTTCTCAACTTTGGATCATACCTTGACCACTCGGTCTCTCACTCATATCTTCTTTTCTATAATGTATATATCAAACTGGCATGAACGAGTATAGTTCTTCCCGCTTTAACTCCTACAATCGACCTGATTTCCTATCCCAACGAACCGTCTACCCAAAAGCAAGCTAATTCAAGGTCCGATGGACGTTGGGTGACAGCGTCCTCGAGGTGTACCAAGGACTTCGTCACACGCAAGGACGACTCACGGAATTGTGATAATTTCAGAGTCGTCAAGGTGTTTATTTCAGGCCTCGATATCGTCTGTCAGATCTTGTCCCCATCAGCCGCGTTTGACTCTGCCGTGTAGCCACAGCAAAGGCATATATCGGCAATCGATACCACTTTGGGTTTCGTCGCGCCTAAATATAGCCGGGCTTCTTCAATCATCCCAGCTACGGTTTTCAAGTGATTCTTGTATTTAGGACGTTGCGCTTCGGTTAGCGTTCTTGCTGCCGGGCCTCGAGCTTTCCGTCTAAGCAGCAGCCACTCTTGTCATGTAATTGAAAACTCATAACCAGGTGCTGTCAGTCTCGTTATGTATTCATAGATCAGTTTCGGACACCCCCTCAGATTCAGTTTGTTCCAAGCGTTACAACTCTCTCCCGTCAAGGTTCCAGTATCTTTCGCAGTCACAGATGCCTTGGGTAGGTTTCCGCATGATTACATCGACAGACTTGACAGGGCTTTGCCTAACCCTCTGGTCTCCTCTCCTCTAATATCTTCTGGAACACGTTTCACGGTTGAATACTTTGGAGACAGAATTTAAAAGATAAAATCGACGGAGCTCATTCTTGCCCGCCGCGCAAGCTTCAATTCTTTCGAAAGAAGCTGCGATTCCAGGGCCATCTCATAGAGAACCTGGCCATTCTCCGAAACAAATGCTACGACCTCCCGCGGCACAACTGAAACTTGCGTTGCCCAAGGCGTCGTCGCATCTGGTCTTCTGTATCAACAGAGTCCTAGAAACCCTCGCAGTATCTAGGGGAAACGAGGGTCTAGTATGCTACTCCGGTACCATTTGTGATGCTTGTCTAGGCAGAGAAAGCTGGTATGGTGGAACTCTGCACGCGCCGGGAAACCAGCACGATACGGTCCATCTGCCTCAGAGTAAAGAGACTTATCCCAGGCGGTACAATCGTTATAACCAACGTCACGGATGATCGTTACCAGACAACAGGCGGCCCAAAAGCGGTCAGCCGAGAAGGCAGGTAAGCAATCCTTCTGGATAGACTAGAACATGGGAAACGACGAGTTACGAGCGCTGCGTTGTGAGGTTCGGTAACAATCTGCTTGAAGACTCGCAGAGGTGGCATCACGCCGGTGCCATCAAACATAGCAGAGTGTCCGTTACCTCATAATAGCCGGACCCAAAACAAAGTACTGTCTGTCTTCGTCGGCCCTGCCAACCTCTCCCTGCATCAGATTTCCAGTCACATACTATAGAAAAATTACTCAGGATAGGACGGGTACGGAACCAGCATCATGATTGAGTACAGCAACAGACTATTTTCAAGCCCTTGGTCTGAATGATGCAAGTATCATCTTACAGACTACAGGCAAGGTAAATTAGGAATAGGAGACCAACGGCAATCGACATGCATGGAAGTAAAGCACAGAGTCAATCCCGCAGAGAAAAAAACACGGATATGCTATCCCCGATTGATATAACCTGGAATAACAGGACCTTTACCGTCGCACGACAAAACAGTCGTTTGATGATTCCCATTAAGGGAACATCTAAGGTTGTCCAAACGAACGCAAAGACTCGATAAACCCGGCGACCGAACTTTGGCGCTGCCATCTAGTAAAGTGATCCGCAGCGATACCTCTTCTGGCCCCTCGTGATGACCTGTCGTCCGGCGGCGGCAGTGTCCGAAGCATCTGTGCTCTTCATCTTCACATGAATGGGCGTCGAAAAGTGGCCCGCTGTTGTCTCCGAGAACAAGCAAGGCCCCTTTTCTCACCGGCACCGATCACTCGCATTTGGCTAACGCAGAGCGACCTTCCGAGTGCCCCAAGAGCCAGCTCAACGTCGGCAACACATGGGGCGACGAAGGCGTCGCAAAACAAAAAAAACCCACCCCCCCCAAAAAAAACAAAAACTGGATTTCCGTCAAATTGCTCGCCCATATGTTCTCAAGCTGCCAAGTTGATAGCTTCCCTCGACGGCTCCGGGCCTCCACAATTTGCGCAAAACGGACAAGTAGCCTGTCAAGACAGTCAGCGGACTCTCGCAAAAAGTCATGTGTGCATGATGTAGGAACAGCGTGGCTATGCCCTCCCTTCTGTTAGCCTCTACCCCGCGTTTCTGGTATTCACAACAGGTTCAAGTGTGGGTTTACCGCTGGTGAAGTTGTCATGGTGCATCAGCGTTGGCTCGTATGGGCGGCAAGTTGGCATTGCATCTCAGCCCTGCAGGCACAACTCGACCATTTCCAAGAGCAAAAATCCTCCGTTTCAACGATTAGCCTGTTTCATCTCCTGCAGTTGAGCTACAGATAAGCGTAGATCCATCTTCTCTCGGCCACGAGATAGCCGTGAGCATGCCTAGAAATGTGACGCTAAGAGTGCAGTAGCTGTGCGGGTCTTGCCATTGGGCAAACCCAGGCGAACGACTTGTTAGGTGACGGAGTTCCATGACTCTGCGCCACGCCCAAAACTCGGTTGACCTGTCAGAAGAGCACACTGAGTGCGGATGCAGCCACAAGGTTGATGCCAAAGTCGTGTCGGAGGCGAATTTATCCCCGCATGTGCTACCGGTACTCGCTCGTCCTTGACAAGTCCAGGCGAGGCAACACGACATTCTAACTTGGAGGGAACGGGCGCTGTGCGTCCCTGCATGATGGAAGAGGATTCGGTGCTAATTTTGGAAACGGGATGAACCCGGCATTGGCTGGAGCACCTCATTGACGGCATTGTGAAGGGTCCTCATGATGGGTACCTAGAGTGTGGTGTGGTCCTGTACAGTGATACATAGTACAGGTAGTAGGTGGCGGCAGACGCCGACATCTGCGGCGGGAAGGCGGGAGGTAACAGAAGCCGGGAAGAGCGTCGGGGTTACAGCTCTTTCAAGCACTGAAGACCGTTGACATAAACTTGGCGGGGACGGTGGCATCGTTGTCGAAGCCGGAGGTGCACGACGTCATTGGGTAGCTGTGGGGGTGGGAGCTGTTCGAGTGGAACATTGCGCAGGGGAGAGAGATGCAGTGGGATGGGTGTCATCTGTACCTGCGGAGTACCGCAAGAAGACTGGGAAGGGTCTTGAGGCGGTAAGTAACGATGGGGTCTCTTGGAGCCACCATGACCCGTCAGTCCCTGAAAATGAGATGTGCATGGGCATAGAGGGATAAATGAATGGCTGGTTGTTGGAGGACCTATGGAAGTTCGGCAAGATCCAGCATCTGGGCTCTGTGGAGGCCATTGGGTCGGATAGGCTGGATTGGAGTGAAATCAGGTTGCTTTGTGGCGCGGTGCTTTTCTGCGCCCACATTGCTAATTACCCGTCAGTGACTCAGAGGTCGTGGGCTGGTGAGAAGTGCCTGAGAAACACTTGTTTGGATTCTTCGTATTGCTTGCAAGAGACTAGCCTTCAAAGTTGTCGGGCAGCCTGCAACTTATTGGCACATCGGCCAATGTTTCTGTGTCGGTAAAACAAGACAGCAATAGCGCTTCTGGGGACAGGTGGCTGGAAAGACTATGTCGGTTGCAGGTGAGAGTTGCGAACCGAAGCTTGGAAGTGGCATGGTGTCTGGCCACGGGTTGACGAGTTGACCGCCTGCAGGAACTGTGCCTTTCAGAGCCGAAGTAGTGGGCGCACTGTGGGAAAGACAGTATCAACTCGCTGAGAGGACCAGGGCGGATTGTGCATAGGAAGTACCGTGGTAATGCCCTTGCTCTACCTCTTTGTTCTGCATCGCACGAAAGCGAGGTCGAATAGGAACAGAGACAGAGGCTGAGGTTCCGCCCTACGAGAGCGCCATGTCGTACTCTGTGCTCTGCAGGCCTTGGACGTAATGCATAGCCTGCTGCCAGAGTGGCTCGCTGCTTCCATACCCGATGTCGTCGGTCAAGCTTATGGCCGCAAGGTACACTATGGCCGCACCGGTACAGTTCCATCCGGCGGGAGGCTTAGTTCGGCGCTGGTGAGGTGATCGACAGCGGCCTTTGCCATTTCGGAGACGGGAGTTCGGGTCTGGACCAAGGAACGGGCTGTGACCCGATGTCAAGACGCGACGAACTCCTGTTCGGAAGAAGCTTGAACGGGACAGCTGAGGGAACGATGATGTAGTCGCGGCAGCATTTTGCAAACTCGATCAAGGCATGGTGTCGGTATCGTGAGCATGCAAGACCTTGAAGACCGGCCACAGGAGATCCACCAACCGAAAGCAGGTTGCGCAGGGGGATTGGAATGGAAGCCGAGCCCAGAGTCCGAGATACGGGAAACTCGCGCCCAGCTCTGTAAGGCAGCAGAGAGAGAGAGAGAGTGTGTGTGTGTGTGAGTGAGAGACATATGTGTGAGACAAGCATGGTGGGAAGTCGCAAAAGCTGGCGAAAACATTGGAAGTTGTGGGAAGAAACAAACAAACGAGGGGAGTATGATTTTCCAGAGTCCCCTTCACAAGCTGCGCATTGAACGCGATACCCAGTGATGTCGGACAATGCAGATGGGGGATTGCGGCTGACGATGCGTCGACGACGCATGCTAGAAAGTCAATGGAAAATGCACTTCGGTCTGGGCTCGTCATGTTCCGACAGCCGCGTGTCAAAACACGCTTGCTTTTTCCCCAGCCAGTCGTTGGGCAAGGAAATGTGAAATGATCGAGAAGGAAAGAGTGGCCCGAGGTGCGTCTGTCAGTTGCTGTCGGATTGGACGAGACGAACGGGTGCGTGCCAATGCAGGTACCTGTTTGTCCCTCGACGACGCATTGTCCGCCACGTCTGCCTGCCTGCCTGAAATGCCTGAGACGCAACGAGTTCCCTCGTCGCCCCGGTCCCGCGATGGTACCGGTTGGGACGTCGATGGGACTCTGGCGGGAGATGGGGAAAGCGATAATCGAGATCTCTGGATCACGACACCGGACCCTAAGAGCACAAGGCATTGACGATGGACGGGTGTATTTTAAATTGGACTTGCGCGATCCGAGCTCTTGGCTTGCGATGGGGTTTGCTGATAATGACGGGACGTTGCTTCTTGTCTCCGTGTTTGTTTTTCCTTTCCCTCTCCCGTGCTCGTCTCTCCATCCATTTCTCGGTGTGTTTTGTTTTGTTTACCAACGTCAGAAATGGTTTGTTTTTCCAATTTGAAATTTGGTAATTCCACTTCGGCTCCGAGCCTGAGAGCCACCCCCCAGCTCCAGTGTGCTTCCCAAAGTATGGGGACCACCACGCCCACGTCCCGACGGGCAACAACCATGGACGAAGCCTTGCACCCATCAGCTGCACCGGCGCAGAATGGTACCGGTAGAACCAGTCGACTTCAGTACAGCATCACAATGCGTAGGTAAGCTTTCGAGGAGGGCAGGGTTCCGCCTGTGCCTATCTGCGTCAGCCAGGAGAAGGCTTGACTCGTATGAGGCTTAGGACGACGGCCGAAAGGGCTGAAGAGGGGAAGAGGGGCCTTGCCGGCGTGCGGTCAAATCCGCGTCTCCAACATAAGCATCTTTGTAAGGTGTTGTAAGTCATGTACGATATAGGGGATGACGCACGCCGGCACTTGGTCCAGGTTGCAAAGGGGCGCAAGCTTATACTGAAGCCGAGGCGTGGGCGTGTGTGTTGGTGAAGAATGGGAGGCATGAACACCGCGGGGCCACAATTTTCACTGGACTCGTAGACGAGTCGGTTTTTCCTTGCCGTACCTTAACCTAAAATTCCCTGCCTGACCTCGTATGAAAACTCTGCGTCCCATCACGGCTCTGGAGCTGGAGCTGGAGCTAGAGTACCCAGTGGTGACTGCCCCTGGTCGCGATGTACCAGAGTAGATGCGTACCTTCCCTTTGTGTGGACTGGATCGGACTCACTACCGTAGGCTCAATGAAAGATTGATTGTTTTATTGATTTGAGACCTATGAAAACCCTCATTGGGGGGGGGGGAGGCAGATGCGCGAGGGTCCACTTGCGCCTCGCCAGTCTCATCTCGTTGAGAGCTTCTGGCGGCAGGGCCACCCCCTCCTTGTCACGACTTCCTTCCATTTCTTCGCTGGGTTCCTTCTCTTCCTTTTTTTTTTCCTCCCCCAGAAGATAGGTACTATAGAATCTGCCAAGGGCAGGTGGCCCAGGCCTCATCCCATTTGATCCTTCCTGGCGGTGCCCCACAAAGCCAAAATGCACAGGGGCGTACCTACCGCCACGGAAGCTCATCCTCAAGGTACTTGGACAAGCTTAGAGCTGTCTGTAGCGTGGCAACGGGGGGTGAATACGGCCCTCTGTCAATCAGTCCATCACTCAGTCAGTCATCCACCCACTCACCCATTTATCCAATTCATCTCAGACCGAGGTGTTTGACCACGGATGCGAAAGTGGACATCGACAACACCGACTCCGACAACTTCAGTACTTCCGCCCATGCCCGCCGTGAAGTACAGGTACCGCTGTCATCCACTCGCAGCGTGTCAGCGTCTCCAGTGAACAAGTGCAACAAAAACACTGGCTCCCCTATCCACCGTTTCTTGCTCCTTGGGATCGTGCAGATCCAGCATCCGCACCGTCGCAAAGGACTCCATTGAACCAGGGACAAACAGCCAGTGACGGCAGACAGAGGCGGCCAGCGAGTTCCTAGCGGCCTCCGCCCCAGCAACTGAGCACCCATTTCAACGTTCAACGTCCCACGTCCCACGTAACTGCGCAGCAGTAGCACACTTTGTCCGCTGCAGGCTTTGGGCCTCGACGAGTCTTTCTCCCCACCCTGGGGGGGCCTGGCCGGTCTTGGGTCGTCGAGAAGCATGGAAGGTGAGGTACCTGCGCCTCTGCCCAGTTTACCCTGCTGCGTACGGTACTTTTTACTGGAGGGCCGTTTCCACTCCCGCTCCCACTCTCCCGTCTCCTCCCACGTCCCCCCCGTTGGCCCTGGGCCCCTCTCTGCTGTTTCTCGCTCTCTTCCAGTGTTCCCCTGCCGATGATGCCCTGCCCTGCCCTCCGTCGCCAATTCTGTCCTCCGACGACCACTTTGGCTCTTTTCACCCACTCACGGGACGCACTCACTGCGGCAGTCTCGCACCAACCCATCTAACATTGACATTGGCATAGCTACACATTGGGCCCTGTCATTTGGGGATACCATCGCTATCGTCCCCCCCCTACGACACCCCTCACAATCATCCGTCACCCCTCGTCGCCGCTGCCCTACCAGACCACCTGACCGGCTATAACCCTGCTGCCTCCTCCCGGGTTATCCATTCCGTCCCGGACTGTCAGCGTCTGCTGCTGCTGCTGATGATGAATGAGGAGGATGCTGGTAGTAGAGGTGGGCGCCGTCTCTTGCCTGTGTCGTTTGCGCTTTGTTACTGCTCGTCGTCCGGGCCGCTCGCTGTCCACGTTGAATGTTTTGTCCCATACTTGTTGTTGTTGCTGCTATGCTCTGCATACCGTACTTTGCTTTGCCCCTGGTCTTCCCGTATGTATCTTATGCTTCCACATCATAGACGTCCACGGCTCACCAGCAGCTCCCCCTCCGGATGTGAACGCCGCACCGGTACATCGCTTAACTCATTGTTTGCACTGGACGGTCCCTGGCCTTGCATGTCCTCTTTCACTCAGATAACCCTACCTCCCCTAACCATCCTGGGGTAGATGTACTGCCTGCTTTGGCCCAGGCGAGCTTTTAATCAAACGAAAGAAAAAAAAAAGTCTGGATTCATCACCACTGACGACAACCCATCCCGCTCGGCACACACACCCACCCCGTCTGCTCTCTGCACACCACCTTGTCTATCTTCTTTACCTTGCCTGGGTAACTCCTCAACCACGCTCACCTTACCTACACAGCATTTCTCTTCCCTTGCCTTACCCGACTTACGCACACGCACATTACACTTACGCCCGGCCTGGACCTGGTCCTGGACTTAGACCTGGACGTGGATCTGGCCTGGACCTTGAGACCTCTGCAACTTGCACTGGCACCTGCACCCGCACCTGCACCTCCCCCTCTTCGTTCACGTTGCTTCGGACTCTAGCTTTTACCTTCACCTCACCTTACTTCGCGTTACCTACTCACTTTCCCACCTGCGTACCTCGTCTCGAGTGCACATACCTCGCTCGTACCTCTTCTTCCTTAACTCGACCCCGAACTCTTCTCCAGACCAAAACAACTTTTCTCTTCTTCGTCCTCGCCGCCCGACGACGTTCGATTGCCAGATCCAACCCGTGTCGTCGTCGCGTCCATTGTTCGGAAACGTCACTCGCTTTCATCATTGTCTGTCGTTAAAATTCCACTAACGCACAGCTCGTGTCTTACCGACTTCCGCCCTCCCCTCTTCCAGCTCCGCATCATCGTCGCCTGCCGCTCGCTGTCTTTGGTCAAGGCTGCCCAAGCATCACTTAGGTCGTCATCTCACCTATACCGGCGCTCATTTCCGTCGTTCGCTCCCACCTTCCTCAGTACCCCCCCTTCTTGGCCAGAGCATCCTCATGACGCCGACGGCAGTGCTTTCACGATAGATTTTCCAGGAAGAGAAGAAAAAGGTGGAAATTTCAGACAGCCGACGCAGCGCTTCGTTCGACAAAGGAACATTTGCGCGCCAAAAAGAAACCCCACGTCCAATCACCCGCCTGCGCGTCGCATCCTCTCCTAGCGCATGCTCACACCCAATACCTTCCCAGCAACCTAACCCAGTGCAAAACACCACCAAGCGACCAAGCAACCGACCGACCGACTTGACCCAAGAACAATCACTGGCGACACCGGGTCTGCTCCCTACATAGCTTTCCCCCCGCCGCTCGACCATCGTCATTCTACGTCGCTTGACACACTTCGTCGTCCATCCCCGTTCCCCACGACCACCATTTGGAGCGCTGGCTACAACACCATAATTGAGCTCCAACCACCTGCGCCCCGTCATTGCGATGACGTCCGCAGCTCCTCCCCCCAACCAGGCTTTACAGCCCACGAGCACCTCGACCGCACCCACCGGGCCTTCGACTCCGAACAAGAGAGACTTGAAGTCGTGGTGGAAAGGCTTCAAGTTGCCCTCGAAGCACCAGGAACATCACGGTAGAGCCCCTTCTACTTTCGCATTGCAACCTTCGCCCCCATCACAACCTGTCTTCAGTGAAGATGTCGACGAAGCAATTGATACATCGACCACGCCTCTAAGCCACATCCTCTTGTTGCAAGACGCCTACGTCGTCGAGCCCAGCAGTCCTCCCCAACCCCCAGCCTGCGCTTCAAGTGATGCGACAGCGTTCACCTCCATTAACCCGGCTTGGGTGCTCAACAGGCTGTCCCTGTCCATCACCACGCCTGTGCGCCAGTGCGCCAAGCGGATCCGCGCAGCTATACCATTCGCCTTTACTTCAGGTGCTAAACGTTGTACAGCAGACAACCGACCACATGGTATCTTCGGCGTCCCTCTCCGCCAGAGCATCACTTATGCCAACGTCGCCATCTCCCTCGTCGATGAGAACGGAAAAAGCTACATTTATGGCTACGTACCGATCGTCGTTGCCAAGTGTGGCGTATTTCTCAAGGAAAAAGGTGAGCGCATGCAACCCTGCGGCAATCTTCCACCTGCTCACACTCTGTTACAGCCACAACAGTAGAGGGTATCTTCCGTCTCAGCGGCTCCGAGAAGCGCATCAAGGAACTGAAGCAGATCTTCGACTCCCCCGATCGCTACGGAAAGGGCCTTGTGTGGGACAACTACACTGTCCACGATGCAGCCAACGTCCTCCGTCGATACCTGAACGACCTACCTGAACCGGTTGTGCCGTTGGACTTGTACGAGAAATTCCGGGAACCACTGCGAGGCGCCACGAGGCAAGCGGTGGGTGATGCTGAAGGACCCCAATTCGTAGAGGACTTCGACGAGCAGGCCGCCATCGTCAAGTACCAAAAACTCATCACCGAGCTCCCGCCGCTGAACCGACAGCTACTGCTCTACATCCTAGATCTCTTGGCCGTTTTCGCCGCCAAGTCGGAGGAGAACCGAATGAACTCCCAGAACCTTGCGGCCATCTTCCAACCCGGTATGCTCTCGCATCCGCAACATGCCATGGCGCCGGAAGAGTACCGCCTGAACCAATGCGTCCTCATCTTCCTCATTGAAAACCAGGATCATTTCTTGATCGGCATGCAGGGCACAGCCACAGACGAAAAGACGAAGCAGTTGATCGAAAAAGGCACACCCCCTGCTGCAAGTGGGCCGGTAACTCCTAACCCTAACAGGAAGTCGGGTCTGGGTCGTTCTGCGTCTAATGCAAGTGCCGGTGCTGAGAGCGTGAGAAGAGAAGGGATGGTCAGGAGAAATCGATCGACGTCCTCGCGACACTCTCACCAGGAGGGATCTACGACCCCCAACAGCCCGGCTCTGGCCCCGACACCGAACAGTGGACTCGGAAGGAGTAACACCGTACCCTCCAAGAAGTCTCCCGCTCTCCAGACGGGAAGATTCAGACGCGATGCCTCGCCTATCCCCGGCTCGTCATCTCGAGAGCCCATGATTCCGGCGACGACGGAGGAGCTCGTCGAAGTGCCTGATCAGTCCCCTTCTGCCTCGACCATTTCGCCTGTCCCAGCTGCGATTGGCACATCCAGCCTGGCTCCTTCTGTTGCCGGTACGGCAGGCCGAAGCCAGGAGAGGCTGCTGGATCCGAACGAGGCAGCGACCCCCGTCAAGGAAAGGGGCCTTCCGAGCATATTCCAAAGATCCCCCACAGGCGAGGGAGAGAAGAGACAACCGAACAAGTTGAAGAAGAAGCGGATCCCTGATAGTCTAAACCCGAGCGCGCAAAGCTCGGCCACATCCTTGCCCGGTACGCACTCAGCCGCCGTGTCCCCTGCCATTGAAGCCCCCAATCCTATGGACCTGGTGGGCGGTCCAATCCCTGAGCATGAATCCCTCTCTGTCGGTCAGCAATCGTCTGCAATTGATACACCATCGGAACCCACTCCACGCGCATCACAAGTCCCTTCAAGCAGCACCCTACACCCTGAGCAGACCCTCAAGGGCAAGAAGTCACCTCCAACATCCCTTCATTCATCATTTAACGAAGGTTCTGACATCGATCAGACTGAAGAGTCCATCATGACGACATCTGCCGACGCGAATGAGCCGGATAAGGATAAGAAGAAAAGATGGAGGTTGTCGCGGCAACGGGGCCACGAGCACCACCCATCCATCACATCACCACGTCTAGCATTTGGGTCCAACGATAATGCTGATGTTAGCGTGACCTCGATTGGAAGCGGCGGATACAAACCACGCAAGAGCTTCACTGGCGAAAGCTCCGAAGCCGGTTTCCATGCCGCCGAGGCACAGAGCAGTCACGAGTCCCGCGACAAGGACGGCAGAGACGAATCCAAGGGTCCTATCGGTTGGATTAGGAACAAATACCGAGAGGCTAAGGAAAGCGCGGAGCAAAGAAGGAATAAGTCGCCTCCTGCTGACCGGCAGTCCTCTCTCGGTAGTTCCAGTATCATGTCCGGAAGGGGCAAGAGCTTGGACCTACGGAGAGATCCCGAGGAGAAGGTGCATAACGACTACTCGGCGCCTGTGCCACCATTGCCGTCTCAGCCGGCACCGGTTCAACCGTTAATGGCTCCGTCGGGGCCAGCACCAACTTCGGCACCGGCGCAGCCAGTGTTACCTTTGCCGGCCCCAACGGCGCCGAACCAGCCAGCATCGGCCCAGCCGACAGTACCTCAATCGGCACCATCTCCACCAGCAGCGTCCCAACTAGCAGCTGCATCTCAACCGGAACTAGCGCCACCGCAACATTCACAGACCGAAGAAGCACGGTAGTCATGGCGGCTTTTTTTTTGTTCAAATTATGAAATCCATGGTGTTTTGTTTGGGGGACAAGTTTTTAGGGAACGACTGGCACTCGTCGTTTGGACATGATGATGCGCTTTCAGGGGTTGAAATCGGAAAATGAGAGCTTAAGCACGAGGCCGCTCCAGTTCCAGGATCCCAGGTTGATGTTTTATTCAAGAGAAAAGGAGGCATGTGTGTGGTTGTGTGCGAATCATAATGTACGGAGTTGTTCGATTCTCTGTCTGGCTTGGTGTAAGGCGACGCATTGCCCACGGGCTCGCTCGCTATGAAGGGATTCTAGTCAAGTAGGCGTTGTCGAGTGCAGGCCAGTCACCTCCTAACGTTTAAAGGGATCTGGCCTATTGATGGTCTATGAAAAAGAAAGGACTTTTTTTTACATTTATCTTCTCTACAAAGGGGCCCCCGTCTCTCTTCGGGATCCTCTTTATGCGTGATCTTGTTGATGCTTGGTAACTATTCGGTCCACGGTTTACACTTTGGGACTGTGCTCGTTCTTGATGGCACCGGGAGGTGATGTGTGTGTTGGACTCTTCAGCTTCATATGATGATTTGTTATATATAGCACATGATTTACATTGGCCAAGGAGGCTGGTAACGTATCCCTGGCCTGAATTAGGCGTTCTCACTTGCTCTCTTGCCAGACTCCAGTTACCCCCCTTTTCGGGGATATGTTTTACACAGATCAGGATACGGTGGTATACAGCCCCGTGTCCCAGACGACGAGCTTGCCCCGCCGCCGGGAATCCTCGTTGAAGAAGCCGTTCCAGCCCTGCCAGACGCGCTTCGGGCGGACGCCAAATCCTTGGCCGTGAGGCCCATCAAAGAAGTCAAGGAGCCAGGGCTCGATGCCCTCGAAGCCAACGATGTAGCGGGGGATGTCCTCGGCCGCCGTCGACGGTGCTGATGGCGCATTTGCGTCCGTGTCTAGGTGGCCTTTTTGCGTGCTACGCGTGGGCCACACCTCCGTGGACATGAACAGCTGGGGGTCGTCATAGAAGCGGTCCGCTTCGTCGCGGTAACTCATGCGTTCCGGGGTGTTGGGGGCCGTGTGGATGGGCGGCTCGCAGGTCAGGGCGCGGGCGCGGAGGGTCGGGTGGATGAGGTGGGAGCGCCAGGGGGTCGAGTGGCATGGTGCGAGGAAAAGGGCGAAGAGTTCTTCCGACGAGGAGTTCGTCAGGGCCGAGGCCGAGGAGATGGGGATGGAAGAAGCGGAGGTGGCGGGGTGGAGGCGGGAGTAGGAGTTGCGGAGGAAGGTGAGAACAGTCAGGGGCGCCGGCTGGTGGAGGAGGGTTAGGAAGAAGGAAAGAAGGGCGTGGAGGGCCAGGGCGGAGGTCAGAAGGCGCTTGTGCCGGAGTCTCGGCTTCGGAAGCGGGGACTTGGAGGTCGGCGTCGGGGCCGGAGAGGTGAAGAAGGTCGTCAGGGGCGCGGCGGCGAGGACGTGGAGAATCGGGAGGAGGGGGTAGATGAAGCGGACTTCCTTGTGGGAGACGAGAGAGAGCGTCGCGATCATGACGTAGACTGTCCATGAGAGGGTCTTGAGAGCCTGGGTGCGAATCTTGGAGGACGTCGACGGCGGGCGATAGAGGGCCACGAGGATGAAGGGGAGGTAGGCTATGGACAAGAGGGGCAGACCCTGGGAGAGGTAGTAGTGCCAGTCGTTGCGGCCGTAGAAGACGGCGAGAGACTGGGAGAGGTTGAAATAGAGGAACTTGTAAGGCGGGAACGCCCACTCGCCAAAGTAGAGACGGTCCGAGGCGAGCGAGATGCAGAGAACAAAGGCGCCGCAGAGGAAGGCTTCGCGAATGAGAATGACCGCGGTCTGCGCCGTGAGAACGGAAACCCGGGTGAAGAGGGGCCGGGTCAACGTGGCGGTTGCGAGTGTTGCCCAGATGAGGGCGTTGGTTGGGCGAAGGAGGACTGCGATGGCGGCGAGGATGAGGGAAAGACGGAGGCTGTGAGCTTGGGTGAGTGAAGGTTCTTGGATAATTGAGTCGATGTGGAAGACGCACCTCGTCAGAGTCCCTGGGGTGTGCAAAATGGACTTTGCAGGCTTGGGGTTCTCCTTCTCTGGTTTGGTTTCACCGAGAAGCTCCCACGGCCAGTAGTTGAGGGCCATGATGGTGAGCGTAGTCTCCAGCGAGTTGGAGAAGGTCCTCGTTGAGCAATACCACTGGAACGGGCTAAACATGCTCATGAACAGCTATGAGAGGGCGTTAGTACATGTCTCTCCTTTGCACCCATGCACGCGGTCAACCGGGCTCAAGAAAGGCGGTTTCGACTTACAGCAAACCATGAGATGGAGCTATCAGCACCGTAGATCTTGACAGCGAGCTGCCAGGTGTACCAGTCACCGGCCGCGGCGAAGACGGCCTGGGCGGCCTTCGGGGCGGCGAGCAGAAGCCATGGCCGGGCCAACGGGAGCGGGCGGGCGACTAGGTCTGCGAGAGAGTAGACGCCGGCGAAGAGGACGGGATGCAGCGAGGAGCGGAGCTGGTTTCTCCATTCCTGTGCAAGTCAGCAACCACCACCCCAAGACGACAGCACGAAGGAAACAAAAAGATTAATAACAAGAATTGCAAAATGAAAGAGTGCGATTCCAAATACTCACCCATGTAATCCACGCACCGGCACCCTCGCCAAAGGCCATGCGCCAGGCGGGCTCGAGGGCCTGAAAGTACTCATCGGGCTGGAAAAAGGTGAGGACCCACCAGGCGTTGAGGAGACGGATGACGAGGAGGGACCGGAAGACGGCGGGCTTGTTGCGCTCGTTACGAACTGCCATTAGGAGTTCGGGGCGGGCAGGCGGGGAGCCGACGGAAGCCATTGTGGAGCAAGCGTGGACACCCCTTCTCCTTGGTGGCCGGCGGCGGCAGCGGCGTAGGGGCAGCGAAGAGGGGGGGCGGTAGACGGGGCAAGGGGCGGGGTCGCTCTTTGCTTGTCGGCAGACGGTGGACGGAGGAGGAAGGCTATTGCGTAATCATCGGTCGGACGGCATGCGTTGATGCTGATGCCGCTAAGAGGAGAGAGGAAGCATGAAAGGGTATTCCTCTCTCTCGTTGGACGGAAACCGTGTTAGCGAGTCAGAAGACGTTGCGTAGGAGTGGTTGGTGTGTGCGTGGTATGTGTATGTGTGTGTGTCGGTGCTGATGGTGTTGTGACTCCTGAATGAGCTCAGGCCCCCTTTTCCGCCCTTTTCTTGCTGTCTCTTGCTTTCTGGCTCGTTTTTGTGTCGTCAGCCAGGACCGGCCAGGAGTGGAGTTGGAGGAAAAAGTTGTGATGCGTTATGATGCCGGCCGGGCCCCCTTCCTGATCGCTAATGGAATGTCGAAACGGGATGCAGAGCGCTAAAGTTTTATTGACAGGCCGTTGCTTTCTGGCAATTGGTCACTAAAACACTGGAGAGTCGCTGTCGCCGAAGGCCTGGAGTGGTAGGCACTGAGACCACCTAATCGAATACCTTGATATTCAGGCACGAGTCTGTACTGCATGGGAACCGCGACGGCCCCCATTGGATCTTTGTCGCATCTCCATAGTAATTGACCATCCTATTGGCTGCGAATAGCGGGAATGGAAATAGAGACGTCGTCATTGGGCGAGGCCTGGACTTTCCTCGTCCTTCTCGGTCGCTTCTGTGTCAGTCTTTCTGTCTCTCCACGCCTTGTTCAATTCATTCTTATCCCAATCTCGAATTCCTAGGCCAATGATACGGCGCCGAATTGATACCTCTTCACAGTGTAAGAAGCCTGGACGACTTGCATATCCAAAATAACAAGAGTTGATAGCGTAGATAAGCAGGTGTCATTTACTGCTGTACCTCGCTGATTTCGAGCACAGACGACCGTTATCGGCGTTTTCCTCGCTCGTTGTCCCTCCTCTCTCCAGCAACTCTGTCTTGGCTGTGTCGGTTCCTCCCCTCCGCTCCGCCCCTATCGGCAAAAGGTTGTTGGTTGGATCTGGTCTCTCGGCCATGTTTCCTGTCAACATTCCACACAGTCAGTCCCTCTCCCTCTCTCTCTCTGCCTTGTCCTCCCAACAACGCTCAGCAGTCTGCATCTTCTTCCCACGGCAACACGGAGCAATCGCACCTAATTCCAATTCATTACGCGATTCTTACTCCAGGAACGAGAAGCCACCGAGCGTACCGCTTTCCTTCGGCCGCACACCCCTCCCCGTCAACACCCATGTGACTGGAAATGGCACCGGGATGGTTTCCCTTACATGGTCCCCTCGGGCGTCATCCTGCCCACTCACCCACTTGAGCCGCTTATACCTGCGCTTAGGGGAACATACCTGCACTTAGAGGCATAGTGGCGCGCCTTCTGACTCCGACACCAAGAGTTTGGTTCCAGGTCATGGTTCAGGTTCGCCTTCAGGTTTTCCTCGTTTCTCTGCCCACGGCCAGCCAGGCGTTCTCGTTTTCGCCCGCCTCCGGCCCTTTGTTTGACCCTTGCCCACGTTGCCGCCTTCGCCGCCGCCCTCTTGCCATGGATGCTGGCCTGGTTTTTGCTTCCGTATCGCGCTTGAGTCCTTTAGTCAAGGATCAAGGACGCTTGCTGCCCGCCAGGGTATAATTACCTAAGACCCCGCGATCTGCCCCTCGTTCCCGTCTTCTTCTCTTGATGTTCCCTCTCTCTAAAACGTTACTCCAACGGCCACTTGTCCCAAAGTCGCACACACTCTCTGACAACCCAATTGACATCTCCAACTGACCTCATATACCCGTATTCATCCATACATATTGTCAGTCAACCAAGACACAATGGCTCCCCACGCAAACGGAACTACCCCTCAGTCCAATGGCGGGGTCGACTCGAGATACCACGCCTCGTCGACCGACGCCGCGATCAAGTCCGAAAACGAGCACGCTGCCCACAACTACCACCCGCTCCCCGTCGTCTTCGCCCGCGCAAGCGGCGTCCACGTCTGGGACCCCGAGGGCAAGGAGTATCTCGACTTCCTCTCCGCCTACAGCGCCGTCAACCAGGGCCATTGCCACCCCGAGCTGGTCAAGGCATTGACCGAGCAGGCTGGCAGGTTGACCCTCAGTTCAAGAGCTTTCTACAACGATGTCTTCCCCAAGTGGGCCGAGAAGATCCAGCAGGTCTTCGGCTATGATATGGTCCTGCCCATGAACACGGGCGCCGAGGCTGTCGAGACGGCCATCAAGATTGCCCGCAAGTGGGCGTACAAGGTCAAGGGTGTCGAACAGGGCAAGGCTCTGGTCTTCTCAGTGAACGACAACTTCCACGGTCGCACGGTACGTAACCACGGGTCGACTGATAGCTACTGATCCATCGAGTGCTGACGCCGACTTTCTTGACAGATGACGGCCATTTCCCTGTCTGTTGACCCCGAGTCGAGAGACAACTACGGTCCCTATGTTCCCAACATTGGCGCCCTCAACCCTTCCACGGGCCAGCCCATTCGCTACAACAACGTTGAGGATATCGAAGCGGTGTTTGAGGCGCACGGCAAGGACACTGCCGCCATCATCATCGAGCCGATCCAGGGCGAGGCCGGCGTTGTGGTGCCGGACGACGACTACCTGAAGAGAGTGCAGGACCTCTGCAAGAAGCACAACGTGCTCTTCATCTGCGACGAGATCCAGACCGGTATCGGTCGCACGGGACGGATGCTGTGCTCCCAGTGGGCCGGCATCAAGCCCGACATGGTGACGCTTGGCAAGGCCATCTCCGGCGGCCTGTACCCCGTGAGCTGCGTGCTGTCAAGCAAGGAGATTATGCTTGTGGTCGAGCCCGGTACGCACGGCTCCACCTACGGCGGCAACCCGCTTGGGTGCGCCGTGTCGATCCGCGCGTTGGAGATCATGGAGGAGGAGGATCTCACGGCCAAGGCAGAGAAGCTGGGTAACATCTTTCGTGAGGGCATTAGGGCCTTCAACTCGCCCATCATTGAGTTGGTACGCGGCAAGGGTCTCTTGAACGCCGTCGTCATCAACGAGTCCGCCGCCGCAGGCAGGACAGCTTGGGACCTCTGCCTATTGCTCAAGGAGAAGGGTCTTTTGGTAAGTGGCACCATACTTCCACAGGACATCTTGGGGAATAACTAACACTTTTGCTCTCAATAGGCCAAGCCCACACACGGCAACATCATTCGCTTTGCGCCTCCTCTGGTCATCTCTGAGACAGAGCTCCGCAAGGCCCTTAACATCATCGGTGAGGCGCTCAAGGAGCTGCCGACCGTCGAGAAGGCGGCGCACCACTAAGAGATCGGTGCGGTGAGAGGATGGTGACAATTGGATATGAGCCTTCCGTTGGACACACGAATAATGCGGCGATCGTAGAGAAGTTGGTGTCGTAGCACGCCACGAGTGTGGGGTGCGCGAGTGGTCCGTCAGATCTGATTTGGACTCTGACGAATAGCGGGATTGCTTCGACTCCTTGCTACCGCTTTTGGGTATCACTGTGGGCGTTAAGGAATATCACACGTCCTGGACTCTTGTTGTTTTCTCTACCTTTGAAAGCCGAGGGAAAGGAGGTTGAAGTTCGCGGCGCGGGGGTCTCATGGTATGGTCAGGTCATACAATTACCCACCTTACTCAGGCAGCATTGGGATCATCTTCAGCATTACACGGTTCGGAGCATAGGCCATGCGGCGGGGGCATCGTACAGGGTGGGAAAGCATTCGCCCCTTCATGTCACCTCTTAGACATGCATATATATATCGCGCTGTAACGGATCCCGATAGAGTGGGATTTGGATACATCACAAGAGTAGAGGAGCAAGAACACCAAAAGAGACACGAGCAAGAATTGTTACGAAGCACAGAACAATCTCAGCCAAGCCACGTCGCACCGCCATGTGTATGTAACTGTTGTATGTGTACCTTGTGTGTGCTGACATCTGTTGGAGCTGTACGGATTCGGCAAGTTGCATTGCATATGGCGTCGGCAGGCAGACACGCAGCAAGAGAGACAACCAGACACATGCAGCGGCAAGGGGCGAACACGTCGAGCTGCAGCGAAGCTTTTCACCCCCTCCTCCCACGTTCCCGTACATGATGTAGATTTGATAAGATGCGCCCTTCCTTGCGTATATCCGGTCTAGACCCCAAGAAAGCAGACCCGTATGGGTTGCGGGAACAGGGCGCGGGAGGCAAGTCGGTGGTGTGACTTATATCCTTGGGTTTTGATTTGTGCTGGGAGGGGGTTGTCCTCTTGGCTCATTGCGCTTGGATGGATGGATGGATGGATGGATGGATGGATTGATGGATGGGAGAATGGGAGAATGGCTGGACGCCGGCTTTCCAGATTGTCGGTCCATTGGCATGTCACATCTCGCAAGTTGAGCATGATGACCTCGCGACGATGCCGTTTTCCAGGCCGTCGAGGGTGAGTCAGACGCGGATTGGCTGGAGCGTAGCGAGAGAGGGACGTACCCTGGATTGGAGTCATCGGGATGCCAATGAGCCATACTGCTGCGGCTGGGACTTCCCAACAGCGATGCCAAGAGCTGTTGTTGTTGGTTATCAGGCGCCACGTCTGGTCCTTCGCTCTGAACTCCAGCCAGTCCAGGCTTGTCGATGAAGAGGCGGGTTGTGTAGTCAACTGATGGTCCACCTGGGTGATGGATGAAGGACAGAGTCTATTGGTCCTGGGCGGTTCCCGTTGCTTCGGAGAAGGCGATCTTTGTGGATTCGTCGCCGACTGAATTGTTTTGTCCAGCCGGGGTCTCAGTAGACGCAGAGGACGGTGCTTGTCTGGGCGATGCTTGTGCAGGAGCGATGCTGCACGTTAAACCTACTAGTCGCGGAAGGGTGAGCGTCTCGTTGGTTCGCCTTGGTCGTCGCAGGAGCCCCGACTCTTGAATCCGTGAGACAAGCCTAAGAGGCCTTTGAAAGCCATAGCAAGAAGCATACATGCAACTGACAGAAGCAGAGAAACGGGTGTGATGCCCTGCTTCCCATACTTCCTGTTTACCCCTCCTGCCCCCCCAAGTAGTATCGTGATTATGAAAGCCGGGGAGAAGAATGCGAGGGCTAGGACTGATAGACCAAGAACAATGAGCCAAGGGAAACATAAGCAATGGCATGGTGACAGTGAAAGCGTATGCTCCTGGAGGTGCCCATGTTCTTCAGCCATCTGTGTAGTTTATACTCAAAGAACCCCTGCTTGAATAGAGCAGACCTTGGGTTGCGCTAGTCTTTGCAACACGACTATACAGCGGAGCGTTACTGCAGGTTAGCTAATTACTTGGTGAAACTTTGAGGATGCGTAAGTCGATCTACACTGCAGTGAGCCGGAATCACATAATTGGGTGGTTGAGTGGCTCGGAATTGAACTTGACACTCGTGCTTTAGAGGAGCGGCCCTGTCCGTCCCTCGGTGTCCGACAGACGTCATGAGGAAGCGTGTTGATGTGTCCAGTTAGACAAGCCTAATGGAAAACCCGCGCCTCCAGGAAACATTGTATGGCTCCTCCCGTCTCTCGAGCAATGACGAAGATGCGATGCGGGTTGCCCGTCAGAGGCAGGATCGCGTCAGTTTGTTACAAAGACTTCTGTGAGCCGTCGTCTATGGTGGATGGGTGCCAGATACCGCCGCAAGAAAACCGCAAATGATGACTCGCGAGTCTATCTGCCTTGCTTCCAACTAACCAGCACGCAAAGGAGGCTACCCCTAGCCAGCTGCCTGCATATTGGCTCCCAACTTCAATGGCATCGAACGCATACCCGTTGGGCAACAAACATTTTCCAGAGGCGTTTAAGCCCGGCGACAAGCATCTTGCAGGGAACACCGGTGCGCATGAGTGCGGAGGTTGTACGTGGTATACGACTTCCCGAGAAACCCTCGTCAGAGACTCCTCTACGGCAGGAAGAAGGTCCGACGTGACGTGGGCGGCATCAGAGGGCTAGCCATCCCTCAAGCCCCAATGGAACATAGCATGGCACATCAAACGTGCAGGCGCACAAAGTTTTTTGAGACAAGCTGTTCGGTGACGAGATGATGAGTACAGCCGATGACTCTACGGCGCACTTGGCCATGTAGAAAAAAGAAAATATGCTGCCCAAATGGACAGATGTGATGAACGCCTCTCGGTAGCAACTGAGGCCGCCGTTCAGGGACTGCTAGCGACTTGGTCTGAAGTTCCAGACTCGCGTGATGGCAACGGGGAGTGGCGATTCTGGACCACAGGCCGGGGCCACAACCCGTGCTTTCCCAGGCTTGCTTCATCGCCAGAAACACCAGAGCCGCATCCTAGGTGCGTGCAGTACCCCGTCGCTGCTCATCCCGAATTCGAACTTCGTGGTATCAGCTGATTGACATGGGTGATTGGCTCAACAGCGGTTGGGGAGCTGCCGATCGCTGGCGGCGAGGCTACCATTTGGACGCTAGGACCTCGGGTGATGCGGGCATCCACTCTCCGAGAGGGTGGGCGGCTGGAGCTAGGAGCTTTGGAGTTGGGGCACGCGGGGATGGGTCCCCGTGTTGTGTGTAAGGGAGAAGCAAAGCGTAAAGATCGGCCGGGGATGCAAATGGCTGTTTGATAGTGACCACTCGGAATATTTGCTCCTGGGTTGACGTCTCACGGAAGGGGCCTGTAAAGTGTCGAGTACCTTCACCAGTCTCTATTACCAGACAGCACAATGGATTGTGTAGGCGAGGACGGAAGCCGACTCCCGAACGAAGAGCGATCGGCGGAGAATGGATGACGGCTCCGAAGACGCGGGACCCAGTTCGGATTGCCGCTTTGGGGCAGGGGATGGCACTTGGATGGGGGGGGGCTGGCTAGCGAGACAAATGTCTTGGAAGTTTTGGTGAAGGGGTTGCGCCATCGATGTCAGTTTGCCAGGCACAGTAGATGGCTCTGCCTTGGCCTTTTGAGCTTCGCCTTCTGCCTTGAGCGAATTGCCATGTGGGGTGCGAGCGATTCGAGGCCAAGGTCGGTGATGTCAATAGATTTCATGGGCCCCGAAACAGGGTTTTTGTGAATGACGAAGGCTTTGGGTGTCAATTACGAGCACGACTGAATGGTGGACGATGAGACTGTTCCTGCTGATGAGTAGCTTGTGTCTGCGATGAGAGAGAAACGGGAACAGAGAGAAAGTCTCCCCTAGACGAGTGGTTGCCTCGGACCGACACGCATGTGTAGGTGTATGGATTAGGATATCGGGGCGAGAGGACGATAAGAGAGCAGGCCGTGATTGAAAACGACGGAAAGGTGTTGGCCCTGGGGGCACTTGCACGTCGTAGTGGTGACCGATGCGGCACGGTACTTTGCTGCAAGGTAGCGATATTGGCGGGAACTAGGTGGGGAGCGACGTTCCTGTTGGCCCATTGAGTTGTTTGAGCCATGGATTTCGAGTAAGGTAGCTGCAGTTGCAGCGCCAGTCCTAACGACACCCGAGACCCCGATCAAAGTAACATTACAGCGGGTGTGTGTTGGCTGTGGTTGCCCGGTTGGTTTGGACCTGTGTTTGGACATTGTGTGTCTTATCTCACCCCATTAGGCAGGGAGACACCTGGGGGCAGCCACGGTCAGCGCTAACATTGAAGAAACACGAAGTGGACAAAGTCTCGAGTTTCGACCCTCGAGACAGCACCGAGATGGAGACGTCGTCTGGTGATCCGGTTGGCCGGCTGAGCAAGCTGACGCCAGGCAGAACGAGCAGCAGCCTGAACAATAAGGTGAAATCTAGGTGAGGCAAGACGAACCAGGGACGGCAGCCTGGAGGCTTGGAAGTACTGGGCGGCAGGCGATTTGTTGTTGAGCACGCAAAGTTCGTTACAAAGTAGGGGGCTTGCGTTTGCTGTTAGTCAAGATTGGATCACATCCATATCAGACAGGGGGCGTTGTTTGGACCGGAAAGTTAAGTTTTGAGGCGATAAATGACAAGTCAACGACAGCGCCGTGCAGAGGCAGAGGGAAGAAGTAAGTGGCCAGCGACTTTTGACTTTGGCAGCCTGTGGCATCAGGGTCAGGCACCTAGGCGGCGGCGTCAGTTCGGCGTCGGTCAGGCAGTGGAACACAAAATTGCGCCATGGCTCGCCGGGATGAGGGGACTCGACGGCTGTGAGTCGCCACGACTCGAACCGACTGAGCGAGCAGTCGAGTGTCCGCGACGCTTGAGCCGGTCGACTTGGTTTGGTGAAGTTTATGTGATGGTTCGCAAGAGCGGTGGTTGACAGCTGGCTAGCCCAGCCGCCGTCGGTTCGCTTTCACATGAGATAACGAGATATGGCATGTGTTTTGGTGAGTTGCTGCTAGGGAAAAGACGGCTAGGCGCCATGGATGTATGTATCTCTGCGTGTAGTGTACTATCAGGGTAGGCCAGAGCAACAAAACTTATGCATCCGCCCGTCCCTGGAGATCCACATCAGTCAGTCCGAAGAATGAGAATGTCTGTACCATCGTACCGTGGACCAGACTAGCGCTCCCGTGCAGCGCTGGGTCGCCTCTGAGAAAGCAAGAGGTACTCTGTAGCCGGTACTCTGTCTTGGCCGAGAGCTGCACCGAAACACTACGGAACTGACGTGTCGAAACAGCGCAGCAGAGTCTGCGATTCGGCAACAGCAGGCAGACTTCATGCGTCCGGGTCTGGTCTTCTGGCGTGCATCTGGAAGGGTGGACGAAATGCTACAAAGGTGGATCGCGGGCAGCTAGCTGCGTAAGGGGTTGCTGTCCACACGGCAAAGCAAGTGGATAAGGTTCCATCGCGAGCAAGTTGTTACAGGGGAGAGAGGGCCGCTGGAGCCAGCCAGCCACCCAACACCGAAGGTGGTGCCATGTGTAAGTGTTAGAGGTGAGGAGACGCCTGCCTGCGTTGGAGACTCGATTTGCACTGAAGTGGGCGACTGGAGAGATGGTTGGACGGTGGGGGCTGGAGAAAGAAGGGAAGATTGGGGTCCGATGGGGGTTCTGCCACAGCGACAACGTAATTATGGAACGGCCACAAGGGACGAGCGGCCAGGCCAGAGGTGTTCCAGCAGTCACAGTGTATTCTGCTGCACGCCGGAAGCTACGTCTTCGGAGACGGTTTCTTACCAGCGAGGCGCGCTGCCATAGATAGGGACATGCTTCGTACCGCATTAAGGTGGATTTGGCATTGATGATAAATGGTGGCAGGCCAGGCTTGCAGGAGGAGGTGGAGGACGAGGTAAAGGACGAGGTAGAGGAGGCGTGCCATGGCAACGTGCTGGGGGATAAGGCACTGGGAAACTGGATAGTGTCTCTCGCAAGAGGAAGCACTTGTCAGAGTCGAAGAATCATAGCCGTCGGTGACTGCCAACGTTCGTATCTGGTGCCTCAGGTTCGACGTTGAGGTACTTGTCCATGTAGGTGCGCGTGGGAAGTACCTGCAGCGCCTGAGGGTTCTTGTTCAGGCTGCCCGTGCTGTGTTTGCGTTTGCTTCTGCTTAAACACAGTATAATCAATGTACGGTAGGTACATGGCTGGGTAGCTTGCCCAGCAGATTTCCCTTGCCCATCGGGTTCTGGGGTAAAAGGACGGCAAGTGGCTGCAAGTTGCTGCGTTGTCTGCCGCTTTCCCAAACACGGATGTTAGGCGAGTTCGGCGAGTGGAGATGGAAATGCACAAGAAAGGGACGAGATGCAAACACCGAAACGGCGTACCCTTTTTTCTGGCACCCGGCATGTCGCTGGTGCTGTGATCCACGGTGGATAAGAGTGGTGGTGGTGGTGGTGTTGTAAGGAAGGGAAGAAGGATACGATACGGGCGCGTGCGGCAGGATGAGGAAGGCGGTGGTGGGCGGTGAAGGCCAGGCTAGGCAAGGCAAGGCAAGGCACACCTTTTTGGTGGTGCGTGGTGCCAGTGCTTGGTGCTTGGTGCTTGTCGTGTGTACCTAGTCTTATCGCGATACATGAGCCTTATCGCGCCATGATGGCATTTGAGTGCTGCAACAGCCAATACCCCTACTCGGCCCCGTCCCCCATTCGCCCTCTTGAGAGCCTGCTCCCCTGCTCCCCACATCCTCGCTTGTCCCCTCCTGCGCGACCGAGACCGGACTGGTACAGGCAAGGTATCCCTCCCCAACCGCATCCCCGTCCCACCACCAGAGAGACCCCTGGCCAGTGACCACGAGGATACGAGCGGGGCGGTTTGGCCACGATGCACCTGCATTGGCTGTTCCGGACCGGCATGTAGACAGGCGGGCAAGGTACGTACCGCTTTTTCCCAGTACCGCAGCAAGCAGGTGCAAGGTGCACACTCGCACACTTGGGGAAAGAGCTCCACCGGGCAGGGCAGCGCACTGCATCACGAGCCCCCCGACTGCACGTCCTCAGGTCACCCGCCCTCTCTGTCGTCGTCTTGTCGCCCAAGTGTGTTTTGGAACAGAGCTTACTATTATTTGACGAGGATTCGACATTTGTCCTTCCTTCGACTGTGCTGCGCTGTGTTTGTTGTGTGGTGTGCCTAGGCATTCGCCGTCGAATCACCCAGGAGATACACGCGCACTTTCTGCTGCTGCTCCTCACGCATCTCCTACGGTCTCTTGCCCCCCCCCCCTCCAACATCTCTCTACCTACCTTCTTTTCCCATCCAGGCACGTCAGGTTCATGTCGGCCTGACTGCGCAGGTTGTGGTCGCCTCACAGTGTGTATATGTGTATATGTTCTGTGTGTGTGAGTGCACAGCTTTAGCTGCGTTTTCTCAGTCCTGCTGTCCTACCCGCAGCATCACGGCACATCCGCCAAAACCCACCGCCCACATCAGGGCATCTTCAATATCCCGATCAGGAGGTTGATCAAGCGCACCAAAACCATCACCAAGGCATCCCTCTTGTTGATCATTCTGCTCAGACCCAGATCAACCCGGCCCCCCCGTCTCCAGAAATAATAAAAAATAAAGCAAGAACCACCAGCGCAGCGCAGCGCATCACATACTGTATCGCACCCAGCTGCAGTCCATCCAATCTACCCGTTGCCCATCTGGCGCTATCGCTGCGCCGCTCCAAATGCTAGGTACCCTTTATCGCACACCACAACCTTGCATCCACCTCCCTATCTAATCGGTCTTATCCACTCTGGGCCCCATCCGTCCTCGTCACTCCAGTCTTGTCTCTGTCACTCAACTCTCTCCTTCGGCGCGTCCCTTGACCTTCTTCTACGTCGCCTGCCCATCCCCATCTCGACCGCCCCTTCTCTCTCTTTCGCCAACCTCGACTTCTCTCTGCCCTCTGCCGCTCCGTCACACTCGTCTCCTTTGCTTTTTCACCACCCACGACATCCCTCGACATCTCTGCCCCCGTTCACTTCTTGGAACCCTTTGTGCATACCTAGGATACATCACCTCCCACACCGTGTGTACCGCCGTTTGCCTCGTCCACAACCGCCTCTCCATCAGGGTACCTGCCGAGTACAAACGTCACAGCCTTGATAGCTCCGAGTCATTAGCTTGACCTTGGACTTTGCCTGACTCTTGTCCTGAACAAGAAAAAAAAAAGGTACAATCCTTTCCAAACCTCCCCCGAACTCTCTCGTATACTGCGAAAGCCTCAAACGGCTGGTACCTCGACTACTTAGCTTGCTTTCTAACGCTCATCGTCCGCCCGTATTAGTCACATCTATCTCGACCCTTCGGCGCCTCCCACCTCCTCGCCGATTACCGCCCACCCATCTCAACATCCCAATAAACCCATCCTTGCCCGCCTCTGGCTTCCCTCGACTTTTGTTTCTCTCCCGGCCGTGTCGCCGAGACCATACTACACTCTCACACGGACGCCACGACGGTCCTTCCATTCTGCATCGGCCTGTTGCTTGTGCGCCCTCGACCTATCGGATAGCTGCCTGCCACCTGCTCTACGGTCCCTGCCCGCCGAAGCAATAACCCCCAGGGTTCAGGCTGCTGCCCGAAGCTGTATTTACCTGCCCGTCTCTGCTTCCTCGCGCAACTCTTTCTCTTGCCTGTTCCATCAACCCCAATCCTCTCGACCATCTCTTATTCGACCTCAAACGTGTACATGACGACACCGCACGCCGCCGACGTCTTTCGAATAGTATAGGCCCTCGGCCTGGACTTGACTGTCCCGACCTTGCACCTGTCCTAGACAATCTCACAGGCGACAAATATGGCGGAACGGCCTCCAACCTCGTCCTCCTCGCGGAGGCGACGCGAAGGCGATGCGTCCATCGGGGATTTTGTGATTGGAGGTGAAATCGGGAAGGGCAGCTTTGCCCAGGTGTACAGTGGCTACCACAAGGTTCGCGAGCTCCCCTACCCGAGACGTTTCTTGAGAGCGGTTCCCTCAAACTAGGCTGTTGCTCTCACTGCTTGCCTCTGAGCTCCCTTCTGTCCTCGACCCCCCTAAGCTGTTTTAAAGCTGCCATGCTCTCGTATATGCGTGTCTCGTACTTGATGTGCTGATTCATTGTGACAGAGCTCCAAAGCAACTGTAGCGATCAAGTCGGTAGAAATGGGTCGGCTCAACAACAAGCTTCGAGAGAACCTGTACGGCGAGATCCAGATACTCAAGACTCTTCGTCACCCCCACATCGTAGCCCTCCACGACTGTGTCGAATCGGCCACACATATCAACCTCGTGATGGAATACTGCGAGCTTGGTGACTTGTCTTTGTTCATTAAGAAGAGGGACAAGCTCAGCACCAATCCGGCTACCCACGAGATGGCGAGGAAGTACCCCGTCACCCCTAACTCGGGTCTTCACGAGGTCGTCACTCGCCATTTTCTCCAGCAACTTGGCAGTGCCTTGAAGTTCCTGCGCGAGAAGAACTACGTCCACCGAGATGTCAAGCCTCAGAATCTTCTTCTTCTACCATCACCAAGGTTTAGAGAAGCACATTCACGCCCGATTTTGACTGCGAGCCAGGACTCGTTGATCCCTAATTCCGGCCTCGCGTCCCTCCCAATGCTGAAACTTGCCGACTTCGGCTTCGCTCGCGTCCTGCCCTCTACGTCTCTCGCCGATACTCTTTGCGGATCACCCCTCTACATGGCCCCGGAGATCCTTCGTTACGAGCGCTACGACGCCAAGGCTGACCTTTGGTCTGTCGGGACGGTCTTGTACGAGATGATTACTGGTCGTCCCCCCTTCCGCGCCCGAAACCACGTCGAGCTTTTGCGTAAGATCGAAGCCGCCGAGGATAGGGTGAAGTACCCGAAGGAGCTCGTGGTCAGCAAAGAGCTGGTTAAGCTCATCGGCAAGCTCCTCACTCGGAACCCTGTTGAACGGATGAGATTCGAGGACTTCTTCAACGACCCAATATTAACCGAACCCATCCCAGGCACGGTCGAGGACGATGCTCCTCCCAAGCCAGAGCCAAAGGCCTCCCGGGATTTACGATCTCTCGGTCGGTCTGACTCGACATCATCGTTGTCCCGCCGGCTATCTCTTCGTCGACAGGCTGAGAACGAGCCTGTCCGTGAACAAAGTGAGATGGCAAAGTCGCCTCGTGAAAAACCTTTGAGATCACCGCAGTTGCCTAGCCCTATTGAAGGTCGACCTCAGCAGGCTGCAGCCGAAGCTACAACGCGTATCGGGCAGTCACCAGGGCAAGAAAACGGAGAGGGACTAGGTATTCGCCGTCCACCATTGCCTCAGCCCTCGACTTCTGCGCCCACTCGGCCTCATAGACTCTCCAATGCGTCTCTCAACCGACCTTCAGCGCGAGCTTCTGTTTCACCACCAACTTCTTACTTCAACGACAGCTCGCCGAGGAACAAGCTCCGTCCTGTCGCCGAGCGAAGCGTTACAGAGCAAGAGAAAGCTGCTCAGGATGTCGCATTTGAGCGAGATTACGTCGTTGTTGAGAAGAAGCATGTGGAGGTAAACGCATTTGCCGACGAGATGGCCGCCAACCCGCGGCTTACCTCATTGTCGCCCAAGACCGGTCAGATGATCCGTCGAGCAACGCAACAGGGTCCTCCTAACTCGGCGACCGGAGCTGGGCGTGTGCAGCCCTCAAACGCTGTCCAAATTGCTCAGGGCAAGGGACGTTCCGGCCATGAACGCCGCGATTCTTATGACGGCAAAAATTTCTCGGCCAGTCCCACGACACAGGGATTCATCGCAAAGGCCATATCTGATGCCAGCGTCCGTCTATTCGGATTCAAGGTCCCTCAGCATGTATTGGGTGGAAAGGGAGCGTCTCCGCCTCTCTACAGTCCTTTTCCTGCCTACCCGACGCCATCAGCCCCCGTCGGTCTTATTGGTGACGGCAGGCAAAACGCCCCGGTTGATGAGGACGCGCGAGCCGTCAAGCTCATCCAAGACTTTGCGCACCGGAGTGACTGCGTTTACGGGTTTGCCGAGGTCAAGTATAAGCAGCTATTCCCTCTCGCGCCATCGATGGAGCACGGACTCGGTGGTATGCCTGCCGACCAAATCACTGGGGACGAGGACGGTCTTACAATCGATGCTGAGGTTCTCTTGTCGGAAGAGGCTCTGGTTCTTTACGTCAAAGCTCTGACCCTATTAGCTAGAGCCATGGACGTCGCAAGTCTGTGGTGGACCCGGAAAACGCGTGGCGACTCAACAGGAGCGTCCGCGGCTGAGGTTTCCAAAGAAGGTCTCGCTCAACGAATCAACTCGACTGTGCAGTGGGTGCGAAGTCGCTTCAACGAAGTGTTGGAGAAGACCGAAGTCGTTCGCTTGAAGCTCATTGCCGTCCAGCAGAAGCTTCCGGAGGACCACCCCAGCCACCCAAGCAACCATGGCGGCGAGTCGGTGTCGGCTGCGTCGAGCACTAAGGATGTCTATCTTACGCCGGGTATCAGTGCCGAGAAGCTGATGTACGATCGAGCCTTGGAAATGAGTCGAACGGCTGCCATTGACGAAATTACGAACGAGAATCTTGAAGGTTGCGTCACGTACTACGTCACGGCCATTCGTATGCTTGAAGCTGTCTTGGACAACGACGAGGATACGGTCAAGCGCCGTTACTCGAGCTCAGGCAAGGATCTCCCCCGTGAGGAGATCTCTAGCGACCTGGACAGCGATGATCAGCAGGTTGTCAACCGAAGTAAGTCTTGCGGGAATCCAAAGATATTGAACGCTGGTGCTAACGTTTACCCAGTGATTCAAATGATAACCGCTCGTCTATCGACCGTCCGCAAGAAGATGGCCATGATTGCCGAGGCATCGAGATCACAGCAAGTGGCGCAGCTTCCAGGGCGCAAGCGCAGCGGTGACGTGACACCCCGCAGCGTGCCATCTCACGCTTAGTGAGCTTGGGGGAAACTTGCTTAAAAGAGAGCTTGGCTCTCGTTATACGGAAGGAAAAAATCAACACAACAATGCCTCACGGCTACGAACAGCTGCTTTTGTTTCAGACTTGATTTGCCCTGGCCAGTCGACGACTAGTTCCCTTTGCGACCTGAGTGGGGGATACGGCCAGGGTACTGACCATTACTTTTCATACATCGGCGTTAGGGGGGGAGGGAAATCAGCATACTTGGGACTTCACATGACTGTCTTTTCATTCTTGCCTCCATTTCATTGGCGTTGGGAATTTGTGGCTCCAAACTTATCAGCAGTGTGGCTGAACAACGATATGGTTGTTTTTGGGGACGCCGCACGAGTGCGAGAAGGGGTATTACAGGACCTTGAACCGGCATGACAGGTTGGCTTTCGTTGTGTTTCTCATTACGCAAGGACGGCCATAGGATGATGGCGATAGGGATCATGGCCGTGGCTTGGACACATGCATTAGTGCTAAATATCCTTTGAGGTATCACCGGCGGAGACGGTGTGGTCTTTGCTCTGTCTAGTCGAGCCAATACTGGAAAATATTCCAACCATCGATTGATATTGCATCGCGCCCTTTTCTTCACATTTCGTTCCCATAATGTGCTCTTTTGGTGTCTGCTACTCATCGGGTCGGTTTCCTCCAACGATCGTCATTCAGTGCATGTCAGCGTTTCTATCTGACGATTTCAGTGTTTAGTAGCTTATACCCATAATTAACATCCTACATTGTTCCGAGCTGTATGGCACTTTTTCAAGTTCTGGAACTTGTGTACTTGCAGGACAGTGCTTTCCCTTGGGAAAAATAAGAGAACACAGTCCTTGAGATCTACAAAAAGGGTAAAGAGGGATGGGCGAGGGATAATACGCGAAGATAACTCGGTATTGAATGCTTGTTTCATTGGCTTTTTTCTTCTTTTTTTCTTTTGGGGGGGGGGGAGGGGTTGTTTTCTTCCATCAAAGTCAATGAACAAGGAATAGGATACAGAATAGATAACAAGACTGTACTGTTTTGTCGAGCCCCAAGACATAAGACAGCCTGACAAGGACCTGTTACATTATCATCAAGGTTGGCGTAAGCAATGACTACATGTCATTGTTATCTTGTGTAGTCTGAAGTTAGGCACATGATCTGTATTCATTGAGTCCTCATAGAATATGCTCGTTGAAGATCAGAGCGTGTGAAAGGTCACCGGGTTACAACAAATAACTATGTTTCATGAACTCAGAAGTAGATAGCCGAGTAGAGTGTGACAATTGTTTGTGAAATTGTCCGTGTCTCTGGTATCATATCCTGACATTTTAAGTCTATATAGCGATCAACTATTCTGAGTACCTGCTTCTCAGCGTTTTAGCGGTATTCTCCCCTCATTGCCAGCTTTCGATGAACAGTTAGGAACGGCACACATTCTCGAGATGTTGTCGTCGACTAGTCCGGGGCCCAACGAAGTGCACTCGACTCAAGAAGAGACCGCGAACTACGCTCTCCTCGATGCCGCCACCTATTCAGACCCTCAGCCCAATGTGGCCAACCACCAGACTTTCTCTGAGTCAGTAGCCAAGCCCACAAAGCTCTGTTCCGTAGGTAAGTCAGACCCTCTCCTCCCCAAACTGCGATACATCGAAGGCTTCCCCATCCTTCGCTTTCAACCCCGTCCCAAAACCGCCACCAATCCCAAGCGCGCCCCTTGTCCACCTCCGCGCCCCAAGCCTGAGCCACGATCTCAGCCATCGAAGCTGCAGTACATTGATGGTCTCCCCGTCCTTCTCCAAACCAATGCCGAGCTCGCCACATCCCGCGCGAAGCTGCCTCCAGTCTACTTCCGCGACCATACGCCAGGCAAATGCCTTCACTGTACGCTTATGTCATCCCCGTGCACCTTCACAAAGGTTACGCCGTCGGCGCCGTGCGGACGGTGTAGGCGGCTCAAATGGGTTTGTATGGTTCGGAGGCCAGGGACGGCAAGGAGGATTGTCACGGGAAAGGGGCCGGGGACTGGGTCCCTATGGAGAGGGCGGTTGAGGGAAGACTTGGAGAGGACGGGGCGGTGGTGCTTGTTGAGAAGGCTATGGGTGAAAGTGAGGAGAAGGGGAAGAGGGTGGTATTTGGGAACAGCGTGAAAGAGGGGGACATCAGGAGGTGGTGTCTGCCGAGGGTTATTGGGGGTGGTGATGATGCTGCTAGGTTTTAGAGGAGGGTTTTAGAGCGGCAGGACGAGGAAGGCAATGGGACTAAAGAGGCGGTCGACGGCTCTCTATTCGAAGCCGTGGTTAAGAAAGGATAGAGGCGTGAACTCATACATATCCAAGCAAGATTGATTAGTGTTCGCAAGCTTCTACGTTGGTACACGAAGGTGGGAGATGGTTGGAGCATAATTCATGAATCACAAGCTGCAGTTCATATTCCGCCCGATGGCACTAAGAGATGTCTTATGATTAAGGTTCGACGGTTACCCCATATATCTTCTTCCAAGCAGACAGCCAACTATGACCATGAGATAAATATATTAGAGTTATCTATCCCTAGGCGACGAAAGAGAGTCTGCACTACTGAGAAGTTGAGAAGTGTGGACAGGTTCTTTTCGTAGCAAGAAACCAATTTGTCCTACCAGCTGCAGGAACTTTGAAGAACCGAATCTTCATGGTGCTGTATTCTGTGCTAAGAAATATCCATCTGTTACGATAATGTACACGTACATGTAAACTACTTTGTCTGTCCTAACATCTTTTTTCTTCTTTTTCCCCCTGTGATAGCTTATGGCCTGTTGTTGGAGATTCTGAGTTAAGTAGTTATCACAAGTTTCAAAAAAAATAAAAACTCAGATTACCATGCAAGTCTTCTTTTCTCTTGTAGTCTTCTTTCGTCAAAGCCATGCACTGGGAAAATTGGATGAGCATAATGTTCAAGTTTTGATTGAAAACCGAAAACGAGATGAGGGAAGAAAGAATAAGGCTGTAGCAAGGGAAATTGTTAAAAAGAACAGAGTCGTCTGCTGAATTTTTTTTCACTCTGTTAATGGACCAATAGCATTACACGCGATGTCGTCCCTCTTACATACGTACACCATCACTTTTCAGCTTCCCCCGGTTGAGGCAATGCAACCAACGTCTTTGTTCCCACACAAAGATGATTGGGCGACTGCCCAATCGAAAGCCAACATTTCAGAAGAAAATATGCGTCTTGCAAATTCTTGCAAGCCTTGAGATTCTTGGCTGAGATTGACTAGATGAGTCAGCTGGAGGGCCGTGGCCTGGGGGCTGATATGCTTTACGTCACCGTGACCGGTACATTCATAGACGATCCATAGTTGGCTCCGACCTCTGCTTATAAGGCCCAACAATGAGTTTACAGAGTTTACATGCTTCCTCTCACTTCCAATCATATCACAAAACCATCTTTACCTTCAACTACGCAGGTCTTACATCCCAAAGACACAAAAGTCAACATCATCATGGCGTCCTCAATCCGCACCCTTAGACTCGCGCAGCGCGCACCTCAAGTGCTGTCAAGAGCTGCACCCACATCAGCCCGCATCCCTATGCAATCCCGCCTAGCAAACATGCAGAGGCGTCTCCTCAACACCGACTCTGCGCCAGTCCTCTACAGCGCATCGGCAAAGGTCGTCGGCGCGCGCACGGGACACGTCGAAGGCGACGACCTCGTTGTGGACCTTACCATGGCCAAGGCCCTCGGCGGTCCCGGAGACAAGGGCAAGACAAACCCAGAGGAGCTCTTCGCGGCAGGCTACGGCGCGTGTTTCCAGAGCGCCATGAACGCCTCGGCGTCAAGCATGAAGATCCAGATGCCCAGGAAGCCCGAGGACTCGGTCGTCGAGACGACGGTGCACCTCGTCGGCGACATGAAGGCTCTCGACATGGGCTTGCGCGTCGACATGAAGGTCCGCGTCAAGGGTTTGAGCAACGAAGAAGTGCAGAAGGTGGTCGACAAGGCCAAGGAGGTGTGCCCGTACAGCCGCGCGACAAAGGGCAATTTGACGACGAACATCGAGGTTGTCAAATTCGATGAAAACGGAGACTCTGCAAACTCAAAAAGCAATGTGACCTCGGGGGGTCCGGGAAAGTCTGAGGCAAAGCCTGCGCAGAATTCTGGCAAAGAGCCTGGCGAAGTGGACGGTGTGAGGCCGACGGGCCACAGCGACTACCAATGAGCGGGATATAGTTGCGTTGTGGACCATTGTATTGCGAAAATATCGCGTGTAAACTAGCCTACATCAACATTTTTAGAATAATGTTTAGAATGTTCACAATAGAATGTTCACAAGCTTTAATATTCCTGCCATGTGTTCTTTATTTGTAACCACCGAATGTTCCATTCATACACTTTGCCATGGGACTATGGTCTGAGTGAAAGAAGAGATCGGCGTAGTGGTTCAGGAAACCACGAGGTGCTGCAAATGTCCCACCAACGCTTCTAAGAACCAACCTTGAAGTCCGCAGTGCAGAAGTGGTCATCCTTGGTGGCGTAGCCCGCAGTCCAGTCTCCAACACCATTAGAAACCTGAGCATAGCCCATCTTACTCGGCCCGCATGTCCCCTTCACGTAGGACCACGTCCCCTTTACGTCGGCTTTGCCCTTGTAGCCATCGCTGTACGGGCAAATGAACGAAACGACGTTGCCTCGGACGCACTGTCAATTTTTGTCAGTGTCCGTGATACTGGCATCTCTGAAGGCCAACTTACATAGGACCAGGCGTTCTTGTTCAGGTAGATATTGTCACCGGTAAAGTTGTCCACGAGGCATGTGTTGGCCTCGTCCGCTTCGCCGCTACTCACAGAACCGGGACCGCACGCTTCTCTGCGCTTCTCCAGAGGAGAGCGCGGCTTGACTGAGGTCGTGGAGATCTCGGCCCATGGCTTGAAGTCTGTCTTGGTATTCCCAGAGTCATCGACTGTGACCTGGTAAAAGCCATCGGCAACATCGCGGGCTTGGTTTGGTAGTGCGGCCGCAGACACCGAGGCGGCACTGGCGAGGAGGATGGTACAGAAGTCGGTGGTCTTCATGTTGAGTGGTCTGTTGATTTGGTGGATATCGAAAGATTGAAGAATGTGTGCTTGTCTTGTCTGTTTACTTCTTGTTCTGCCTGTTCAGTTGTTGATAAGGGTTATAAACGACAGAACTTCGGAGGTGGCAGGTGTTATATATGTGGTTTGGAAGCCTACATAGTAGAACAAATTTCAGTTTGAAATTGTACTAACGTGACTTCATCCCTATTCTTAGCGCTGTCATCTGATCCAACTTTGACAACGAGGAAGTCGATCCTACCCAGGATTATCGTGAGTCTTGGCATACCATGTCTAATCCTAAACTCCAGTAAGCCGTAGATCAGTTGATCGCAAGCCTAGCAATAATTCCTCTGTTGGCTTCCAGGGACCCCATGGGAGAGGATGACGTAGGCTATCTTCTTTGATCGGGGGGGAAACACGACGTGTAATGTCTCGCAAGGGGACATATGTCGGTACGCTGATCTTTAGAAGGATTTCAACCTCCAAGCCCCCTTGATTTGCGTTCTTGATCCTGCCTGTACTGCATTACAACATCAAAAGGCTGGTTTTGTTTACACTCCAGCCCTATCGGGATACGGAAAGAAATCCAGGATGTCCAGTTGTTCGCAAAATTTAACAATTTTAGCGTCTGAAATAGGTCGTAGACTGCAAAAGGATTTCGATAGCGTGTAAGTGTAATCCACTGAAGTCGGGAATCGGACAGTAGTTCGAATGCTGTTATACATGCATTTGATAGGTCTACTACATTAAGCCTGTTTGCGAAAGCGAATGGCTGGGGAGACTAGTTCCCATGTCGATTGCACCAAACAATGAGAGATCTTGACAGTGTTGGTGCCTAGATGCCAGCTGCTGGCGGACCGGATGAGAGTGGTGATACAGTGGATGGGAGGAATTGGTAGCATCAGGTTGCTTAAAGTTTTACGACTTGCTGTATCTGTGTACCGTACAGTCGAGTCCAGCCTGTCTTAACTCTTAGCATATCGGACCGGGGCGCAACACCTTGCGGTTGGGTTGAAGATCGGCAATTGCTTCCCACTTTTCCTAGTATGTTTCTGTTGTTTCGCAATCCTGCCTTTAGCGCTGACTGGCTTAGACATGAATCCTTCAAGGCAGCAATTTTGAAAAGCACAGATATGCGATTCTATAAGACATCACGTCACGCAGCTAAAGCTAAATTATTTTAGGCGTCAAAATGAAGTTCTCAGGTCAAGGTCATAAAATGAGAAAAGAGGAGAGTAGCCAGCTTAATAACGTTTCATTGTCATCTAATGACGTAGGCGTCGGAAATTCCATGTCAGAAGTATTTCCAGCAATATGGATTATTCGACTCTCATCTTGAACATCTTTTGATGCTCGTCCGACCCACGACTGAACGCCATTGTCGGAAGCAATTAGCAGCTTCAATAATGTTGACTTGTAAACACTGTTCTTTACGGAAGCGCGACACGATGGCTACGTCCATCAATCAGCCAAGGGATTGAGTATCCTTCGGGTAAAGCACATCGTGGTGTGCTAGGATGCAAGAACCCAGTACAGTATGGAGGCGTTAGCAGCCAATCAAAACGTATCACCGAAGGGCTCGTCACCATCTTGACAGAAAGAGAAAACTTTCTAACAGACCTTGCTAGTAATGAGCCGCATGCTGCACTGTTATGGGAAGGGTTTCGCGTGATACTACCTGTGATTCTCCCGATTGTAGCGGAAGACAGGATCTGACTTCATTCAGCTTCCTCTCAAACCAAGTTCAGAGCAAACTGCTGCTTTGGGAGGCTTTTCAGATGTCGCGAATATACTACGCCAATCCAGCGTCATCGAAATAGATCTCCAATAACTTACAATCAGTTCCACTCGGATTTGGTGCAGCTGAAAGCTCAACTCAGCACGTATTTGATCCAACTCTACGTCATGGTCATCAAGTGCCTGACTCAGTCCGTACTTCGTTATAAACACAGCGTAGTCAGTCGGTATTTCCGCGACACGACTCAAGCAGATGACTGGGAGTCACTAGTGAAGAGTACAAAAACGTGAAGGATCCAAATGCAGAGACACCAACATAAGTCAACCTGATAGCTGTTCTCGTGGCTCTATCTGACTATTTTGTGTCTAGGCGATCGGACAACATGTTCTGCTTGCTATCGGACAGCAGGGTCAACGGATGTCCATGGGGTTTGCAGAGATGACGAAAAGTTTCCAATGCCTTGAAGTAGGCATCGAGCGTATCCGCCAGGTAAACAGTGCCCGTGAAGATGCCACTGAAGATCCGACTCTGTACAGTGGTTTTCTATTGTCCTGAGTATAACGCCTTTGAAAGCTCCAAGGAGCCCTAGCTGTTATTTGTTACTACAAAAACAGGCAAAAGCAAATCCACTACCATAAGAACACTGATAGATATGCTTTAGGCGTCTGATGAGCTTTTTTTGGTTGCGTATGTCTATTTTAAGGATGATGATACCTAGCTCTGTAACTACAACGAAGTCCTTAGTACGATGATCCATCAATTACTAGTTCAGGATGGCAGTTAATCTAATACGCCAAGGCTATAGTGACAGTACAGATACGCAATCTAGCACTAGAATTGAAAAACATGTGGCAGGTTCTCCTTGCTATTGCTTCTTAAGCTAATTGTAACGGTTTTTGTGTCTTGGTGCGGTCAAGGAAGAGAACTAGGACTCAGTGAAATCTCAGAGCCCATAACACTTATTGCGGCGAAAGCTTGAAGTTCGTTTCCATTCTCAGTTTCGGAGCTTTAGATCGCATATTCTTAGGCCAGTGATATCATAGACACCACAGAAAAGTCATAACAATCATTTTCCGTCGTGAAGCGGTTTCCCCAAATCGGTAAGTGAGGTTCGATCTCAGGGTTAGTAGAGACAGGCGCCGGGGCCACCTGGTCCGGGGTTAACCACACTCTCGGGTTCGGCCCCGGCGATCGGAGCACAAGACCGCCTCGTCTAATTGTATCGATGTTACATAGAATCGGCATGAGGGTCGAGATGTGGAACTGATCATGTATCATGCTCTTCAACTCGCATCTCATGATCAGATCAACAATCGCCTCGAGATTAGGTCAGAGTTTCGATGTTCAGTGACGGGCGCTGACAACGTGATTGGGCTGATGAGGTCATTTGGTGGAGTTCGGCGAGGGCGGGGGATGCTAGTGAGCCAGGGTTCATCTCATCGTTAACCACCTGTCACTACTGACATCTTGAGTCAACATCGTCTCAACCGCTAACGGAAACTTGAACAACATCTATCGAAACAGTCGGAACGTTGGATCCTTCGAATCACCTTTATCTAGCTACGCATATTACCACGTGGTTCTAAATATGCCCCCTCCGCCAGATCTGTCCCATTACATCCTCCCGGACTCCGAGTCCAAGAAAATCTTTACCACAAAGATCCTCCCCACCGACCTCCCACAATCTCTCACCCCGCACCCCACCCGGTCTCGGCCCCTCGCCGTGCTCATAGTCGGCCAGACAGGCGCCGGCAAGACCCGCACAGCGCCCGCCGTTCTCAATGCTATGAGCCGCATCCATCCACCGGTGCACCTCATTGCCGACGTCTACAAGGCCTACCACCCTTCTTACGTCACTCTCCTTGATTCCGCCAACCCCGCTCATGCATCGCCCGCCACAGGCCCTGACGCGCGCAAGTGGCTCGCTATGGCCGCCGCCGAGGCCATCGTCCGCAAGCTCGATGTCCTCCTCGAGAGCGCGTGCCGCCACCCGGATGACTTCCGCGAGCTGGCCCGCATGTTCGGCGAGGCTGGATATCGTGTCGAGGTCGTTGTGATGGCTGTGCCCGCGGCATTAAGCAGGTTAGGCATCCTGCACCGCTTTTACGAGAGGTTGCCAGAGGCGGGGAGCGGGGCCTTGCCCATTCGGCTCACACCTGTGAAAGTCCATGAAGATTCTTATAGGGGCCTCATGAGCGTGGCAGAGTGGATTGATGGAGTGAACTACGCTGACAGGGTTCTGGTCGTAAGGAGAGGCAACATGGTTGCATTTGCAGATGAGAGAGGAGAAGATGGCAAATTGCAGGGCAAGGTTGCTGAAGGGGTGAGGAAAGAGCGAGAGCGACCATTGACTGAAGAAGAAAGGAGCGTCGCCGTGAGGGACTTAGAAAGGTTAGCGGCACGCGACGCAAACCTAGCACAGCAGGTCACGGTGTTGCTCGAACCTTTGTTGAAGGAAGAAGATCATTCATATCCAGAATTGCGTCCGCTGGTTTTCCAGCCCCATGGTCCGAGAGAAGCTTTGCTTACGCTAGGCGAAGCATGAAGCCATAGCGGCCTGGATAGATAGGAACCTTGGCATTGTTGAGTAATCGCGATAAGGAAGATTGAAACTCTGGTTGACTCGTATAGGTAGAAATAGAGAAAGAATAACAAGGGTAGTAAATGAGAATGGGAAGAGTGGCGTGTCTGAGACAGTGAAAGTAAGGTACTAGCATCGTCCCTCTTTCCTAGTTAGTTGAACCAAGTTCTCCATGCGCCTCTACTATCCTCTTCTTCATCTCACACAAGAACTCTCAAAATTCCACCAGGGAACCTGTACGATATACAGATGATCGCCCTCATAATTTGAGCCCGCCTTGGCTCACGTCCAAAGTATCTTGAGGGAATGATTTTAATGCCAATGGCTCCGATATCCGGTTTCCACGCAGGATGCAAGTTTTTCTGTTCCAAATCTCGCGGCTGTCGAAGTAAAGAAATAAATTCCGGGCTTCGATGGGGTATATACATTTGTACTGTTGACCTTAAAAGCATACCGTAAGAAATGTTTTCTCTGCCTTCATGAAGGGGTCCCTCAAAAACTATCAGTTCTATGCTATTCAGTGACTTCGGTGCGTATCTTGGCCATTAGAGCCGGCTCTTCCAGCTTTTCGGACGCGATAGTTCTCCACCAGTAGGCTATAAGGTGTGACGTAGCGAAGGTGGGATTGGTGGTGGATGAAAACGCCAGAAGCGCTGTTGTGAGCGGTTCCAATGGATGAAAAGCCAAGAACTCGGGTCAGAACACAAACAGATCTGATGATCGGGCCTGGAGACTACTGCGTAGTCGAGCAGCGGCTTCGCTTAATGAGGGATCATGTGTCGCGAGGGTGCGAGCCAAGACTGTGCCAAATCCGAGGTTGAGACAGGTGACATTCGACGTCAGAGGAATAACATTGCGTGTCATTACAGGATACCCGATGACAGTGTGATTTTCCTTCATGTAAGAAGTACAGACTGGCAACCGTATCCATATCGATACAGCAGTCAACGGTAGAATCTTCCGGATAACGTCCCACTCGCGGCCGGAGTGGACCGTTACTGCCCCGGTATAAGTGCTCCGGGACGGCAGATGAGACACGTACCGAACTTCCTAACTGCAGAAAATATGTAGTGCAGGGGCCGGTGTGGTGCCTGAGCTCAGTGAGCTGCCCTGACTTTCCAGCATCCCTGGAACACTTTACTGAAGCGAGGGGTGCTGAAGTGGAGCTGTGAGGTCACACCAAAAACGAACTAGAAGCTGCGACAGCCCCGCGAAAATCGGCCCACGTGACGCAGAAGGGTTTTCTGCCCTACGGAGCTCAACCACTAAAACTTCAGCGGTCGGCTGGCAGTTGGAGAAGAAGTTCATCACCAACACCTCTCATCTCAAAGGACAAGTAAGTGCAGCGCTCCATACCCAGCCACGGCCATCGCCGCGGTGTCAGCCTCAATTCCGCGAGGGATGCGGGGGCTTGCCGTCGACGATCGCCAAGGTCGCAATTGTATGCGCGCGCGACCATGATGAACTAACCAAGCTGCCCAGGTTCGTCGTTCACGATGAGAGCCAAGTGGAGAAAGAAGCGCGTTCGCCGTCTCAAGCGCAAGAGAAGAAAGATGAGGGCTCGCTCGTAAGTTCCATCCATTGAAGAATTGTATGGTTTTTGGATCGTCGACTGACCGACTCCGAAGCAAATAAACAACTCGCCAACCCTCCCCTCGACCATGACCATCTTTTGAGATGAAATCACAATCAAACCATCTTGCGACTCGCACTTCGGAGATGCGACAGCCAGCGTTCGTCACCAGCGACTCAGTCTGTTTCGGCACGCCCGAGACGTCTATATTCACACTACGGATTGGAACAAAGGGACTTGGGGTCATGATGAAACGATCAGGCGCGCGACTCTACTGCAGACCTTGATGAGGATTCAACGAAGATGGACCTGACAACACGATCGGTCGAGATGACGCTACGATGAGGAACGCGGTGTTTATGGACTAGCCGCAGGAAGCATGATGTCTTGAGGCAACGCGGATTAGGAACTGGGATCAAGACGTGCACGACAATTGAAAGGCAGATACTTGCTTCCTCAAAAAATCAAAAAGTGAACCAAAACTATATCGTGCTATTATTCAGTGACCCGTTATGTCTGCCGTGCGCGGGTTTTCGTGGCCAAGCAACCGTTTGCAAATTCGAAATACTAGAGCATATCATTTCAATTGCACTTTGCCTCGGTCAATTCAGCTTGAATTTGGTCAACTGAGTGTGCGATTTTGGCGTTGACCTGTGACGTGTGTCTAACAGCTCAAGTGGGTCTGTTAGTTTAGCGATTCTTCCAGAGACTTGCCGTTCCAGTTGCGGCCACACCGCCTGCCTATCACGATAGGAGCGCACGGGTAAACGCCGGTGCGCCGACATTTTTTCTGGACGACAGACCCCTACAGAAAATATTTCCAGAGTTGCAAGCCATCCCACCGAGCCGATCACCACCGACCAAGTACCAACACTTGTACCGGTAGCCAACAACCAAATACTGCAACAATGGCGGACGCAAATGGAAGGAAGAGAAAGCGCGATCTCGACGTCTCGTCAAAGTCCAAGAAGAAGCTGGCCACCGAGCCCTCAACAGTCTCCGTCTCGTCGGTCCTAAGACCCCAACTCTGCCCGCCAGTCCTAGGTACGACATTCTGCGCCCGAGGCTCTCATTCGCGAGGAGAGATGAGAGACACCCCATACTAACTGATTTCAGCTTCCACTCCCGGAGTCCGGCTACCTAGAAGCGTCCCCTTCAATCCGTATGTCAAGCAAGATGCTCTGGCCAGCAAGCGGCGGCAGAAAGTCCCCGCAGTGTCGCAGGATCTCGTCCTGCACTCTTCCAGTCACCAGACAATGGACTACACGGCGAGAGAAGACGGCATCAGCGACAGCCAACAGGCTCTGAAGCACTACGTCGGTGTTTTCGACCCCAAGACGGGCACTCTACAGGTGGTAGAGGCGAAGAAGATGGTGGTTCGCGGTGTGGCCAGGGCGAAGCACGCGACGGAGGAGGCCATGACAGCACCGGCAGATAACCAGGTACGTTCAATCGCCTTCCAGACGCGTTCTCGACACTCGCTGACTTTGCACAGAGCTACTATGACCTCAAGAAGGACCTCGGCCAGACTTTTGGTACTAAGAAGGCCAAGAAGGCCATTGAGTCCGTCGCCCTTAACGCCATCGACCCCAATAAGACTAGGGACAGCGCCCCGAAAAAGCTCGACACCGCATCCAAGGCCATCCTGGAAGAAATCGGCGGCGTTACAGCGACAATGGCTTCGCGCGAGCAGCTGCAGGCCGCCGTCGACGAGGCCAAGCCCGTACCCAAGCCCAACCTCGAGGCCGATGCCATCCAGGACGTATACGACCCTGACGAGTTCATCGGGCGCGAGATTCTTGCGGCTGTGCCCATCAAGGACTGGGTTGAGCCGGCCAAGAATGGCGAGGAGATCTTGTGCTACTCGCGGCACGTGGCGGCGCGGGTCAAGAAGGTGGCCGACTCGGGCAGCGTCGCCAAGATGCGGCTGCTGCGCTACTTTTACTTCCTCTTCACCTTTTATACGATGGCGGCGCCGGGCAAGCAGCGCGGCACGAAGCGCATCCCGCCGCGGGACAAGCTTAAGGAGCGGCTATCGCCGGCGCCGCAGATCGTCATCGAGCACATCCGCCGCAAGTTCTCTGACGGCGGCGAGATGCGCAAGTTCCACATCGACCTGCTCATCACGCACTGCTGCGCTCTTGCGTGCATCATCGACAACTTCGAGGTCGACACGTCCAAGCTGCGCGAGGACCTGCGCCTCGACCAGAAGGAAATGAACAACTACTTTTACGAGATCGGCGCAAAGGTGAAGCAGGTCGCAACCAAGGAGAAGGGCAAGGCCGCGCACGTCGCCAAGCTCGCGCTGCCGCTCAACTTCCCCAAGCTCAGATCAGTCGCACCGAAGCGCCGTTAGGGTAAGGTGTTCGTACGGGTGAAAAAGAGCTATTGAGTTTGCTGGATAGGAGTGTGAAAGTCAACCAGGTTCAGCTTGACCTAGGGTCCCTAGCAGATGTTGTCTCGTACACCACAAGGGCTTGCTGGCCGACAGACATCTGCGATGCGGGAGGTGAAAGCAAAATATGCGTCTCGCCTATATTCGACTTTGGGTAGTGGAGGCATTGTGGAAGCATCTTAGAGATGATGCATATCGGCGGTTTACACTGATGATGATACCTATGCACTGCTTACACAGCAGAAGAGCCTATATTCACATACGCTATGCCACATCGGATATGGAGTTCAAAAATTCGCTTTTAATAAAACATGATGATGAAGCTGAACGGGCGCCGGCGTGAAGTCCTCTGCCAATTGCGTCTTCATCAGTGACCGGGACTGAGCGCAAGCACCCCGCAATGCCACCCCATCCTGCCGAGGCATCTCGGTGTAGGTGGTGTGGGGTCCGGGGTAGACCTCCTCGGCATACCCGGTAATGAAACTAGTCAATTGTCGTCAATTGAGTGGCCATCATACCAGCATTTTCCCAAAAAGCACAGCGGGTGGCCACGACATAACTATATTTTCATAGGCCACTAGAAAAATAGGAAGAAGGCACACACAGACAATAGACAACATGGCCAGCCCCGAAGACTCGGTCATCTCCCTCGAGTACCGCGGCCGCGTGGCGCTGCTCACGATTGACAACGACCGCAAGCTCAACGCTCTCGCACAACCGCAGTATTACGACCTCGCCCAGAAGCTGCGCGAGATTGCTACACACGACGAGGTCTTCATCACTGTTCTGACGGGCAAGGGGCGCTACTTTTCTGCGTGAGTATCCCTCGGGACTCATTCGGCCGTCTTACCTCGGCTCATTCTCTTCCCACACTTTGACGTCTTGTAAGCTCACAGCCTTTATACGTGGGACAAAAGAGGAGATTGAGCCGCAACACTGCACCCTTGAAGCCCCTCGTGCAAGCCCCAGGGAACCCCAACCCAGATACTCATCCCGATTGAACACGCTACTAACAACCCCCAGCGGCGCTGACGTGTCGATTGCGCGCGCCTCCCCCGCCGGTCCAGACGCTCACAAGCACTGGCTCCAGTCCTTCGTGGCCTTCAACCTCAACATCACGCAAGCCTTCTACTCGCACCCCAAGATCCTCGTCGTCGGCCTCAACGGTCCCGTCATCGGCCTCTCCGCCGCCCTCGTCTCCTTCGCCGACTTCATCTACGCCACACCCTCTACCTTCCTCCTCACCCCCTTCTCCTCGCTCGGCCTGGTGGCGGAGGGCGGCGCCTCGCGCGCCCTGGTCCAGCGCCTTGGCATCAGCAAGGCCAACGAGGCGCTCATCATGAGCAAGCGCATCCCGGCCGAGGAGCTGCTGCACACCGGGTTCGTGAACAAGATCTTCGACACGGGCAAGGGCGAGGACGCGAGGTTCAGAGAGCTCGTGCTGCACGAGGTCGACGACAGGCTGGGGAGCACCTGATTGGGGAGAGCCTGACGGGCATCAAGGCGCTGATCCGGAGGCCCGAGATGGATGCCATGGACAAGCAGAACTCGCTCGAGGTGTTTGCGGGGCTGGAGAGGTTCATGAAGGGCGTTCCGCAAGAGGAGTTCCGCAAGATAGCCAGCGGCGAGAAGAGGCACAAGTTGTAAGGCACACAATGTCCAGGACAGACCGGACGGACCGTGACGATAAAAACCAGACCTGCGTGGCCAGAGTTTCTGTAAATTAGATCATGACTTTCCATTCGTTGCGCCTCTAAACATTTCCCCTTTCCCACGCAAATGTTTTCGCAGGCGACCGGACTATCACTCGGGTATCTATATACAATCATCACAACAGGCCGAAGAGCAGACTTGTCCTCTTATGGTAATCCTGTGACGACTTGACGATGCGCTGTCGCGCCTCGTCGCTGTTCAAGCCTGTGCTACCATAGACCTTGTCCTCCAGGCTCTTGAGCTCGTTGCTTTTGCTGTCTGGCGGGGCGTCGAGATATAATCGTAAGAGAGAGACGTCAAATAGCCATTGAATTGGGAGGTCGCGGCGCTGTTGGGCAAGGCTGTCGTCCACCTTTGCCGGTGGTTCGGGTGTTCCTTCCTCCTTCGGTTTCTCTTCTGATGTCTTGTCTCCATCGTCTGGCTTGTCACCAGACGCCTCTTCTTTCTTCCCTGCATCAGAGGCTTCGTCATCTTTCTCCTCCTTGTCGGACGACTCCTTCTCCTTGACTTCATCCTTGGGCACATCCTCGACAGGAGTGGTCGGCTTGTCTTCAGGGACGTCACCGTTCGTCTTCTCCTCGAGATGCGCCTCCAGAGCCTTGAGCCACCTTTCAGCCAGCTGCCGTCTGAGATGCTGCTTGGTAACGTCCACAGCCGCCGCGCTCCACAGATCCATTCCGGCATCGCTCATCTCCGTCGAAATATCCCGCAAGAACCGGAATACCCTGGGCGAAGGCTGCGTAGGCAGCTCAGGGCTGCCCTCCCACAGTAGGCGGCCGACGACGAACCTCTGCGTAAGTCCCTCGCTCGTGAGAGTCTCTAGCGGCTGCGCCGAAACGGCAATGGCAAGTTGCTCGTGCAGCGACGGCACCACCTCCAGCCCGAAGCTCTTGACGCTGTCGAGATTCGGCAGGCCCTGGCGTATATCTCGCAAGATGCGGAGGAAGTACATGGCTACCTTGCCGCTATTCTGCGCGTCCGATTTGGACTTCCATAAGCTCATAAGCTTCTCGTCCAAGTCCTGGAAAGCCTTGATGAGTGTCGAGTTGAGCTTCTCGTGTAGCGTGCTGGGGTCGTCTTTGCTGAGAAGCTGCTGCCTCTCTTCGATTGTCTCCTCGTCCTCAATCTCATCAATGTCGTTGTCCCAGCGCTGCCTCTTTAGCTGCTCCACCACGTCGCCCACCTCGTCAATGATGTGTCGCCACGACTGGAACCCGTTCACCGCCTTGGACACCGAGTCGTTCCGGCCGTGTAGTCGACTTACGAGTTCTTGCAAGAAGTGATCCGCCCGTTGATGAGGTCAATGTCAAAGCTGCGTACGTTCCAAAGCTCGACAGACTGATCCGTCACGCCATCCTGCCAAGAGTCCAGCGTCGCTGATACCTCGGACCCGATGAGGTGCAGTTTGTTGACCTTTGTCTCAACAACGTTGAGCATGTGCCCGTTGATGGCGCCGCGCAGCTCGTCGAGCATTTCCGAGGGGTCGAAACCGCGGGCTTTGCCACCCTCGCGGATCCACAGCTGCAGTACTCTCGTCCGCAGCTCGGTGATGGCCTTGAACTCCATCATCCGATCCATCGTCTTCTTGAGGCCGTTGATGAGCACCTCGCTGCCACCCTTTGCCCAACTGAATAGCATGTCTCTCGCCTGCGGGCCATCGAGGTCGTCATGGCGGATGAAGGGTGTGAAGAATTGGATCTCTTCCCCGCACCACCGCTCATAGACGTCGAGACGTAAGCCTTCGAGCTTCTTGAGTGTCGAATCCGCCAATAAAGGGCTCTTTTTGAGGTTCGATAGCGCGTCCGACAGCTTGAAAGGCACAAGAGCCTGCACATCCAACAACGTCTTCGTGTACAACATCAGGCTCTTCAACACATCTTCCGTGGTCCGCTGCCGCTCCTTGTCTTCGACGTCGAAAGCCAATGCCATGGCGGCACCTCTAACACGTAAGAAGTGTGTGACAACGTCGCGCGCGCCAGAGCTGGTAGCTAAGCTGTAGGCGCATAACGCCTTCAGAACATCCTCCTGTTTGACGTCATCTCCTGTGCGTTCTAACAGATTCCCGATGTAGCGCAATAGCCTCTTTTTGAGCCCACCCAAGCTCTTCTTCGCAGCTTCAACCGCGTGTCCAACATCCTCATCCAACGTCTCCTCCTCTCCCAAGCTCTTCACCAGTAGTCGGCTCAGCACCAGCACCTTACTAGCGAGAACGACTCTATCCCCTCTGCTAAGATCCTGGCTCCCGGCGCCGGAGCCCTTGAGCACACGTCCAACGACAAGTCCACATGCCTCAAGCAGCCTCGCCCTCGCGACGACGCCCACGTCCCCACCGGTGTGCTCCCTGACACTGCTCTCGAATCCGCTCAGCCCGGAGACCTTGGAACCGACGACGCCGCGCCCGCAGCGGCCGCCCATGCGTCCTAGGACGCCCTGAACCGCGTCGTTGTCCTTGCGCATCTGGACGATGGTGTCGGCAGTGCCGAGGAGGTCGCGGTACGAGTTGCCGACCTGCGTGCGTAGACGGCTTGCCTTCTCGTCAATCTCTACATGGAGGGCTCGGTGGATCGCTCGGATCTGTGGGAGTGTGTAGTTGGAGGAGAATATCTGGGCGGAGGACGTGAGGGTTGAGAGGTTGGGCGTCGCCATGGTGTGAGGTGCGGGTTCGGCGGTTCGTCAATTGGGGGTTATCGGTAGTTTATTGGGATCATTGAGGTTCGTTCTCAGTCTACTTTGGCCTTATATGACCCGTAGAATTAGCAGGACCAATTGCGCTGATGTCGCGCTCGCCCTGTCGTTGAGGTTTGCAGAACGGAGATTGCTGATAGTTGGAGTCGAAGCTGTTCTGGCCAGATGGAATTGGTGGGGCCAGCTGTCTCGAGCTTCGGTGCTAAGGTAACTTAGTGTACCTGGAGCTATGTACTTTCCTCCTCACAAGACACGCCACACACAACACACACAGCTCATTAAGCCAGCATTTGACTGTGTTCATGGAAAAGACGAACCATACACTGAAAAGACTTTTGTATTCCAATTGTATTATTTGAGGAACCTGATAACAGCCTAGCTTTACAATTTCCTCGCTCTAACAATACCCGTCGTGATACCAGACATCTCACCACCGTATCCGCCCTTGGGCTCACCTCCTTGCCAGACGGGCTTCATGCTCCTCAACTTCTTCTGCTTCTCCTCGTACTTCATCCGCTTCTTGACACGAGGGTTGCGCACCTCCTTCTTGCGCTTTGGCGTCAGGCCCTTGTTCTTCTCGATGGCGTACGTAATCTTGCGCTTGCCATCCTCGCCGACGACCTCCTGCTCAACCACACGGTCGGCCTTGCTGGCGGCCGCAAGGGCGTCGTACAGCGCCGCCTTCTCCGCCTTCTTCTTCTTGGAAGATGCGGCGACCATATCGTAGTACTCGTCGTCTCCGTCCTCGCGCACGCCAGCGGCCGTCCTGGAGTCATCTCCATCGCTGCCATCATCGTCACCGAGATCGGCACCGAACTTCTGACCACGTCGCTCGGCCTCGCGGTTGAGGCGGGCCTGACGATCCCTGAGACGCTCGCGATATGGGATATCCACGTCTCCACCGGCATCGCGGCCTGCGTCGGCGCGCTTGTTGGCCTTCTGGACGATCTGCGAGGTGTAGAAGCGCAGACTCTTCTTGCGGGCCGCCTTGTCGGCGGCCGTCCGAGCGTCGAGAACCTCCTCCTCGCCAAAGTCAGAGTTGTCGCCGTCTTCGGCAGCCTTGGCGGCGGCCTTCTTCTTCTTGCTGCTCTTCTTGGACTGCTTGAGCAAGTCGTCGAGATCTGCGAGCGACTCCTCGATGGCCTGGGCCTGCTTCTGAGCCTGCTTGTTCTTCGCTTTGGCGGCCTTGTCCAGCTTTCTCTGCCTCTTGAGTTCCTCCTTCGCCGCAGCGAAAGCAGCCTCGTCGACGTCGTCCACAGCACTGAGCTCCTCCTCGGCAGAAGAAACGTCCATAGAATCGTCGGGTTGGACCGGTGCTGCACTCTTGACTTGTTGCCATGCCTCACGGCACTCCAGAAGCGTCTCCATGACGTCGTGATCACGCAGTTCCGCGGGGTCCAGAGTCTTCTGAGTTGATGCATCGTCCCGCGCCGGTGATGTGAGGATAGCAAAGTAGCTGGCGAGAGCAGCAACGTAGCAACCAAGGATCCAGTACTTGACGGCCTCTAATGATTGGCTCGACTTGCCGTGGGCCTCCTTTTGCAGGATAGCCAGCTGCGGTTGCAAGTCCTGGAACTCGTTGACTAGATGCTCAAACTCGGGGTATCTGCTTTTGAGGATCTTGATGCGTTCTTCGGGACCCATGTCGTCTGTGACCTCAATGTCCTTGAGGACCTCGGTGACAACCTCCTGGTCTTCTGCCTCGTCGGGCTTTGTGGCCAGCCATTCGCCTTCATCGAACAAGAAATCCTCCTCAGACATCTTGGCCAGCTTCTTCTGCTGCAGGCGCTTGGCCTCGGCCTCTTCCTCGAGAGCATCAGCCTCGGTCTCGATCTGGTCGGCATCGTAGTATTCCTTCTTGGAAGAACCCCACCAGCTCGGATCAGCCTCGTCCTCTTCTCCCTCACCCTCTTCCTCGGAATCGGCTCCAGCCTTGGCCTTCTTGGATTTGCGGGGTGCTTTTCTGGTCTCTTCTTCGTCGGAATCGTCGCCGTTGTCGAGATCCAGGATCTCCTCTTCCGAATTGTCCAGGAAGTTATCCTCCTCCTCCTCCCTCTTTCTCCTCTTGGACTTGGGGCCCTCGTCGAACATGATCTTGTCGCGGTTCAGGAAGTACTCCTCCTCGGAATCGGCGACATCTTCGTAGGTGGTGATGGGACCGAGGCGAGCGTCAGCGGGGTCGAGCTCCTTGGGGCCGGTGCGCGCATTCTGCGCGGACGCTTTGCGCTTCTTCGCCATGTTGACTATTTTGCTCTGTTCGAATGGGTCGAACCTTGTTGGAAAAAAGGGTTGAGGAGAGAGGCGGCAGGTCGGTGTCGCTGGTTGAAGACGGGCGTCGGATGGATGTGGGTTCTCGCTGTACCTGAGCGACAACGAAAAATGTTCTTGCATCCATCGAGCGCAGAACTTTTTAGTGGAGACATATTGGTGGCATCGAGTCTCATTGGTTGAATTACCACAATCCCAATAGTGGGGTTGATCCTCTCACATCCCAGACTTCAGCATTCAGCTTTGCAGCCTGTGCCCTTTCTACCTACAATGGAAACCCGTCTCAGTCCATGAAGCTAGATAACGACTTTTCATACGTACCAGAGATCGTTGTAAGCGTATGCAGTACAGTAATGCCATCTACTCTACAAGATCCGATCACCTCAAGCTGTTTCACTTAACCAGGAATGATTGGACTGGAACCCGTCCAGTTTGGCTAGGTATTCCAGTCCCTTGTGAACTCCAACTGCATCATGTCCTATGCGCCTCATCGTATCCTATCCATGTTCATTACTTACCTACGCTTAGAGAAATGTGGGTAACGAAAACGAACACCTATTCCGCTAGGATCCAAGACAACAATCTACTTTGGTCGCATTGCCGCGCAGCCGGGTAGAGACCGTGATACAATAACGATATCGTATCGCACCCTCTTCGGCGTGTCTACTGACCATCATGCCGGCCGTGCGGTCCCCCGGCGGGCACCTGCTAGGTGACTTAGAGCACGCTGGTGACTCCACTCAATTAAACGAACCACCCGACCGCGTTGTGGCTAAACCGTAACCGGCACTCTACAGCTTCTCCTGGTCCTGCGTGTTGCGCGCCTCGACCAAAGTCCCAGTCCGACGAAGCCGAACATAAAGATCTCTTCATCTCGATTGCGCCTACAATACTCTCCTTCTTCGGCTCTCGAGCTATGGAATACACATCGCAAGCTCTGCGGATCGCCCTCCCTGGACTCGCTGCTGTCCTCCTCGCATCCGCCATGGGTCTATTCAACAGAAAGAATCACATGCCTGTCGATGGCAAGGTAAACGCGCCGACCTCGAACACTTTCCAGTTTACCAGCTACTAACTCAATCACTCTGTCAGACCGTCCTCCTGACCGGTGCATCGGAAGGCATGGGCCGTAGTGTCGCCCTCCAGCTTGCGGCAAAAGGCGCAAACCTCGTACTCATTGCCCGCAATGCCGCCCGCCTCGAGGAGCTCATCACCGAGCTCAAGGCCGTCGCCAAGCATCCCGAGACCCAGCGCTTCAAGTACATCACCGCCGACATAACGGCAGAGAACTACGCCGCCCCATCGTCGCCGAGGCCACCGCCTGGAACGGCGGTCGCAGCCCGGACATTGTCTGGTGCATCGCCGGCATGGCCACCACCGGCTTCTTCACCGAGGTGCCTTTCTCCGAGACCCGCAAGAACATGGACGTCAACTTTTACGGCACCGCCGAGATGGCCCACTCCATCCTGCGCGAGTGGCTCGCTCCCGAAGCCCCCATCGAGGACGAGCCGAGGCACTTGATCATGACCACGAGCGTTGTCGCCTTCTTCACCATCGCGGGGTACGCGCCGTATGCCGGGTCCAAGTGGGCCATCCGCGGGTTGGCCGACACACTCTCCCAGGAGGTTCTGCTGTATCCCCAGAACGTCAAGATCCACGTCGTCTTTCCTGGGACCATCACCAGCCCTGGCTTGGAGAGGGAGAACGAGACCAAGCCTCAAATCACCCATCAGCTCGAGGAGCTTGACCCTGTGCAATCGCCCGAGGAGGTCGCCAGACTGTCCATCAAGGGCCTGGAGAGAGGTGACTACTTTGTCACTGTTGCGTTCCTGGGCAGTCTGATGAAGTGGAGTGGCCTTGGCGGCTCTCTACGGAACAACTGGGTGCTCGACACGTTCATGATCTGGGTCACCTCATGGGTGTGGGTGTTTATGTTGCCTGATTTGCTGAAGCAGTGCAGGAACTATGGCAAGAAGCATGGTCACCCAGCTACTTATGGGAAGCCGAAGCCCAGGGCATGAGGGCAGAGAGCTGCAAAAAGATAGGCAATCAAAGATACCCACAACGTTAATACGAAGAAACTTGATGACAAGGGCGTTACGGCCCTCTACCTGTTCCGTCCGTTCCGATTACGAATTAGTGACAAGGAGCTAAAGCCGAATTATTCAAAGTTCTTTCAGACATGAAGAGACGCAGCCCAAGGACATGGGGTGATGGTGACTAAAGTTTAAGGTATCCGTTCTCTCTCGCTACAGTCTCAGCACATCATTTTTCTCCATGGCTTCGTATGTTTGACTTCCTGAAAACGCTTTACTATAATGATAACAGTATCGAACAGGCATGCATACGAATTTGGGGCTATGGAACCAATTTCGAGTGGTGAAAATGTATATTTGCAGCAAATCACTATTTGACTAAAATATAATGAGATCGAACGTCAATTAATTCTGCATATAATCCTATTTTCTGCACAGTTTAAACTCGATAATATGTCTTCATCTATAGGGGGATGCCAAGAAAACATGACTTCCGGTCGAGAGACCAATACAAGCTGTTCAATGCGTTAGCTACAAGCTAGATTGTCTGTCAAAACAAATATACCGTTGTAACTGTCACGTTTTCTAAGCGTAACACACCGAGAACAGGGGCGAGAGATGAAGACAGCCCGTATCGAGCATCTAGTACCAAACAACAAGTCTATGTCTTCAACTGAGAGAAATCAACCGGGCCTGACATCAAAATGCCTGCAGGTATCACCAATCCATCAAAAAAATGCCATCAAGTGCACCTTCAGTCTCTCTGCCTAGTCATAAATCAAGGACTCTACGAGGCTGGAAAAGGTTGGCATAATCGGGTACTACTGACTGCGTGCTCCTTAACCCTCGAGTATGGACACATACATTACTGGGAGCAAAGCCCTTCCGCTTTGCTCAAGCCACAATACTTGGACTTGATGATGCAAGTGCTGCCAGAATTGCTGTATTATATCTAGGGTATCTTGCACACAGTCTCCATAAACCAATCCCTCTCTTATACACCGCTCCACTTGCCAAACTTGGTGTATCTTTTATACATTTCCCTCAAAATCGCCCTTCCACTAGCGTCCATGCTATCGTTTAGGATCTTCCTGACCTCGAGCGGTGTGATGTCGAAGACAGAGTTCATACCCGGCTCCAACGCCTCGCGCACGTCACGCGGAACGTCGACGTCGAGCTGCATCTTGACATACGCCATGAGCACGAGGTACATGTGCCGACCGGCGGAGCGTTTGGCCGCGTCGGTCGCCGAGTCGAGGGCACTCAAATGTTGCACGCGCGAGACGGCTGCCGCTGCGGGCTCGCAGATGAGTGTGACAAGGCGCGTAAAATGCGTGGCGTGCTTTGCGCGGACGGATATGGAAGTCTTGTATTGCGACGAGGGGCGGGCCAGGGCGCCGAGAAGGGCTTCAAGGGTGGTGATGAGGATGTGGTAGTGACCTTCGAGACGGAGGCGGTGTTTCTTGATGACCACCTCCATGAGCTTGCAGAGCCACTGGTACACACTTGGGGAGGCTTCGAGGAGGCGACCAGGATCGTTGGCAACGATCACTGCGACTGTACTCAGAGTTGCCTCGATGTTCCACTGAGTCATGGCGTTGGACTTGACATCAAGGAACTGCTGGAGAACCTCGGCAGTTCTGACGAACTCGCGGACAGTCTTTGTCTGGGTCAAATATCTGATTAGCGTGCCATGGGCCGTAGCCAGGTCGAAGGTCTTGGACTTCTCGAGTCCGGCGGGAGCTTCTGGATTACTCGTCAGAGCTTGTTCAGCTTGAGGTGAAGGGAACGAAGACTTACCCGTCATTCGGGTGACTACCCGGCGGATAGCCAGAAGCTGACCCTCAGAGGAACAGCCAGCCTGAGGTGCTGGGTCTGCCTGGACGCCGGCCAGGAGATTCTGAACGTACTGAACCTTGCCATTATAGTCAAGACCAGCGATAGCCGCATCAACGGTATCTTCAAGGATATTTTGTCGGTTGAAGTCAGCAAGGGGGTCAGGGACTGGACCGCTAGGCAACGACGCAGACAGGGCGGTGCTGAAAAGCTGGCCGAACGAGGTCGGTCGAGCGTCGGCCACTTTTGACGAGAAACGCTTGATGAGGAACGACTGCAACTTCCAGCCACTAAAGCAGCCGTTGGAGATGGCCTGTTGACTGGCCTCCTCCAGCTGGGAAACCTTAACCTTCAGCTGTTCGACAACAGCTTCCGGCAGAGCCTCAGCTGCGTCCAGTGCAATCAGCACCCGGTTGACCAATGTCTTGTTGATCTTCTGTTTTCGCCACGCCTTGGCAAAGTTACTCAAGGTATCTTGAACAATGCTTCCTAAGGCCGACGTCGTCTCATCTATGTCAAACACAGCAACCTTTTCCTTCTGCCCAATTTCAGGGAGCACGACGATAAGCAGTGCTTTGAGCAGAGTCATCTGTACAGAAGAGCCATCGCCCGCAAGGTCCTCCAAGAGAGTCGAAAATTTTCCGAAGTACTGCGTGCGCCACTCCTGGTGGTCGTTCATTTGACGTACAGTAGCTGTTGCCAGTTGGTACAAAAGCTGGGACAATCCGAGAGCCGTTCTAGAGTCGCTTTCGTCACAGAGCGGTGCCAACGAATTTGCGATGTTCTGTAGGTCGAAGAATGACATGTTCTGGTAGAAGGTTGATCTTCGCATGAGCTTCACCAAGAGCCCTAAAATTAGATGCCAGTCCTGGAGATCAATCTTGGCTGCCGCTTGTATCTTGGGAATCATAATCTCCATAAGCCGCTCTCTCTGCTGTCTCGTAATCGATTCATCGGGTATTCTTGAAAGCTCGATCATAGCAACTCTGCTGCGCTTCTCGACCCAGGGAAACGACTTGCTTGACACTTGCGAGAATATTTCAATGGTGTAATCAACCACACCGCCCGCGAGCTTTCTGTTACCAATGTTGTTCTCGTTTGAAACAACAGCATGGATAACGTTTCCTAGTTGCGTCCCGCTGTCCTTAGATACCTTCACGCTAAGGATCCGGTGCAGGTAATCAGGCACAGTGCCGGAAGACTTGGCAAGCAAATCTACGAGCCTTGACGCAGCTAAGGGAAACTCTGAGCAGAACTTGGGAACGTCGGAGGTGTTTGTACTTGAGAGATCTCGAGTATCAACCAACCCTTTGAGATCTTCCAATTTCACCTTCTTCAATAGCCTCTCAACGAAAGTCGTGAGTAGTGAAGCAAGATCGGTCTGATCGCGGCCATCTGGGTACATGGACAACCAGAAGTGGTATGCGCAATCCAAGGCCTCGCATGTGTCTTCGTCATCGAACTTAGTTTTTTGCAGTACTTTCGTTAGGTCGGCCTGAACCTTATCCCAGAGAGCAGTAGCTTGCTCATAGTCTAGCCAGGAGACTGTCTTGGAAATGATTCTCCATCGTAAAGAACGGATATCAGACGGGGTCTTGCTAGAAGACCAGATTTTCAGGGTAAGGTCCGACAGTTGGGTACCGACAGCATCGGCAAAGTCGTCTTTGGTGATCGCGGATGCGATGGTGTTGAGGAAGATCAGGACTGCTGCCGGCCGGAGGCTCTCCTGGCCTTCGATCCATTGCAGTAAGCTGACGATTTGTTTGTTGGTTAAAGACTTCTCGATGCCGCCAATAAGCGTTGGGTTGCGATGCACCCTGGTGAACCAGACAGGCCGGTCGCCAGAGCGTAGCGCCTTGTCCTCGAATAATGAGAGTTGGGAAAACCACTTCTGCAAGAACGTCGACAAGTCGCGGGCGTTTTCGAAGCCGGTGATCAACGACTCGATGAGCTCAAGCATAGTCGCCTCGTCGGCCTTCGGCCCGACTTCAGTGATTCTGTCGCACACTTGATCAAACAGTTGTGAACCCTCTTCAGACTGCAGGAAAGCATCCGCGTCACACTTAGCAACGAGCGAGAGGAGACGCCAATCAGTTTCACTAGGACTGCCGGCAATTGCATAGTTGTTGCAGACCAATCGAAGATCGTCCAGGGCAATGCGTGACTTGTTCCTAATCGCTTCCTCGAGAATCATGGCCATTGCCTGCGACTTTTGGTCACTGGACAATTGCTTGATTGTACGCTCAGACATCTTGAAGACTTCCTGCATCCAGGCCTCCTCGGCCTTGGTTGTGGTGAGTCCACCAACAACTCTTGGTGCAGATGACACCAGGCTGTAAAGAATCGGCACGGAAACCGAAGCATTGCTCTTGACCATCTCGAAGGCACGGATGACGACCTCAAGGTCGTTTCTGTTTAGGTACGCTGACCTAGACGGCAGAACCAGGTTGCGCTGCAGAAACCTGTCTAGATCTCGGGTCCAGAGCCTGGCCACTTGGTCGTCAACATCTAGCCGCTGCCTGATCTTTCCGAGGATGGAGAAAGACGTGCGCGAGAAATGTGTCGCTACTTCCAATGCGTCGGCACCTCCCTGAAGATGCAACTCCCAAGCGGAAGAGAATACCCTCACCCAGGACTCTTGCGTTTCGAAGAGTTCGGTATCTGATGCTGACAGAGAGTAGTCACAAAGTGAAAGTAGAGGCGCAAGGTAATCTACCGCATCAGTGGCAGGTTGTGCAAAGAGTGCCTTGATATGTTCCGCTCCCATTCTGTCGTGGGCAGACCATTGCGCCGCCGGGTCCAGACGTGCCAAGATGATCTTCAGCGCGCCGAATATAGCCTCCCCAGTTGCTAAGCAGCCTTCGGACGACTTGAGGGTCTGTAACTCAAACATCACGGTGCTCGCCCTCTTCCTCTTCTTCGACTTCGAATCCAACATCTTGGCTTCAGTGCTGGGCTTTGCGACACCCTTGAGGGTTTGCTGCAGAACCGCCATGAACTTTCGATCGGCAAGTGACTTTGCAAGAGAGAAGAGAGGTATTCTCTGGAAAGCACAGCCGAGTATGCGCCATGTCAGAGGGAATCGTCGAATCGTCTCGGCTTCGTCGTTGTTCGCTTTCATAACCTTGAGAAGCCATCTGAGGACGCTCTCTTCGGCCGCAGAGAACGGGCTCTGACTAGCGGAAGTAAGCTGCTTCCACACTCGATCAAGGTTTTCGCCATTGGCTCCGGGGCCCGTCTGGTCGAGAGATCGTACGGTCTTCACCAAATCCCTATCAGACGTCTTCGATGATGTTAGCAGGAGACGGGTAATGATCATGGGTGCCAAACTCACGATGGTCTCAGACGACAGGCTGGTGTTTGCATCGGTCATTTCCACATCCATGATAGGCAACCGACCTCAAGTTGCTTTGACAGATGTGCAGATCATCTGATTGCGCTCAGGTGTAAGTCGCAACGACTCCCCGCGATTTTTGGCTGGAGCTTTCCCAAAATTTCGGGATTCTGCCGCCCCACCCACCCCAATGCGGTCACCGATGCTCACACCGAAGTTGACCGCCCTCGGGTGTTCATCATCAATTTGCCGGGACTCTCCGAAAACATCACTTGGTTCAATTCCAACAGCTGAAGCTCCGACCTCGACAACACCATTGCGCATCGAGTCAATTGTGTAAGTGACCCCTGCCTGGTTCTCCCCCGGTCCATTGACGCTGACCAGTAGCTCCCTAGGGTATCGACGACCATGTCAGACACCTCCGTTCCCCCTCCCCCGAGCGCCGTCGCGCGCCCCGTCAGTGAGGCACTTCTCAACGAGAAGGTAGCTCTCCCCAGTCGCCTATGTCCCCTGTATTCAAGGCCTCTAACGATATTCTAGTGGGACCACTGCCTCTCCAACCTCCTCGTCAAGTCCACACTCGGCCTTGGCTTCGGTGTCGTCTTCTCAGTACTCCTTTTCAAGCGCAGAGCGTGGCCTGCGTTTGTCGGCGTCGGTTTCGGAGCCGGACGCGCATACGAGGAGTGCAACTCCAGCCTGAAGCAGGCCGCCAGAGATATCAGGAAGCAGGCATAAGATGCCCAAACGTCGAGCCGATAGACGACGCGATCCGGATTGAAACACAGCTGTACAAATATACTACGTCACACACACGTTAGACTCGCTAGGGAGTCAAGCCGGCGGGTCCCTCATGCGATCACCTTGAGGAGCTGGCAAACCTAGATTAGGACGGGAGACGAGCGAGGGAATAGAGTCTTTCATTTGCCAACAGTCTGCTTGTGTTGCGTGCTCACGTGATGCAGCTATATCCGACTGTACGAATTTCGTGAAGTTGCATCTGGATCGCTCTCGTTGAATAGTCGCGAAGCTCTGCGCCCGAACCGTACGGAATCGTTGCTGAACGTCGATGTTGAGATATCCTGGTTGCCGGTTGACGGAGTCTTCTCGCTCGATACCTCAGTCCGAAGCCCAATTGACGAACCACCGCCCAGCTCTCTGATTTTGCTCCCGCGGCCGACGACGATTTGTCTCCATGGTCTGAAGATATGTTCCGGTGCCAAAGCAGTTGTATCGCCTTCAAGGTCCTGCAGTCTGTTCATTCCCTGTTCCAGCACAGCGTTTCTCGGCCGCTTGACATTATTGAGGAACACTTCGTCTGTGACCTGGGAGTCGGCCTGTATCGTATCATCAGAGTTTGGGAAGCTGTGGGACTGGTGCTGTGCCCGGGAATGCCTCATTTTGATAGCGATCAATATCATGCAGCCGAGAATGCAGACAACAGTGAAGACTGCAAGAGCAAGTGCAAAGATTTCTAGAGGTGCCGCCTCCTGTAGCAATGGTAATGGTCCATGTCTGACTATGTGGACATGATCAAGAGCTCTACTAGCAACGGCTTTTCTCGCCTGTGTTATGAAGCTCGAGACATCTGCTGTGTCAATAGGCTTGGGAACTTGAGGCCCACCGCGGCCAAAGTGTGGTCTCGCTGCCCGATGGCGTGTTTGCTGGAAGTTGTTTGTATGACCAAGTTTGCGAGTGACGGAGGCCATCAGAGTAGCGGAGGACAAATAGGTATTTCTAACAGTGTCTTAAGAGGTGAGTACTGATAAAAAGTCTTAGGCGCTGTTGTATGGTACGGGTTAGCCGCCAAGGACGACGACACACCCAGCTAGCTGAAGGGTTCTTTCTAAGCTCATCGTGGGTAGTACTTTCTCTGGAGTTCAGCTTGCCCCAGGCTTGCCATTCTTACTGGTTTTGTCCCAGGAAGGTAGGTGAAAAGAGGATAATGGAAGTACCTTCTCTTGCTTGAGATTCTGAATTGAGAGGCTTGGTATTCCAGCCAGCAAATTCACCTTATTCAGAGTTATCAAATTTCGCTGGGACGAGTGAAGTCCATGACAAGGTCCGCATTTGCAAGAGTTGTCGCAGCGTTTCCCCATCGCATTGCGTCTCTCAAAAAAGAATAGAACAACAGCCGGTTGTTACACATGGGACATCATTACCTGAGACTTTGAGTCATCATATATGGAACATGTACTGTCAGAACTCAATCATGAGATTTCATGGCCAACGTCGTCTGCTTGAGAGACAGATAGGTTGGGACTTGGAACCATCCTTGCCGGACCGGGACCTTCCTATCATCTCGGCGATTGCGGCTACAGACGCCGACAGTCTCCACTGCTCCGAGGAGCCGGATCCGATGACCCAGATGACCGAGCTGATCATTGACACGACCCATCCCGACAGACCCAGCTCCGAATCCAAGATCTGAAAAACCGAGACCAAAAAAATTAATTTCAATATCGATGGAAATATACGCCTGTACACCATCCAGCTACAACAGACGCACACTACGTGAGATATGTTGGAGCTAGTCGTGCGAAATTGAAATCCGAAAACCGCCATTGGATGGCAGTCAACGAGGTCCTGCTGACTAATGTTCAATTTTGAGCAACTGCCGCCACCTACCGCCCACCACCTTTTACATCATCAGCTATTACCTATCATCAGCGGCGACAAGTTTCTCTACCACCGCTCCCATCCTTGGAAATTTCCCGACGTCACGTTGCCAGCATCACCCCCCCAAAAACATGGCTGCCTCCATACGATGTGTACACGCGCCTTCGAGCGCAAACGTATTCATCCAGCTTGCGCGCCGCACGACGCCGACGTCGAACACACCGGCCCCGATCCTCTCGGTCCTCGTCCCGAGGTGGAAACCCGTAACCACCAACACCCAAGCCGGGCTCTGTGCCAGCCGCAAATGCAGTTCCGAGGCTATCTCACGGAGGGAGTCGCCGCAGAGATATTTCCGGAGGACGGTGTACCAGCAGACCCGCGCCTTTACGGTTTCCGCAATGCGGAGACAGACGAGATGCGCATGGAATCCGAAGAAAGACGAAGATGGAAAGGAGATGATGCTTGAGATTACAGACAGGGCAGGAAAGGTATGTGTTATTGTGCAGACACACATCAAACGGGCAATCGTAGGACTAATAGCATTGACATAGCGCCTGTCGGATATTATGAAGAAAGAAAACAACCCTAACCTGGCGCTGAGGATACAAGTCGAGAGTGGCGGCTGCCACGGCTTTCAGTACCTCATGAGCTTGGTGACGCTTCCTGAGAGTGGCGAGAGTGGTGAGGACTGGTCCAAGGTCGTAGGGGAAGACGACAGCGTGTTCCAGTACCTGCCCGACGACGCCGACATTTCCAACGTCTCGTTTGAGGGCCCCAAGGTGGTGATCGACGAGCCGTCGCTGGACCTGTTGAAGGGCAGCAAGGTGGACTTTACGATGGAACTGATTGGGTCCCAGTTCAAGATCACGGATAACCCGTATGCATCGAGCAGCTGTGGTTGTGGAACCAGCTTCGACATCAAGATTTGAGACTGGCTTGGCACTCTCAAATGCACGTGTTCAAAAGGTTGACAAGGCCGTGGGGGCTGTTGCGTACCTAACAAGGGGTCATGAACAAAATAATGCTAGCACCAAGCTAGGGTGGGCACTAGGCCGTAACAAGAACACTCCAGCACACATCACATACACAAAACATATACAACTCTCAGACGAGGCTTGCATTGCTACTCATAGAACATGGAGGATGAAGAACCCGGATGGTCGTCATAATGATCAATTCACACAAAGTCCCTTTTGTGGTTATCAACGCCGTGCAACCGTGCCAATCATGTAATAAACCCTTGGTATTCTCAAACCTGCCGAAGCCCGAGTAACTAAACCTGCCAAACCCTCCATTTTTGTTGATCAAAAAGCCACATACACGCCCAAAGGAACTTAGTTCATCTGGCGGATAAGAGCGTTGATCTTGTCCTCGCGGTTGCCAAGGTCACCACCCTCGATGAAGTGCTTGAACTTGCGGGGGCGGAAGCCACCAGTAGGGTTGGAGAGCTTGAAGGGCCAGAGGAAGTTGGAGGCCTGCTTGAAGTTGGGTCCGACGGTGTAGATCTCGTGGATCAAGTCCTCCATGCAGACAATGCCATACTTGCCGAGGTTCTCCTCGATGATGGCGTTGTCGGTAAGTGCAACACGCTGCTTGTTGACCTTTCCGTAACCGCGCTTGTAAACGAGCTCCTTGACGGACTTCAGGTTGGGGTAACCGTAGGCAACCCACGGCTCGATGATCTTGATCATCTCGGTGGTGGCCTTGGTGATCTTGATGAAGACTCCGTTGTTGATCTGGAGGAGACGGAGGAGCTGGAGGATCTTGCGGGGCTTGGGGGCGATCTTGTTGATACCCTTGATGCGGATGAGGAAGATCAGCTTGGCCTCGGCGGGAACGAAGGCAGAGTCGTTCTCCCTGGCGACGCGGGAGAGGCGGATCTTCTCGCGCTCGGCATCACGGTACTCCTTGATGTACTTCTCAGCGCGCTTGAAGATGACCTGACGCTTCTCCTTGTTGGCCTTGAGGAAACAATGTTAGCCCACTGTTCCATGCGACAGAGCGTTCAATGAATAAATGATTTGATCCGGCAAGTGTCAGACCCGAAAGAAGGTTAATTCCAACAGCATCGACCGTAGTCTAGTCGTGAAGGTATGTTATGCATCATGTAGGCGGGGGAGGGGTGGTGGGATGAGAAATCGGGTTGAAACTTACAGCCTTGCGCTTCTCGGTGGCAGAGTTGCGCTCAGCGCGAGCCTTCTCCTGAGACTTGCGCTTCTTGAGAAGGGTCTCGGGAACCAGAACCTGGTTGGAGGTGGGGACGGACCTGCAGATGCGAATCAGATTAGTACGCAGTCCGACATACTGCAAGCAGCATGGATAGAGCGCCGGTGCGAGAATTGTAGCTGAAGCGCGACATTCTCGCTATGGCTAACTCGAAATAATGATTTTGATCGGTGAGCCGACAATGCGAAGATGCTTAGGACCCGCAAAGGGTAGCAGGGCCTCGAGTCTTTCGCTCATCCGACAACACCTTGTCCACCTTGAGGTACACAAGAGAAAGTGCGCGCAGACGTCCATGCTACCACGGGAGGCTTTTCAGCGCAGCCGAGGATGCCATCATGCGGCAATGTTTTTAAGGGAGAACGGGCGACCGTTCATCCCCAACACCCCAGACACCGTCTCTCAATCCGCAAGCCATAATTCCAGGTCATGCAAAGAAGGAGGGAGATGTCCAGGAGGGTTCGAGCTGAGAGCCAGGCATTCACGACAGGGTGAAGCAAGGTCTCCAGCGAGAGGACCACGACAATCTGCAAGACATCGCGAACGTGCAAAGGGGGATATGCTGCTGCTTCAGAAGCATTGGTGAACATACGTAGTGGCGGCCATTGTGAAGGCGGGTTTGGTGGTCGTCGGCGGTTGTCGTCGAAAATTGGTCGCTGGAGAAGAAGAGGGAAAGGAAAAAAGACCAGAGGGCGGGATCGCAAACTTTTAGGCAAATAATTTTCGTCTTCCCACTTCTGCCCGGGGAGCCTGGCACGGGCCATGCGAGAGCAAAAAAACTCGCTTAGGTAGGGTTTTCGCAGCCGCTAAGCCCGAAGGAGCGATTCTGCCGCTCTGAACCGCCTCACCCCCGTCAGGGCACTCTTTCCCACTTTTATTCCACCGCGCAGGAAGGGCCCGACTTTTTGTGAAATTTCGTTTGGGATTTGCGAGAGTCGTGAGAGAGCTTCATTCGCAACCACCTCCGACTAACCACCACCCGGAATCAATTCGCCAAACACAGCAGTCACGATGGCCCCCAAGTCCAAGACCGTCCGTCCCGCCCAGGAGAACACCTCCTTGGGTCCTCAGGTTCGCGAGGGTGAGTTTTGAACAAATTCCTAGCTTGTCGACGTCGCCGACATTGCGGGTGTCGCACGCAAAGTTGAGAGAAGTTTTGCTAACTACCCGCCGATCCGTAGGCGAGCTCGTCTTCGGCGTTGCTCGTATCTTTGCCTCCTTCAACGACACCTTCGTTCACGTCACCGATCTCTCGTAGGTCTCACCTTGCGCATGCGTTTGCAGTCGAGTGCCCCTCTTCTGTGATAAAACAAAAATGATATATGAAGCTCGATGGACAAAGATGGCTAACTGGGTGATTCCAGCGGCCGTGAGACCATCTGCCGTGTCACTGGTGGTATGAAGGTCAAGGCCGACCGTGACGAGTCCTCCCCCTACGCCGCCATGTTGGCTGCCCAGGACGTCGCTACCCGCTGCAAGGAGCTCGGCATCACTGCCCTCCACATCAAGATCCGTGCCACTGGTGGTAAGTCTAGATCCTGCCCAGTCTTCACAAATTTTGGCAACCTTACTGATCAATCTTCCCGTAGGTAACGGCACCAAGACCCCTGGTCCCGGTGCCCAGTCCGCTCTCCGTGCCCTGGCCCGTTCCGGCATGAAGATCGGCCGCATTGAGGACGTTACTCCTACCCCCTCCGACTCTACCCGCAGAAAGGGTGGTCGCCGTGGTCGCCGTCTCTGAGCGCCCGGGTCTTTCCAGCATATCATCACATGGTTGTTGGCCTGGGTGGTCTCGGGACAGGAGTGCTCGTTATTTGGTTTCTGGGTGGCATCGCGAAAAACGCGGGGAACGGCTACCTAGCCTGGTCCCCACTCTACGGACTGTGACATGCCTTCTGCTGCGGGCGACAGTATCTATCGTAGACAGAATAGAAACTTGCCATATATGGCCTGAACTGAAGAGTAGCTCCTGAACCCCCCCGACACACTGTGCACACGTTGAAGATGCGACCATGTGAGTGAAGAGTGTTGTGGAATTGTGAAGTCTTGATATTATTTGTAATGATAAAGGCTTGCGCTACGCTGAAGATGCTCAGTTGTCACATCTAGTCATGAGGATATCCCAAATCTAGAGCAGCCCTCGTAGGTACTGCCTCCCCTTTTCCCTGTCTATGCCAACAGTGAACGCCAACCGCTTGACTTGTGATGCTTACCCATTGCCCCAACCCGACTATATTCTACATTGTTATTCGTCTGCTACTTGTAAGCGGGCTTCAGAGTCCACAGGCCCCTGCCTGTGCCACCAGACTTGCTTAGCACGGCCACCTTATCCAGAGCACTCTTGAATTCCCCGATTTGCTTCGCCTTCTGGCAGTAGGGGTTGAAGTGGTCCACTACCATCTTGGAGGGCGCCTTGCCTCCCTGTCGTCTTATGAAGGTTTGGATCAGAGGGACAAAGTCCTTCTCCCTAAGGTTTTTCTCGACGCCCGGAGTGCCCGATCGTGAACTCGTCCCACTGCCTGGCGCACTGAGCCCCTGGCGATCGGCCAATGCGGACATGACGCTCGAGGAATTCACACCTCCGCGCCGACGCTGCGCAATGGGACGACCGGCTTCGCCAACCTCGCCGGTCCAGGTAACGGTGCCGATTGGCGTGCGACGTGCCACCTCGCCTGCCTGTCGCAGAGCAGCTTCTGCTTGGGCAGCAAACCTGCGCGCCTCTCTCTGGTTCATCGCCGGATCTGCCTGCACCCGTTTCTTGCCATTCATGATTTGGTCGTGTTCGTAGGCACTCTCGACGGTCCGGGAAAAGAGACTCTCCGTAATGCGTTTCTCGTCTTCAGGGGTTTTATCCTCCGTGAACTCCTCCACCGCAGCGACGCCGGCGAGCTTGCGAACTCTCTCGACTTCGTCTTCGGCCTTGATAGAAGATATGGGTACCGCATTCTTGGAGGGCTTTCCTGGCTGGTCGTTCGTCTCCGACTTGTATTTGACCTCGGCTCCCTCAAAAACCTTGCTTCTATTGGCGCTCGCCATGCTGTGGCTATTGTCACCAAAGCTGAAGAGATCGTATAGGTCAGACAAATCGAAGTTGGCCCGCTGCTTTGGGTCCTTGAGGACCTTGTTCGTCATGAACTGCTTGAAGATCTGCCGGTGGTAGATTTTCTCCTCGATGGTGCCCGATGTCATCAGTCGATAAATCGCGACTGGCTTCGTCTGACCCAGCCGCCAAGCTCTCTCTCTGGCCTGCAAGTCCGTCGATGGGTTCCAGTCAGGGTCGTAGATGACGATCCTGGTTGCGCCAGTCAGGTTAACACCCAAACCGCCTGTCCTGGTGGTGAGAAGGAAAACATCAATTGACGGGTCATTATTGAACCGATCGATCAAGGCCTGTCTCTTGTCCACAGCTACTTCGCCATCCATTCGAAGGTATGTCATTCCGTCCATTCTTCCAATAAACTCTTGAAGGATATCAAGCATGATTTTGGTTTGGGAGAACAAGAGCGTCTTGTGACCAAATCGCTTCCACATCGGAAGGAGCTCGCCCACCATCTGCAGCTTACCGGATCTTCTGGGGCTTCCCCAATCGTAACCCGGCTGGCTCTTCTTCCTTACGTTGACGAGGTCTGGATGGTTGCAGATCTTCCGCAGTATGTCGATACCGTACAAGGCTTGCCGTTTCTTGGCCATGATCTGGGAGACGGCATCCGAGTGAATGAACCGGACGTATTCCTCGTTTTGCTCCGGGGTCAGCTTGCAGAACAGCACTTGCTCTGTCTTCTCTGGCAAATCTGACGCAACGTCGGTCTTGAGTCGTTGAAGAAGGTATTGGCTGATAGTCTCCTTGAGGGTCGTTGCGCATTTCTCGGCGGTCAAAACGGCCAGGTTGGTCGCGTTTGCATGGCCACCCATCCGGATGGGCATTTCGAACTGGTGCCTAAAGTTCACGAGTGTGCCCAACCTCATGGGATAGATGAAATCGAACAGCGACCAGAGCTCGACTAAATTGTTCTGGATTGGCGTGCCTGAGAGAATCAAGCGATGTGGAGTGTTAAGCTTCTTGCATGCGACGGTGACCTCTGCGTTCGGGTTCCGGATCTTGTGGCCTTCATCGAGAATCGCGTATCCCCATTCATGAGACAAAAGCTCGTCATTGTAAGAGTGCAAGCCGGCATAAGTCGTGACCAAAACGTGGCCATGCTTAACAACGCGCTTGATGATATGGTGCGCGGCGGGGCCGTTCTTGCCACCCCCGTAATAGGATTTATCGTCATCATCCTCGTTTACATTCACCATGCCGCTGCCTGACGAATGCAAAATCGACACTCGTAAGGCAGGCCACCAGCGGTGAAATTCGTTGACCCACTGCTGCATTACAGTCGCAGGGACGACGACGATGACGGGCTTGTCAAGTTTCTTGCTGTAATGCAATGCCGCGACGAAGGCAATTGCTTGTACTGTTGACCGGATTAGCGTGCGGAAGCTTGTAACCGTTTCCGTGAAACATTACCTGTCTTTCCCAAGCCCATCTCGTCTCCGATAATGCCGCCCACGCCCTGCTCATAGAGCTCTGCAAGCCAGTGAACACCGGTCTTCTGGTATGCGAACAGCGACGGATGGATGTCTCCGGGAAGCTTCAGGTTGTTGCCAAATTCATGATCTGGATGGTCGGGCGATGGCTTGAACCACTCTTCTTGACTGTCATCCTCAACCGAAGGAACCCCATCAATATCGTTTCGATGCTGGCGTGCTCTGCTGCGTCTTCTAACCCAGTCAGCAAGACGTGCTTGATATACGGCCTCGTTTCCATCGTCGACGCTACTCAGATCTATCTTCGCTCCGTCGACAGTGACTGTGGCGTCGGCAGCCTTCTTCTTCGCCTTGCCCTTCTTTCGCTTGCGGCCAGTCGCTTCTTCCTCACTAGTGTCAGAGGCGTATTGGCCCTCTGGTGAACTTGCAGCTGTCGGTTCGAAGTCGTCGGAGGATTCATCGTGATCCGTCTTGCGTTTCTTTCTCGGGCGAAGAGAGAATTCACTCTCAATGGAACCCGGCGCGGTTTCAGGTTGCTCCGCAAACCCGGGCATTCGCAACACTTGGTGGGACTTGGGTTCTTCGTCGTCGCTCCGAAATTCCTCTGCTGCTGCATCTTCCTCGGCTTCAACGAGAACGTCTGCAAGCTCGCCTTCGAGACCAGCCGGCCGCTCACCGCCGATATTAGCAAAAGGAGTGATCTTTCCAGTTCGGACAAGGAACTCTCGGTTAGATTCGCCAGGCAGTCTTCGAGACTTGCTCTTGACCGGATCTTCGATCACAGCAACCTCCTCCCGTCTCTTTTCTATACGGGCTTGGCAGTCAGAGATGTCGTTGACGATGCACTCAATCTCGAGATCGAGCTTATCTATTTCCTTCTGAATATTCCGAGACTGGTAGGGGTTACGACGAGCCCCCTCCAGCTTCTTTTGCTGTTCGCCTCTCTTGACCTCAAGCTTTTCTTTATTTACCTCTAACTTCTCGATCCGCTGCTTGTCCTTCTTATCTTCTGCTTCAACCAAAGCAGCGTTGGCTTGCGTGGTGATATCACGCTCTAGGTCATCTTGATCTCGGATGTCGGCTGTGATATTTCGCAGAAATGCAGCCTCATCGGAATGGTCGCCCGAGTCGGATTTGGTTGTCTTCGGGTTATTGTCTGTGGTGGCGACAGCCTTGCTTCGCTCGCCGACGGACTCACCACCACCCAGGTCATCTTCTTTGTTGGGTGTCATTGTGAAGGGGACTTTCCACCGTCTTTCACCGTTAGACCCGGAGTTCTGAGCTGAGACGTTCAGAATTATAGTACTGTCGAGGAAATGATGGAATGAGGGACCGTCGACCAAGGAGGGTCTGGTTCAGTGACGAGACCACGTTTGTTAGGAGAGTTTGAGTGAGTTCAAGATGAGAAAGGAAGTGATCGCAGATGGGTGGCAGGTAGCCAGATAAGCTCTGCCTTAGCTGCCTCAAAGTTGGTGAGTCTGCAAGAGCAAGATTCGAAGCTTCTTGCTGGTTGGTCTCAATGTGACTCACCGCGGATAGTGAGGTGGAAGGCAACAGGCGCGTTCAGCTCTGGAGGTGATTAGCGATCTGCTTCCAAAAACGATGACGCCACTGGAAGGCAGTTGCGAACGGGTCGCGCTGTCAGGTGCTTTACAGGGATCTTAATTGCAAAAATGAAAAAAGAAAGAAAATAGAAAGTGTCAAGTTTGATTGGTCTTAGGGTGAGGATAAGTGGAACCTGTTCCTGGTGGCTAAGTCTGCTCTGCAGCCACAGCCATGGCCTGGCATCACTGGGAAGCTGCAGTCGAGCCACATTCTGACTAAGCCAACGGAGACACAGTTAGAGCAAGCTGTGGCAATCAAGGAAGGTCGAAGTGGATTGCTCAACATATCTCCCATAGTCGCTTTGCCCCCTGACTCCAGCCATCGCTTGTGAACAGCTCAGCTTTCACGAATCAGATTGTCGCCAAAGTAGACGATAGAGCTCTTCCGGTGGTCCCCGAGCCAAAAAGGAGCAACCACATCGTTCACCACCATGGTCGGCCGTACAATCATATCCAACATTCCCTCGAAAGCTGGTCGGGTTGGGACAAAAGCGTACACCTCGAGTGCCCTCCAACAAGCATCCAGGATGCCTCCTACCTGGCTTCAATCTGTTCTGAGCACCACCACCAGACAAAACGCACCCAAATTGTATGCTTGGAACCTATCTAACTTGGAAAATCGAAGTCCACACTCGAGTTCGCCGGCTAGCCACCCCGGGGAACTCACCTCTCATAACCATCAGGACAACTTATACCGACGCGTCTACATACTTGGAGTCGGAAACCTTGGCATCCTTTTTGCTAGCTCGCTTGCCTCTTTGCCAGACCCTCCGCCAATAACTCTTGTTTTACATCGGAAGGACCTCCTGCTATCATGGAAGGAACAGCCGGGCATCGAAATCACCCGACGAGGCTCCGTCCACAAATATTTGGACTTTGATGTTGAGTTGTGGTCCGAAGAGCCACCATCCACTGGCCTGAATAGGGAGGTTGCCGAGGGCCAGGGAATACGTAATCTAATCATAGCGACGAAGGCGTCTCAAGCCCTGCCTGAGGTCGATCGAGTGCGTCGCTACCTCAATGACAACTCCACGGTAGCCTTCGCTCAGAACGGCATGTGCAAACTTTGGCCGCCGTACGGGAAGACGTATACGAAGTCTCGGTACTTGGGAGCATCATATCCCAACTGGCTGGCGTGTGTCACGACTCACGGCGTGACCTCTCTAGGTCGATTTAGGAGTGTCCATGCGTCGGAGGCAGACATCAAAATCGGCCCTGTACTCCTCAACGAGTTTCCTGGGGAAGCTTCTTATCTATCAGAATTGCTTTCCCGGGCTCCGAATCTTCACGGACAGAACGTTACACGAGATGAACTCTGGATCCTGCAATTGGAGAAGCTGGTGGTCAACTCGATTATCAATCCGCTGACCGCCATTCTTCGGTGCAAAAACGGCGAACTATTTCTCGAAAAGAAAGGTGTCCTGGCGGAACTCATTAATGTCTTGTTGCTAGAAGCCAGTAACGTTCTTCAAGCTCTGATCAAGGACGAAAGCACCGACACAATTCTACAACCAGTACTTGGAGAAGCCATATCAATTAAGAAGCCAGAGTTGGACCGCAAGCACACACACCAACGCCGTGATCTTTTGACTCGCTTCTCTCAACCCCAGCTTAAGGAGATGCTGTACAGCGTTGGGAGCAAGGTCCGAGAAAACACGAGTTCAATGCTTCAAGATGTACGAGCCGGCAAACAGACCGAGATCAACGAGTTCAACGGCTGGTTGATAGAAACGGCGGGTTACCTCAACGGCGACTTGGATATCACCCATCACCGCATCCTCGTCAGCCTTGTGCACGACGGTAGTGTGTTGGACAAGGAATCGCTCATCAAACATTTTCCTTGTCTGAAAGGGTCCAAAATTGAGGCTGTCTGAAGCCACAAACGACGTCACCTAACCAAATTTGTGATTGCAAGTCCACTATGCAAGCCATGAGATCTCGCGATGCTACTGTTACACTACCTAAGATGGCGTCAATTTCAGCTCAACACTTCACGGGATCGACCTCTATCTTACTGAAAGACGTTTATGGCACAGGGAACATCCCGATTGCCATCGGAAAAATCATATCAGCCGCCAGCGAATGAATTGAAGGATCGCGAACCGGACAGCAAGGAGGTTTGGTAAACGGCCAACGCATTCTCTGCTGGCGCCTGCCAGCCATCCTTCCACAACCAGGCTTTGTTCATTAGGAGTTCCCTACCAAAGAGGCTGCCCAAGTGCCCTGGACTTTGCATACGCCCTCACCCAACCATACCATAGGTCCAGCCGCTTGCCATGCTTTTCGAGAAGTCAACGTGGCCGGGTCCCGTCCAAAGACCTCCCATTTGCAGAGCGCTCCTGAAAAGTGGCTCGTCGTTGACGTTACACGCAAGGCCATTGCCCTTATTTGCCACCTTCGCTTCCCTGTCGCCCCTTAAGAGACCTCAATATAGATATTATATTCCACGTAATATACTACTATATCAGCACCAAATATGACGCCAGGGGAAGAAAGCAGGTATGACCTTCAAGGGAGGACCCGGTTCGAAAACATTTTGTCCAAGAAAATGCTCATAATCGTTGCCCCTCAGGATTTTCACCCGCCGCTTACTCGATATCGCCAACACTGGTGAGGAGGTGTGCGAGAAGTGTCCGCTGAGGCTACATCCACACCCTCCAGCGATCCATGGTGAAGTAACTTTTTTATTCACGGCCTGGTTTTGATCGCTCACGCCATTTGTTTGGTGTCAACGAAGATACGAACGCGGATCATACTTTGTCTTCCTATAGAAACCTGCACACTGCGCTACGCCCAGAACTTATCTACGGTTTTGGAAACCTATTCGCAACCAGAAACCCAACAGATTTTCAGCAAGGATCGCAGCGGCCTTTTGCTACTACCTCGAACGGGTATATATCGCATTGAGCACAAAGCGCAATGGTTATGATATCAGGATGGTCTGTCACAAGGAGTGGTCGCAGGCAGCGGACCAGCGGCTCAGCGATACTGGAGGACACGATCTGAAGCCAGCATGGATCTTAAGAATATCTGGCTTGAAGCCACGCCATCAGTCTTATAGCAGCACGACCTGGTTCCTTGCATGCATTCTAGGGCTTGCTTTTGCAGTTTGTTACTTCCTACACCCTGGTTGCTCCATGACAGGGCGTTATCCCGCCAAGCAGCTAAATCAGAAGCGGAGCCAATGACTTGCTGTAACACGCTGAAGCTAAGCTAACGAAGAATTGATGGCATCGTAGTTTTTGTTGCGGCGAGCTACTTGCCCTGAGATTCACGAAACGACCTCAGCCAGCAACTACGGCAAGAGCCACACAGTGGAGAGAGTCCAGCGGAGCCAACGAGTGTTAATCAACTGCGCATCATTTTCGAACAGATGGATCTAACTCACCTTGATGTCTCAATTCTCCGATTGGTCAACAGGGGTTTGGTGGAAAAGCCCCGGTGCATATTTGACGGAGATTTTCCTGAAGAGGCCTGTCTGATGGGCTCTTGTTAGCCCATTGTGGAGCCCGTGGATGACTTCAATCTCGACAAGGCTTTCACGCAACGACCAGCACCTCTGGGGAAGCCAGCAAACAACCAGCAACATGATCAGGTGGAAAATATGGATCCTTCCAAGCCCACATTATATCCAGTCTTCGACCGTTCAAGTTTCCATGGTCTTGTCGGCAGGCCAAGCCTCAGTTAGTGTTGGGGCAGGCAGGAAAACTCTTTTGGTGTGGTTGCACTGCAGCAGTGACCCGCATGGCGCCCCCCGCGAGCTGGTGGTTGACCTGACCGTGTCCGCATGTCACTCAACGTTGCTAAATAACCAAAACCAGGCCTCCGAAGAGAGATAATGACCGTTGGCACAGCGGTCCAAACGCACCTGCGAATTGCCTTAAACCCGGCGTATGCTCGGATCCTGTTCGGCCTCGGCTGCGGACCTGTCAATCAGCCTCTTGATCCAAGCTTTCCGAACTGGTGCACGGAGGAACCGGCTCTGGGAAGAGCAGCACCCCATGGGTTCCTTGTCCAACGCTTTGGTCTAGCGGTGCTCTAGGGTTCACCGGTTTGAGACATATGGTTCTTGATCTGGTCATCGTTCTAGTGTAAGTCGTCGTTGGCTTGGGATCTCGGCCACAACGGCATTTCCGCCGTTGTGTGACCCGCTTTACCCGCTTGGCCCGCCTGACAACCGCATCAGCCCCGGACCATGAGGCGCAACATGATAACGGTGACGATTCGAGGATCACGCCTAAGCCCTAGGGATTCGAACTAGCACCCCCCGGCTTTAGCATTAAAAATCCTCACTATTTGGCCCGGCAGTTGACATACGATAGCCCATCATCAATCGCATAGGAGGAGTTTCACCTTGGGCGTATTATATGCTGGGCATGCTGGCTCTTCAGCATGAAGCTCGCGAACTGTTTACATATGTTCAAACTGGTCTTGGGAAATTGACAGGACAGGAGCGTACCGCCCAAAAATGGGGAAAGGTCGAGGGTGGGCAACAAAACAGCTCATCTGCATATCCGCTCAGAGGTGGCACTTATGCATCTTGGGCCACGACATTGTGGCTCCTCCTGTTTTGGCTTGCTTCATCTGCATTATGCGATTACTGGCTGCGCATCTTTTCGCGATGGCACATGTCGCATCTGGAGAAAGCTTACCTGCCTCTGAGGAACCCCGACACCATCATTGCCGATGGCTCTAGACATGCGCGGCTCAGCTCTGTGCGCTAGTGGCAACGTCTTGTCCCTTTAGTTCACGTTCGTTTTCGAAGATCGACTTCTCTCGAAGCCGCGACCTCTCTGAACCCGATTTTCGTCCTTGAAATCTTAACGAAACGGTGGACGCAACCAGCAAAAAATAACAAAGAGATGGCCGTTGCCCGTTGCAACCGTCCAATTGACAGTTGATTGCCGTCGACCGAGTTCACGTCTCATACGGTTGGCCCCGCCTCCTTCTCGATTTTTGTTGGCCTCGACCACGAAAACTTTGTCCGTACTGGTGTAGTCGATGCAGTATCACCTTGCATAAGGGGTAACGTGCGGGAACTAGTCGACCAAGGCTAACTTGTCACTGTTACCGTCCCTACTTGCGCGGGATGTACGAAAGCTCGCCTCGCGTGCATGCATTGCACTTCACATCGATCCGCCCACAGAGAAACCCAGAAGGCATTAGAACCCTGTAGGAACCGCGCGTGTGACTTCCCGGGCAGTTGACCGCTTCTTTTCTTTGGGTCTGGCTTCTGGCGGGTGGCTGGGGCCCGGAGATGACGGGGGTAGGGGGGATATATCAGAATCCCGGCGTCTTATAACGAAGCCTGGGACCGAGTGTTTCAACGGCCACAGGCCACTGGCAAACCGGCCGCTCTGGGTGGACGCAGAGTCAAACGAAAGCCTGCACCGTGATCAAAAGGCCACCTGCAGTTCCCAACCACTGAAGCCAGCGGGGGGAGCCAGAGCGTACGATGCTCATTGTAAGGGGGAAGGTTAAAGCTGCCAGGGCACAAGGCCATTTGGGCATTCGGAACGATCACGCCCAACGCGGCACATGCGGAGCAAATGTCCACCCGTCGGACATTTGCCAAACGCTTGACCTCGTCGAGTCGGTCGATTTCCAGGGCTCGGCTATTCCTGTGCCGGTACGCCAGCGGTCCCCCGTTTTGACGTGGCAAACCTGCGCCCGAGAAGAGAACATGGCAGTCCTGCTCTCCCCTGCTTCGCCTCCGCACTTTCTGGCTTTCTAGCCTCTCCCCTGATGTCTTCATTACTCGCAAATATCGATCTGGTCAGACCGGGACGCCGGCGACGGGAGAGGAATGAAAATAACACCGACTGGCTCGAGATTAATGAACTCGCCCTTCCCGCCCCCGCCAGACTTGGCATGAAACAGGACGAGCACCTAAATACGTCTCGCCAATCCGAGTTTAGCAACCCTTCGACCGCGATGCCCTGGCCGGTTTCCCCGGACTCTATGCTTGGATCGACGGCGTAGCCTCCAGTTCGGCCTTGCGGCCCTCGGGACACCGGACGGGACCTGGAAACGTGGCGGCGCGGTGCCAAAACACCAGCCATCAGAGTGAAGAAGAATCAATCGGCGACACGTCAACGCACTTACATCCAGGTCGCACAAGCAGCCCACCCCTCACGCTAATGTGGGAAACCATGTCTCGGGCGGCCTTGGGGGGGCTTTGGGGGTAAACCCTTGACGGCTTGCAACTATGGACAACCCGCGCGTGTACTGACTAGAAGCTGTGACTGCTGTTCGCGCTCAGCGCTCAGCGCTCAGCGCTCAGCGGGACGCAGCGCATGGCCTACCGCAGGGTCTGGATCCAGATGCAGGTGTTTGTAGACCCCACCTCGATCCTTTTTTCGTCTGCTGCTGCTTATGCTGGTAACCGATCGGTTGACTCACGCGAGGTTGCAATAGCGGCAATGTAGACCCTGGAGTGACTCGGGGGGGAAAAACCGCTCGTATGGTTAGGCCTGTACCCAAAAAGCCAGTGAGACTTGACTCACCAAGCGATGCGGCCCTTGTTTCGACGCCGTGTAAGCCTGCATTTTCAGTTCTCCCCAAAGGTCCTGTAAGGCTGCCCGGCTAAGTCGCACTCGTCGTGGAAGCTCATGAGCTCCCCAAGGGCGCACGCGCATTGTAAAAAAGGAATCAGATATAAGTTAAAGCTAGAATCGTACAATACAAAGTGATGAGGCTACAGAATCGAATAAGAATCGAACAACGGTAGGGCGATAATGAGCGTCTGAGGTAAGACAAAAAAAAAGAATTCTCGAGCAAGAAAACAAGAGAGCAGGACAAAATAATGGACAAAAAATACAAAAAAAAGTCAAAAAAACCAGGACGTCATCGGTGATGCAAACCCGCGTGCGTGTCGCCGTGTATGCAGAATGCTCCCTCCCTTCGCCTTCTTCCCACCCTCCTTTTTCTACCCGCAAGACGCCATATAAGCCCTAACAGCCAACTCCTGCCCGTAGTGCCTTGCAATCAAATCGATGCCCGCGGTGCAGTAAAAACATTCGAATGCTCGAGACCTTGAGAAAGAGTGCGGTAGACCCTCTATGGTTGCAAAACGGTGATAATCGTCAAGAAAAGAAGCAAAAAGTCGTCCAAAGGAGTGTCAAGAAAGAGCAAAACAAATAGGAAGGCCGTGTATTGCGTGATTCGGCGTTTGTGTGTCTGTTTGTGCCCCAAGTCTATTTTGTGTGTCATGAGTCGAGATGTAAAGGAGTAGGTCGAGAAAAAGATGAAGGTAAAACAGGTGACCCGTGGTGTTCGGGGGTATCTCTAGAATTAGGCGGATGGGGAATCCAGCTAAACAAAAGGGCAATGCTACCATATAGTCGCAAGTATGATGTAGGGGCTCAAGTACAAAGGGTTGAAGAGTAGATGGCCTTGGTTACCCAAGATGGAGCTGGCGCAAGTCTTTGGACCTTGTGGACTCTCTGTTGAAGGCGACCCAAGCTGTTACAAGAAACGACGCGGAGACTGATTGATTCGCAGATTTCCCTCGTCTACTCCACCCGCTGAGCTGATATGGGAGACTGGCGTTCGTGGAGGTCGATCTGGATGCTCCGGATGGGTCGTGTCGTTCCATGCCGCATGATGGAGATCATCGCTGAAAGCAAGCCCCTCTTCATCACTGGAGCTGCTGCGTGTAGATATTGTCTCCAGCCGGGGGCTCAGAAGTTCCCGGTGGAGACATTGAATGCTATAAGGGAGCACCCATCAACTCTGACGCACGTTCTCGGCAGGCCGCAGGAGTAAAGCCGGTGCCGACTTTGTTGGCCACGATGCGCCACTTCTCATTTTCGTAGTCTTGTAGTGCGGTGCGAAGTTTCTGGTCCTAAAGAATGATATTACAATCAGCCTGTGCTCGCCATATCACCGAGTACAGCTTTGGGTTGTACGCTCAAACAGTCTACGTTGGAGGAAAGGAGCGCTTACCGTTTCGTCGGTCCATTGTGTCGTCTTAGCCTTGAGCTTTGTGCAATAGCGCACCTGCAAAGTTCCTGATGATCTACCGGGGAAGAAATCCGCAATTTGCTTCCACGTCAGAGACTTGTTCTCCTTCAAGTCGATGAGGAGTTGATCGTCTTCGGGAGTGAACTTGAGCTTCGGTCCTCTTGGCCTCGGAGCCGGAGCTGGCATGCCTGCCTGTCCCACTACGCTTGGAGCCCCTCCTCTGTCACCACCGTCATCACGCCGCATCATCTTGGAAGGAGGGCCAGTGTCGGGCAGACGGTGGTGATGGTGCGTCGGGGCCTGTACCGCCTGCGCATAAGCGGCTCCCAGAGGTGTCTGCTGCATGCTCTCGAGTTCACTCTGGTCCAGATCGATCCCGGGAACGGATAGATCAAGATCGTCTGGCCTCGGTCGTTTGGGTGCTCCATGCGGTGTATGGGATTGCGTAGGGGTAGACATGGAAGGATACAGAGGCGCGACAACTGGACCCGGAGCGCCATAGTGAGGCGGACCCAAATGCCGGGCGTGGCCCATATGGTGCCCCGGATCCATTAGGATCTGGTGTGGATGATGAGAGTGATGGGAGTGTTGCTGCTGCTGCTGCTGCTGCTGCTGCTGCATGGCTTGGTGATGCGAGTGGTGGCTTGTGGGCGGCTCATGGAGTGTGGGCGTGTGGGCAGCGCCATGATGGAGCGAGCTCCTATGATGACTGTGAGAGGGCGTCGTGTCATACTCATGCTGCTGTTGACTCTGGTCGCTCGGATGCGACTCCTGTGCAGAATAATCGACATTGTAGTCCCCTACTCGGTAGTTGCCCGCCAGTGTGCCTCCGACACATGGGTTCCGCCAGAGCGAACCGCTCTGGACGGTCGCCGGGCTCTGAAGTGAAAGAATTGGTTGAGCGAATGCCCTCTCGGGCGGCGTCGGGAGAGGTGAGGGTGGTTGGTGCGACGTTGTGTGGTCGCGGTGATGATAGTAGTCCCTCGAATTGCGATCTTGTAACAGCGCTATGGTGTCGCCGTGATGAGACCCCCCCTCCAGAGTCAGCGAACATTCGTGCCCGGGAGGTGTGGAAAGAATGGTCGCGGTGTTTGCGGGAGCTGAGGTGTTTTGCGTACTGTGACGATGGTCGAAGCCTCGTCCAAGTTGGTCGTATTGGTTGCTAATGGTAGCGGTGGTAATGGTAACGGTGGTGGTGGTAATGGTGGTGGTGGTGGTGGTGGACGAAAGAGAAAGCCGGAGATGGTGTTGCGGTCTCGTAGGATTAGTCTCCCCGTCGGTGGAGAGCTGCCTTTCTGCACGGCAAGCGGATAGTTCCCTCTGACTGGCGTAGGGCGAGAAAGATTAATAAGACGAGGTAAAAGTCGAGGTAACCATGCTACCTTTTTTTCCCCTTCCGACTGGTTGTTGCCACGCGCTGTTTAAGCTCACGGGATCTTCCTTTGACTTATTATAAACCCCGTTTGGCTCTAGGCGAGTGATGATATAGTAATGAAGGGGTCAAAAGAGAGAAAGCGCGAACGTGGGCAAGGGCTGCATTATATCGTCCGATGTGCCTTATCGAAAAGAGGAATAGAGGGCTGTGTGTGGACTCTGTCTGGGGGTATGGGAAGGGGACGGAGAGAGAGAGGGACATGTATGGGGTGTGAGGCCAGAGAAAGAGGGTACATCGACTACCGCCGCTTTTGTCGCCGAGTTAAAGCACACAAGCGATTTACCGTGCGCGAGACGTTTTCTGTTCCTGAGTAGGTTGCGGAGACTCAAGTTAACCTTGCCCAGTGACGACGGTAGCATAATTTGGGGATCTTATGCCATGGGTTTCGATGCCGGATATAGAAGCAGGAGTGTACCCGGCCGGCCGCGATGATGCAACGGGCGAGGGGTGAGCGTGACAGTAACTAGCCCAGAACGATTGACTGACAGGGCACCATGGCAGCACCAGCACGGGACAATTTCACATCTTTCGAAGAAACCCTCAGACGGATCCGACTCAACCCTGGAAAGGGAGGCTAGGCGACCCAGAGATAAAGAGGTCTGGAAAACGCATGGAAGGAATCCAAACGCTTTCAACCGAATGAGGGATAGATGCTGAAACGAGCCCTACCATGCGCTTGCTGGTTGGGAAGGGCATGGCAACGGGATTGTTCAGAACAAGGCCGCCCAGGTTTGCTCAGCTGGCCCCCTGCTACACTGGGGAGAGAAGAGGAACAGGGGAACCAGCTCTTGGGTCAAGGCAGTTGATTCTCGAGTGTGGATGTGAGTGTATGAGAATGTGCGCGTGGGTGTGTGCGCGCGGAAGCTCAAGTCCCTGGCCTGGAACCCCCCTCCACACCCCCCCAGACGTCCTTGACGGGGGGTATGCTTTGGGTGAGAATAGGTACACCGGCGAACAGCGCAAGTTAGACAGCGCTGCCCATTCCGGAGAACACGGTGGAGTCGATTGGGGGCAAATGGCAGGTTTTGGGCAAGGGAAATGGCTGGTTGAGCGCTGAGAAGTCATGCCTTGGGCCTGGAGGGGGTATATCTGGTGCAGGGAGGGTATATTGGAGCCACGAAAGGGAAATCGCCGCTTCAGTACGCGATAGGGCCAGCGAGGCGGTAAGGTTGCAACAACCACTCGTCTGAGTGGGCAGATTGCCGAAGGGTGCGAACAAGGAACAGCCGGGTGGGAAAGAAGGGCACCAGGTAAAGCCGGCGGTCGTAACATCAGTAGGACCCTTCCATTCCTAGCCCTGATCTTTGCCGCCAGTGTCACTGATGGCGTGCTCCCCGTTCGAAGTCCTGGTCGAAGAGCTTCGGGAACGGCGCGGAAGTGACAGAGCAGTGGCTCCAGGAGGTAAAATACCCTGGCCAGCCCAACATCAAGACGTCCGCAGCAGGGGGATTTGCGCCCCAAACGCCAGAATGGCTGTATCAGTCGGTCTTCGCCTCGACGCCGACACGTCCGCATGTAGCAGGACGGCGAACGGGTGATGTATAGTACAGAACCAAAAGTCCACTCACCCGTAAGACGGGCGTGAATGGAAATGACCGAAATGAAGACGAGTGCGGTGCCACGGTTGAGGTTCTGGTCCGGCAATGGAGCGGCTGATGACCCAGGCGGTCGGCGCGCGCGTTGACAAGATGGGATGGATGAAGGGTTGAGCAGACGGACGGGGGCCCGACAAGAATGGTTAGCCTGTGGGGTAACCACATTTTTTTGTGCGAAGATTTTTGGGACTTGGGACGTGTGCGACTCAACGGCCAGGTCGCACGACGGTGCTGCCGTCGAAATCATGGGATGATAGCGGTTCGCTCGAGCCGACTATTCATCTCTTTGCAAAGAGCGGGCGGGCGCGCATCCCACGTGCACGTAGCCACTTGCAGCCCGAGTTCCTGAAGGCATACCCAGATGTCCACACATGTGTGCTGGCGCGGCGACGCACTCCCACACAGCCAGCTGCCTCCCGTTACGTAGGCTTTCGGCTGGTTGTGAGAGACGAGAACGTGGCGGGCGTAAGCAAACAGGCGCGACGAAGACCGGCTTTCGGCATTTGGGGACATTGTGAGACTCAATGCACATCCCGGGCTTTTGGTGCTCGACGGCAGGTACATGAGGAATGAATGAGGTACTGTAGGCCGGTCAGACAACGTCCTGTGTGCCTTGGCTTGGGTCAGGTACTTTTACTCGTCAGGGCAGGGCCCAGCCAGTAGGAAGAGCGCCTGGGACGAAGACCGGGAGGGGAGGGCAACGAACTAGGGACTCGGACTGATCGAGAAGTTCTGGCCGACGAGTTTACCTCGTCGAGACATGACTGATCATGGGAGGGGGGGGAATCGACGCCAGAGCAGGGGTTGGACGGGTATCGCATGAAGGAAACGCGTCTCACGCATACCTGGCAATTAAAAGATCAATTATGCGACCCAGGGATCCCAGGCAATCTTTCTAGAAGGAGTGGGACTCCATTCTAGCGTCTGATCACCTTAATTCTTCGTCGTTGTCGGAGTCTTTTTGGGAATTTGAAATCGAGAGAGGGGGGATCCTTTGGAGCAGTTCCCGAAGGGTTCGTAAAACACGAACCGGATAGCTGGGCGTTGGACACATCTGTTGGCCCTGCGAGCACGGAGACGGCGATCAAACGTGGAAGAGGGCTTGGAGAGACGGAACGGGCGACAATGATGGTAATGCGGCGGAGATTTGAAGACCGCAAGGCGGATGGACGGCCCTCGGCAGCGGATGACAGGCGATGCCGGGATTGGCCAACGAGGCGTTGTTCACGTCGTCGCCGACAAGATGAAGGTATACAAGCCGATTGAGCGATGGGAGAAATTGCGAATTTGGGGATCATCTGATACCGAAGATGCGATGAATGAATGCAGGTACAGATTGGAGAGTTGCAGCCGGGACCCGGGCACGGGTTATTTCTCGATGGGTGTTGGCGGGTATGTAGGCATGCTACTTCCAAGTCACTTCGCATAGAATTCTGGTGGGAAGATACTCGGGATCGATCATCCGTCACTTTCCCCCCAGGCCCTGTTCAAGCGTGCGTGCCTCGCATGTCTTGGCCGCGCCTTTCTCGCAGCCCAGGCAGGCAAAGGGAAGGTGCCACTCGCCCTCCGTCAGGTAAGACATGACAACGGCAAAGCTGGGTCAGACATGGAAGAGTCTAACTGGACTGGCCGGGCCAGACACACAGCTCGCATTGAGGGCCAAGCCCCGATGCTCGTAGCTCGAAGCTCGAAGCTTACCAGATTTAAGAGCCGACAACCTGAGGTGCCTGCCTAACCTACCTACCTACCTTGGAGAGAGAAAAAGAGAAAGAGAGGGCTGGCATGCATGGCTGTCCTTGGAGCAAGCAAAGGGAAGGAAGGGGCAGGCGCGCGCTGGTTTGACAGATGGAGCCCAGCCGCCGTTAAGGGAAAGCGCGGAAACAGCGCTCAGCTCAGGATCCACCGCAGGCCCCACTCACGTGCTGGGTTGCTTCCTTACCTCCCTCGTCTCTCCTTCCACCTTGCCTGGTCGTGGTTTTCCTTCGCGACAGCGTCGCATGTCGTCAGCCTGGCCCGCCTTTCTTATTTGCAATTACTATGTAAGTCCGGCTTGACGTATGTACCCGAGCGAGTCTGACGTGCGGTGCGGTCGGGTTCCTCCCGAGGACCCGACGTCAAGACAGCCCTGCAAGAAACTGAAGGTAGCCGCCGGTGTGCGCGCCTACCTTGCGCCCGCATGTCGTCGTGTCGTGATGGGAATTCAGATGGAAAGATTGGCCGTCCGAGAGGTGCAGGAGTCATCAACTTGCTTCCCGTCCACTAAGCCAAGAAAGGGTAGTTGCTCACGATAGACTGTGCCGCGTTAGATTAAGCTAAATTGCTTTGTTGGGTTTGTCCATGTCCTAACTTTGGACGCGGACGACTGCGAAGATGGGATGGGAAAGGGAATCTCATCCTCCATCGTCCAGCTTCGATGCCTTGACTTACACGTGCGCTCGCCTTATGCTCCGGATGACACGGGGTCTCAACTCCAAGGTTCGGAACTCCGCGCACTGCCTTGCTCGCTTTCGCAGCCTGCCGTCGTCGTCATCGCCATTCGCATCGGCGTCGGCAACTTCGCACTCTTTCTCGTCCTCCCGCATCAAGACGAACTCAACATTGTCAATAGCGTTGTCTCTTTCAAAACATGATCCCCAGAGAGTCCCTACGCCTCGAGGCGTGCTGCCACACCGGCAACAGCTTGCATCCGACCCCTTACAGCATGCCTGGCTAACATCTTACATGCATCACATGGCTTGCATCTCGGTAGCTCGGCCTAGCAGAAGTGGTGGTGGATAGGGCTACGGTTGTGACTGACAGCGACGCATCACCACCCACGGCATCTTGCAGGGGTCGATCTCAGCTGCGGTCCCCCACCAACATGCCGCCGCTTTGTGTCGACGCCTCCGCGTCGCTTTCTACCGCAAGGTTTTCACACTCTCTTACACGTCTCCGGGATCATCCTGCTTGACACGCCTTGGGGCACTCGAACCCACCGCAAACCTTTTTTCTCTCCTTTTCATGATTGTGATCCGGACCGTCGGTCTATACCGGATGACAGCCGGCACTGTGCCTGTACGGATGTCGACGTCCAACCCAGAAAACCAAGTGATCCTGCCTGATATCAGCTGAGGTGCGTCTCCCCGCACTCGAGCCGAAAAAAGTCTGTCGCGCTTCAGAGAGGGAGAATCATAGCATCATTCACTCCCCTCCACGGGACGGTGGTGGTGCCCCTGCCCCGTCCAGCCAGCGAGGCTCCATGGGCTTGTATCGTCTCAGCCCAAAGCTTGATAACCTTTCTTGCGGTTGGCGGTTTGGGCTTCCGGTCGGCAGAAGCGGTCCTGCTCAGCAGCAACCCAGCTCCGGATACCGTTGCGTACTACTAACTAACGTCGCTCGCTCTTGTCCCCGACACCCCCGCATATCGCAACCACCATGCACTTAGCTTCGCACCACTAAGTACCTAGCCTGTCGTTCTTCGCCACGAAGCCGCCCAGGTCTTGTACGTCTCTGAGCCTTGCAACCCTTTCTGGAGTCCTTAGCCTCCGTCCATCGCCCCCACTTGCGGCGATGGCCTTACTGCCGCATGGCTCTTGGGGTTTTGGAGAAGCGCGCTGGAGCTTTGGAGACGTCCACGTAGGGGTCCCTAAGCTTGTCACAAGTCACACTAAACTCGGTTGGTTTCTGTGCTAAACAGCAGGCTAACCTAAAATGCCTCGAGGGTCTCGTACGTTGTGGCACCGCTGCTTACTCTGTCCAGTTCCTGGCTCAAGGGGCCTGGCCAATGTTTGCTCTTTCGGGAATCCCACAGAAACCAGCCCTGGCCACATTACAACACCCGCCCGACCAGCCAAAGGTTAAACCTGCAAACGTGTCGCGATTTGGCGCCGGCAGCTCAATTCCGAGCGTCTCCTGAGATCCGCGACAGCACCCTCTTCGAAGGCGTTTGATTTACCTACTACACCTCGGGTTAAGCGATTAAAACGCGAAGCCTCGCGTTAGCCTCGTAAACGTGGAATATGACCACGGGATTCGATAGTGAGCCTGGCCAAGAGAATTGTCTGCTCCAACCCACCCCTCAGGCCGATGCCGAGAAGAAGTCTTCGTTCACAACCTCGAGCTAGAATTCAGAGGCTAAGCCAGAGGTACAACCCATCTCCGAGCAACCTCATCTCCACCCTCCAAGCTCAATAGTTCGTCCCTACACTACTGTAGAGGTCGCCCGATCGAGTACAGCCTCCCTCTCGGCCGACGGGGATCGACCTGGAAGTCATTTCGAGGTTCTCATGCGCCGCCCTGTGGCTCATTCAATGTCGTCCTGCTGGCTTGCGGCGTCGACTCTCTCGATCGCCAATTACGCCCCCCAAAACAGCCACATCCCCACGACCAAAAATATCCGTTCCTTGCCACACTTTGCTTTTCCCCAATCCTTGTTCGTCCAACGAGAACGTCAAGACTTACCCCCATTCCCAACGGCCTGGGCCAAGTGACACCCAACACGGAATCAATCGCCATTATCAGCCGCACCTTAAGCCTATCCCGGCCCCATTTCCCAGGATACTGCACCACGATGACGTTTTGTTCCGTGGCTGCGATTTTGAGGGTCACACATACCAAAAGGCCCGAGGGGGACGGAAACACATTCCTCATCCCCATGCCAATATTACAACCGCCCTGCCTTCATATTGAACATGGCACTTTTCTTATGATGTTCGCACCAACGTACCCCGGTACCAATATTCACAGGGCAGCTAGCTGCTCCAGATCGTTCCCAGGGAACGTTTCTACCGCATTGGCGTCGAACATCTGGCGCGGACGGAGCAAAGCGCACGTCACGGAAAAAGGGGGACTTTTTCTTAAACCCACCCTAGCGCATTAATGCATGAAATCTCAAATTTGCTCGGGCCATCTACCCCGCTGAATCAGCGATTAGACTGCCCACCATCTTCAACGGTCTTCCCGTCGCCTTGCCTTTTGCAGTTGACGCCGTCCGAAGAACAAGCACCGACGCGACACGTATCCAACGGTTTGGCCCGTGGACGGCACGCCGCATGGTAGGAGCACCACACCACGCAACGATGAACGACATCGCCTCCACAGACGTTGAAATGTGACGGCCACTCGTCACGCATGCATTATTCTGGTGATCACTGTCATTCTCGGCAGCCGCGGCCGTACCTGCATGCAAGTCCGCATGCACGCGAGAAGGTCAAGGCCCCTGCCCTGGTGGGTTCCCCATCTGCTAGTGTAGTGTAGATGGGCGGCTGCATGGAAGCCTTGGGAGAAGTTGGCGGTGGTTGCTATTCATGGCATGTCCCGCCCTGGATGCCATTCAAAAAACGAATGAGCCTCGTGTGACGGATGTCGTGGGGGGCGCAGTCCAAATACGCGTGGCAGCACGTGTGCATACGGTTGACAAAGGCAACCAAAACGCGACTTCACTTCCGTATCCCCTTCCCTGCCCTGGTTGTCGTCACCGTCCCGGGTTCCCAGAGAGACCAAGAGAGAATGCAACGGAGCCAGCAGGGCCAGCAGGATCGGTGGAGACGTAGGCCATAGTGGTAGTAGGGGGCATGTACTATACCCAGATCGTCTTTGCCTTTGTGCCATTTACATGACATGTTTTGTTCCTATGGGCGGCCGGTGCACTTCTTGTTTGTCGAAACAGGTCATGGTTCATCTTGACGACGCGACAGGTCACATGTCACCAAGGTGACAGCCCATGGGCCTTGGATTGATTGCATAATGTGGGAGTTCGTTTTATTTTATTTTAAATACTCGGACAGGAAAAGTACAGTCGGTTTCAAAGCCCGGGCTTGCCAAACCTATCAACGCCAGTTGCCTAATTACACAAGTCCCCCCTCCCATGCCCTCTTCCTCTCGTAAAACACATTCTGCAGGAATCGTTTCCCTTCCACTGCTCCCCCCCTTCCCCCTCCTCCCTAAAAAAGTACCAGTTACAAATGCATTAAGTTTTTCCCATTGATTGAATTGCCGTCTTTTGCCTGTTTGGTTGTCCGGTAGATGTGGGTAAGTGTCGGTTAGGCCGACTCGGGGCATGTGAGGCCCTGGGAAAAGAGTTTCTGATTCCCGAGCCCTGATGCCCGCGCACGCGCGCGCGCGCACAAGTGACCGCTTTAGGCAAAGTTGTCGGTGCGATCGACCCAAATGTCCTCGAGCTCGGCGAAGCTGTGGAAGTGCACCGGACGGTGCTGGTCGCTGTAGAAGGGCAGCGGGGTGTCGAGCTTCACGTGTATGGACTTCTTCTCCATGCCGGCGAAGGCCGAGCCCATGAAGCTGTAGTTCCACATGTTGTTCTCAGGCACGAGGAAGAAGCCACGGAACCGCGGGCTGAGCAGCAGCTTGCGCTTCTCGCCCATGGACGTTGTGAAACCCTGCGGTTGGTCGCTCTGCGTGTCCTTGTTCTCGGCGCCCCACTTGTAGCCCTGCGGCGTCAGACCCCAGGCCGACAGGGAGACGCTGCCAGGCGTGAAGGCGACGTTGACGGTAACGGTGTTGTGCTTGTCCCATTCTTGGTGCGCGTCGAGGAGCCGCGCATGCTCCGTCACATCAGCGGCCGACATGTACGGCAGCTCCGAGCCCGAGGCGGTGTGGATGACACCAAGTGGCTCCATGCCCTCGAGAAACTCGTGCTGCGGGAGCTGCTGCGGCAGCTGCACGTTGCGCAAGCCGCCGATCTGCGGGATCATGACAATGCACTTGATCTCCTTGACCTGGTCGTTGTCCGGCGCCGAGGAGCCGTAAAGGTAGCCGGCGACTTGGACGCGTAGGTCCGAGATGGTGATGAACCGCTTGAGGATGTTGTTGGGCATGACGTAGGTGACGTCGTCAAGGTCGTTGTCAACGGAGGAGACGTAAATGTTGTTGGCCTTGGTGCGCAGGTTCGACGTGGCAATGGCACGGGTGCGCCATTCTGTCTTGGACGCGAACGTCTGCTGCTCAAACTGCGACGTCGTCGTGACAATGATCTCCTCTCCGTGCACGTTCTGCGTCTTGGTCGTGACTGCCGTCAACTGTTGCTGCTCTTGCTGTTGCTTCTCGATCTCCGCCGCCTGCTGGCGCTGCATGGAAGGTGCAGAGATCTCCATACCCAGGATGATGTCCCGAACTTCACTGCTCGTCAGACTGGATACGTTGACGTTGTTCTTCTTGCCGTAGTCGTTGAGAATGAGGTCACGTAGTTGCGTTTCAACCTTGATCCAGTCCTCGTCAGACAATGTTGGCCAAATGTGGTGGTCCTGGGTGATGACCGTCTTGTCCGGGCGAAGGATAAGCTTCGTCTTGTCTGGGTTGACGTGCAGGGCACGCAGAATCAGGATCAGACGCGAGAAGGCCGTGTACGACGAGATGCTCTTCAGCCACTCATCGTACAGGTTGAAGAGCACCATCTGTGGCTCAGTGGCACGCAGAATCATGTCACCGAGCTTCTCAACCTTCATGGCAGCCTGGAAAGGCAGCTGCAGCTCAGAGGCTCTGATAGAGATGTTGGGAAAGTCAAGCAGATGGACTTCCAAAGGATCCAACAGACCCTTGCGAGTCACGATGAGCTGCTTCGGCTGTTCTTCCACGGGCAGAGACCGAATGAGTGCCGCCACTTCTTCGGCCGTCTTCCATTTCGCCAACTGTCCAAGACGCTTCTGACCGGCCCAGACACTAGTGTGAATGATCTTCAGGAACAATTGACCTGTCCTGGGGTTGAAGATGAAGATAGCACCGTTGATGGGCTTGGTAGTCAGGTTACCCTCAAAGGTCTTGTGGATGGTCACACGGTAGACGTTGGTGTCGTCAATGAACAGCTGCGTCTGATTGCTAAAGAGCTCAGAATAGTTCTGAGAGTTCAGGAACTCCTGGTTGCTCTCAGAGGCGTAAAGCTGCAGACCCTTGCGGATACGCTCTCTCAAGACGTACAACGCAGGGTTGGCCTTCATGATCTTGGCCATGGCCTGCTGGACGAGAACCTTCAGACCAGGGAAGTACATGCCGTACGCGGAGTACAGGTTGTAAGCCAAATCGATACCGATCATGAGACCAGTTGCTGAGGGGTAGATACTGGCACTGTCGGTGGTGTAGTCAAGGTACTTCGCACGGGTGTATCTCTCGATGTCGTGAGAGTCATAATCACCGTATCTCAACTGAACATCGATCCAGAACTTGTTTGTCGTGGTAGGCTCGATGACGTCCTTGGTGTCGAACAGCAACGATGGTCGAGTGACGTTCCATTTGTGGCTGGCGAAGAGCAGGATGTCGGCACAAGAACTGTTCATCTTGTAAGACTTTCTGGGATGGATCGTCTCTTTCTGAACCGTCTCGATGCCCAGAGACTCAAGCTCCTGGTCAAAGACCTGACACAAGTCCATGACCACGGACTCGTGTATCTTTTGCCACAAATGGGCACGGAAGATCTGGATGAGCGAAATCTTCAGCGTAGGGATCTTGCCGTGCAAGAAGATACCAGTAAGATCCAGCTGGACCTGGAAACCGACGTAAACGTTGGCTCTGTTGATCGTAGGTGACCACCAAAGAGTGAAGCGACGGTTCGGAATCTGGTTAAGACCGGATCGTTGGGCGTTGGTCAATTTCTTGAACTTCATGGATTCTCTGTAAAAAACTGTTAGCTCGTGCTCATAAGAGTTAGGGAGGGTCAACGCACTCGAATCCTGAGGCCTTTTCCCAGAACAGGCCTTCCCAGGACGGGAATCCGGTTGCCTTGAACAAGGTGTGCTCAAGGATGGTTTCGACACCACCCAGCGCCTGGATGACATCGGTACGGTACGCATTCAGATTCCAGAGTTTTCCGTCGTGTCTCTGGCTAGTCCACCAGAATGGATTGTTCTTCATGAGCTGATAGATCTTGAATTCAGCGCGAGCACGGAAACCCTTGTCGAAACTCAGGGTACTCCTGTCCTTCTGGAAGAGGGTGTTGATACGAGGGAGACCGCGATCCCAACTGTCCTCCAGGTCCTCCAGAGTCAGACGACGGTTTTGCTGGTTCGCTTCCATACGCTTCTGAGAGTACTCTGTCCAGACTCGCTGAGAGTCAATGAACTCAGCCTCCCAAGGGATGATGTAACGGAAGATGTTGGGGATGAGTGTCTCCTCGTCGTGCGTCATACCGGCGCGGTAGTGGGTAACACCGGTGTCTGTCTGCTTCGACCACCGCTTGTCACTGGCGGGGATCAAGATGTGAGAACCGGAAATCATGCCCAGACCTCCCAATTCCTTAGGAGTGTAAAACACGGCCGGAGGGAAACGAGACGGCATCTTGGAGTTCAATCCGATCTTGACTCTCGTCTGGATTTTCGTCTCACACTTGACAATGGTGTCAAGCAAGCTGACGGTCGACACTGCCGCCTCGCGGTAGTATGTAAAGAGCGCAATCAGAGCAGTGTTCCATTTGTTGGCGATCTTGGTGAATGTGGTAGATCCGGACGACATGAGGATCTGGCGAATGCGGTTGTTGAACTTTTGGATGTCCTCCTCTGTCACTTGAAGGAATGCGTGAGCCGTCCTTTCCTTAGTGGTGTTATCTACCAAAGACCAGACACTGTCCTTCACTGAGAAGTCGTCGTTCTGGTTTCGGCACTTGGGCAGAATGCGGACTTCAAAGCCGCACATAGAGAACAGCAGGTTGGGGTTGTCGCGGCTGTAGACGCTGGCAAAGCTGTCATCCCATTCGATGGTTGTAACGGAACGGGGCAATCTGTTCTTGAGATCCCAGAAGACTGCTCTGCCCAGGTTGACGTCGTGTCTCATGAGACGCATGCGAGAGTCACGCGGCCAGCACTTCTTGCTCTTGTATCCGATGACATTCTCAAAGTTAGGATCAGGCTGCTCCGTAAGGAATCGTTGAATGAGATCTCGCGACTCGTCCGCAGTGAAGCGCAGGAAGACCCAGATCTTGTCAATGTAACGAGTGTACAGACGAATAGGATGCCTAGTCTCGGTCTCCTTGTCTCGGAACTGGAGGAAATCGTTGGGGCTTTGAGGGGGGCCTGCAATCTCGCTGGCTCGCTGAGGGCCGAGGAGAAGAAGATCGAGGACAAGGCCATAGTATTGGAAGACGAATGCCGAGAACTGCAAGCCACGAATCATACCGTAGCTGTTGACGTGGTTCATGTCTTTGTATGTCAACTGCACGTTGTTCTTGGCAGTGATGTAATCCGCGAGGTTGTGGTCCATGATCAATCGAAGAAGTGAGTTGAGGAGGGTCAACTCTATCTTCTCGTAGACCTTGGACAGTTCCGTCTCAATCATGACGTTACACTCTCCGTTCTCGGTCTCCCAGACCTTGTCGAGGTTATTGATTCCTTGTGCCCACTTGTATGTCAAAAGTGGTGGGACCTCAGAGTCTGAAGGCTTGATCCACGCGGGAAAAAGGTGACGCTGGTCGGCTTGGTACCACAGGTACTGATCGAGGTAGGCATCGCTAATCTTCTCAATCGGCTCAATATCGTATACAGGGTTGATGGTGCTGTAGTTATCGTTCATGTCGATACCGACTTCTTTGAATGCGCGCTGCGTGAGCAAGAAGCGCTTGATTCGCTCCAACGTAGTACCAGGGCTGTCATAAGCCTGTTCGATTAAAGCTAGCTCTTCACGCTGGCTCTGGTTGAGACGGCCCTTGACTGAGTATGCCTCTCGCAAACGCTCCAATGCAAGAATAAGGATCTTGGTGTCGTGTTTGTAAGACACGGAGGGGAAAGGAATAGGAGAGAATTTGCGAGACTCCAGCCAATGGACTGTGGTCGTGTAAATCGCCACGGCCTCCTCGGAGGAAACGTAAGGGCCATCCTTCATGTGGTTGTGCTGTCTCTCTTGCTCGGCCTTCAGCCAGAGTCGAGTCAAACGACCAACGTTCTTCTTCGCGACCGTCTTGTCAACAGTAGCACCGCGGCGGATACGCTCACGGTTGTAGTGAGCCACCGAGATCCACCAGTCAGCCTTAGCCTTGACATAACGCAGAATGATGTTCTCGATTGGTGCGGGCAGACCAGGCACCTTCCAGGGGATGTTACTCTTCCAGCATCTCCACGCCTCGGACAGGTGCTGAAGCACGGTGTTAACCTTATTTTGTTTGATACCTTCGGGCATCATATCCATCAAGTCAGCCATGACGGACGCACGTAGTTCGAGATCAAAATGCGACTCCACGCGCTGCTTGGTGACGGTCTTCGCAACACCCTTGCTGTGGCGACCCTCGAATTGACGGGACAGTAGGTTACCAAGCCATCTCTCGAGCAGGGGGATGATGCCTCTCATGAAGAAAAGCCAGACTCGCCACGCGGGAGCCCAGAAACCGCAGCCAGGACCCTTGCCAACAGGCGCCGAGTTGAAGCGGTAGTAGATCAAGTGCTTCAAATCCTTGCAGGAACGAATTTGATGCATGAGCTTGTACTTGTAACGGTACATACCGGTAAGCTGTCCGACATGGTTGAAGGCGTACAGGATACCGTCAGCAAGTTGGAAGGCGTCGATGTTGCCAAGTCGATATTGAACTTGGGCATCCACAATCAACTTTGTCAGGCGCAGGATTTCACGCATGAGGTGGAATGCGTTTCCGAAACGAGACTTCTTTCGCTCCTTGGTGGTCAAGGTCTTGACGGGCTTCAGGTTGAAGTTGTAGTCGAGATGAAGATAAGTAAGGTTCTTGCGGTGGATGAGAAGGTTGAGCATGTTGAATCCTTGCCGGCAAACCTGAAGACCTGCTTCAACCCAGTCGATCTCAGTTTGTTGGAAGAACTTCGTCTGCTTTAGGTTACGCATCAAGTTCTGGTTTTGCTGCGACTTGGGCTTCTTCTTGTGAAGCTCGTTCAAGACATAGTTCTTAAGCAGCTTCTGGTAAGAGACGCGGACCTTGACTGGAGGCTTGTCCGAAGGAGGGTGCTCAAGATACCACTGCTTGATGAGAGGAACATCCTGCGCTCGCACCATGCGACCTGATCGCCGGTTGAATGGGAACGGAGCCCACCACAACTCAATGGCTGATGCGGTGTCCTCGTTGGTTAGGTCCTCATCTGCAAGGAAGGGCTCGAATTCGGCAGGAAGCTCGAACGCTTCATCCTCTGGCTCTTCATTGTTGCCAGGGCCGAACAGCTCGTCCTCGTGGCTAACGGTCAGATTCTTTGGCGCTACCGCCCGTGAAGAGATGGGGTGAATCCTCCTATCGAAATGGAATGCGGGAAGGTCGGGGTTGTCTGATCTCTCGAACACGGCTTGAGGATGCGAATGCCATGCAAGGTGAACACTCCGGGGAAGCGAGTTGTAGAGATAGGGGTAAGCCACACGGAACTCGGTCCGGATGGGGTTTCGGAAAATGATGCGATCAATAGCGTTGAACTCGCCGAAGTCCTCGTCGTTCGGGTCGATGTCCTTGTAAAGAGGCTCGAACCTAGGTCCACCAGGAAGGGCGACGTTCAGGGCCTTTCCGGTGAGGAAACTCTTTAGGTCGAAGAGATAGAAATAGTTCTTGTCCACCACATCAGAAATGAGGGGCCGACTCAATCTGAAGAGGGTAGCCATCTGCTGGAGGTTGAGGTTCCATGAACGGTAGCTCTCGCCATTGACATGAGGAGTATCAATGAGCGGCCTGTGGTCGTAGAACCAGTCGTACACAGCGGCATCTTCCTCCTCGTTGAGCTCCATCTGGATGGGTTCTAGGGGCTCAACGTCTTCGATATTTTCGGACCATGACAGAGGCGGCTCCTCGTCATCGAAAGGAGGAAAACGCATACGCTTGAAAAGGCGTCTGTCTGCCTTTTCTTTCCTCATAAAAGTCCACATCATCGCCCACTGCGCAAAGTAGACGGGCTCAATGACTCTTGGAATCTCGTTGACCAGCGTCAAGCAACCGTTGACGTGGTAGAGAACCTTGACCTTCCGATCAGACTCCCATGGCATGGGCATGTTTTCGAGAAGCTTCATGACAGCATGGGGCATGAACTTCAACGCACCCAGGTAGCTGCGCTTGTCGCTTGTGTATTTCTTTTGCGACACATCGCCGATATCCTTGACGATCTTGCGCAGATGCTCCGGTGGCATGTCGGCCTTCTGTGTCTCAACAAACCCACCCTTGCGCTTCTCGCCAAACCGATTGCGCTGGCTGCGGAGCCATTCCTTCTTCTTTTGGGCGAACTTGGCGATCTGGGGATCGGTCGGGGGGCGATAACCCGGCGGCGGGGGAGCTGGTGCAGCAGGCGGCGGAGGAAGCGAAGATGATGGAGGAGGAGGAGGCGGCGGCGGAGGACCCCATCCAGGGGGAGGAGGTGGTGGGAAGGACATCTCGACTTGATGGTAGACTCGTCTCGCGTGCGTGGGAAGTCGTCAAAGTCGAGGAGTCGCAGGCGCGACTTTCAAGACGCGAAAGTCGTAATTGAAGGCGCAGCGCAATTCCGGTTGACATTCGATGTCGGCCTGGAGTTGCGTGCAGATAAAAACGGTCGACTGGTCCCGCAGAAGTTCACAGCGATGACCGAAGCCGTGATGGTGTTGTTGTTGGTATTAAGCGATGTTTGATGAGTTCATCGACGATGAACCTCGCCGCGCCATCGAAATTTTTGGGTATGCAGCTCTGTCCTGGGAGGAAGGAGGTCGATACACGCTAGTCCTCTTGGGGAAAGACTCGGTCACGTGGAGGCGCGAGCTTGGATGGCGGTGCTATAGAAAGTCCGGGCGGGCGCGGCAGTTCTGGATGTGTGTGGTTCATGGCTGGACAGCTGAGTCATCCCAAGCCTCAGTGTGAGTCGACCAGCCAGCAGAGGAGAGAGCACCGGCCACGAATGGGGAACCTCAAACTTTTCAGGTGGAGTAGCCAGCACCTTGCCACCCTACATCTTAGCGCCGCCCAGCCTAAAGTCGCAGTCACTCAGAGTCACCGCTGTGACTGGAACAACCCCGCTGCCACCTGTGGCTCGATTTGCCAGCTGTCGTTCGCTAAGGGCCAAATTCATCCCCCACCAAATTGAAATTTCTTGATCACCACAATTATACCCCCGCCGCCGTGACAAGTCCGACGACAAAACTCAACTGCCGTCGACCCCGCGCTTCCCAGTCGCATCAGCCAAATCGTCCGTCTGAACGAACCGAAAGCGATCGCCAATATGTCTCGATTTTTCCGCGGCGGAGACGACAGCTCCACCGACTCGTCGTCCGACGAGGAGGAGCTCTACTCCGAGGAGGAGGAGGAAGAGGAGCAGGAGGAGCAGGAGGAGGATTCTGAGGAGGAGGAGGACTCCGACTCCGATTCCGACGACAGCGAAGGTGGAAAGAAGGCCGGTGCCTCGCGTTTCCTTCGCGATGCTTCTTCAGAGAGCGAAGATTCCGAGGACGAGGAGCGGGTAAAGGTCAAGAGTGCCAAGGACAAGCGTACCGAGGAACTCGAGGCGACCATCAAGCTCATCGACAACGGCCGAAAGATTGGTGACTGGGCTTCCATCTCCACAGGTAAGATGCGCCGAGACGCCGTGGGACGCCCGACTGTGCGCTGACATTGTCTCAGAGTTCGACAAGCTCAACCGCCAGGTCACAAAACTCCAGGATGGCGGCAAGACCCCCAAGATTTACATCAAGACGATTGCCGAGCTTGAGGACTACATGAACGAGGCCGTTGCCAAGCAGAAGGTCTCTACCAAGAGGATGAACGCGACCACTGCCCGTGGATTGAACGCCGTCAAGCAGAAGATCAAGAAGATCGTCAAGGACTACCAGTCCCAGGTCGAGGCCTACCGCGCAAACAACGATGGCTTCATGGAGTCTGAGGAGGAGGAGGAGAAGCCCGCCCCCAAGGCCAAGAAGTCTGACCGCTACCGTGAGCCGGTCGAGGAGGCCGCCGAGGACGACGACGAGGGCTTCGCCACCGTCGGAAAGGGCGGCCGCACGCTGCAGTTCACCCCTGAGAGCATCTTCAAGCACCTGCGCAGCATCATGGAGACTCGCGGAAAGAAGAACACCGACAAGCAGGAGCAGATTAAGATTATGGAGAAGCTCAACGAGATCGCCAACACCCCCTACCAGAAGATCCGCGTTCTCCTGACGCTCGTCTCTACTCGCTTCGACCTTGGCTCCGGCGGTGCCTCTTACATGCCCGTTGAGCACTGGAAGGCCGCCGAGAAGGAGCTGAACCAGCTTCTCGAGGTCCTTGAGAAGAACAAAGACTACGTCGTTGTCGAGAACGCCGAGGAGTGGGATGATGACGAGAAGCCCCTGCGTTGGAGAAGGACCAGAAGTACATCAAGGTCCCGGGAAGCATTGTTTCCTACGTCGAGCGTTTGGATGACGAGCTCACCCGCTCCCTCCAAAACATCGACCCTCACACCTCCGAGTACATCGACCGCCTTACCGACGAGGGCGCCCTCTACAACACCGTCTTCCGCGGCATGCTGTACTACGAGTACCTCCGCAAGGACGCCGACCTCGAGATCCCCCAGGAGAGCATCAACCGTATCGTGACTCGTCGCCTCGAGCACGTTTACTTTAAGGTCAGTGATTGCATGCCATGTTGGCGGAACTCTTGTGCTAACCGGTTCTACAGCCCGCCCAGGTCGTCAAGATCCTCGAGGACAACTGCTGGAAGAACGTCCCCTCTGACGTTGAGTCCATCATCACCCCCCGCGACCAGGCCCAGGATGCCGGCAACCTCGTCAACGTCCTTTGCAACTACCTCTTCAGCAACGCCGAGGGCATTCTCCGCGCTCGCGCCATGCTTTGCCAGGTCTACTTCCTTGCCCTCCACGACGAGTACTACAGGGCTCGTGACATGATGCTCATGTCTCACTTGCAAGAGAACATCCCCAACTTTGACGTCCTCTCCCAGATTCTCTACAACCGCACCCTCGTCCAGGTCGGTCTCTGCGCCTTCCGCCAGGGTCTCGTCTACGACGCCCAGAACACTCTGCAGGAGATCTGCGGCAGTGGTCGCCAGAAGGAGCTCCTCGCCCAGGGTGTCATGATCCAGAGATACAGCCAGGTCTCGCCCGAGCAGGAGAAGCTGGAGAAGCAGCGCCAGCTCCCCTTCCACATGCACATCAACCTCGAGCTCCTTGAGTGCGTCTACCTGACGTGCAGCATGCTCCTGGAGATCCCCCTGCTCGCCCAGACCGGCTCCTCCCCCGACGTCAAGAAGCGCGTCATCAGCAAGACGTACCGTCGCATGCTCGAGTACCACGAGCGCCAGATCTTCACCGGCCCCCCGGAGAACACGAGAGACCACGTCATGCAGGCGTCCAAGGCTTTGGCGGCCGGCGAGTGGAAGAAGTCGACCACCTTCATCCACAGCATCAAGATCTGGGATCTCATGCCCAACACGGAGGACATCAAGACGATGCTCTCCAAGCAGATCCAGGAGGAGGGTCTGCGGACGTACCTCTTCACCTACGCCCCCTTCTACGACACCCTGGCCGTGGAGACCCTCAGCAACATGTTCGAGCTGGATGCCAGCAAGGTCCTCGCCATCGTCAGCAAGATGATCAGCCACGAGGAGCTCGCGGCGTCCCTCGACCAGGTCACATCGACCGTCATCTTCCGCAAGGGCGTCGAGCTCAGCCGTCTCCAGAGCCTTGCCCTCGCCCTGTCAGACAAGGCGAGCGCGCTCATCGAGACCAACGAGCGGACACTGGAGCAGCGCACTCAGGGCTCGGCCAATGCGTTTGAGAGACAGGGCGGCCGCGGCGGCCGCGGAGGTCGCGGCGGCGCGAGAGGCGGCAACCGGGGCGGCGCGAGGACGGGCGGTAACCCCCAACGGCAGGCCGGCGGTACCCAGTTCACGGGCGGCGCGTTGGGTGCCGCGGTTCGGGGTTAGAGCAGGAGGAAGAAGAACGGGACGAGCAACGGTCTGGAGGTTTCACGCTTTGTATCTGCATTAGGGTTGGTTGCTTAATCTCAAAATACCGGCCGCGAGGTTCAGAAGAGACAGAGCCTTGGCTGGTTAGGTGTTTGTAGCTTCAGGGAATAGAAGCTGATAGAGTTACGACTTGTCCATGATGCCGAGAGTGTACGAATGTCACGAGTTAGCGGCTGCTACTGTTGTTCTAGTCTACCCGTGACCTCGATGAAGCTCCCTAGACGCAAAGTACGGCGAGTGATGGATCCCAACTCGAGGATTCCATTGTGATCAAATCCGCCGAGGAGCTTTCGAGCGAGTATATTTTCGACCTGGTGTCAGCGCAGGTGGTCACTCGGCGTTTGCAAAGGGGATCGAGGTGTGGCCCCGGCCACCCTGCGGAAGAAGTGTGCCCTGTGTGCCAATGTCTCACTCCCCTATGCAGTCAAGCCTCGCATAGCAAGAAGTCTACACCCCCACCCACGCAACTGCGCACCAAGAAGATGACGGTGTGCAGCAACGACTTCGAGATGGCGGGCACGCTCCCTTATTGCGAACCTTGTTTCCAGAGGTTCATCCCAAAGCCACTTGAGTTGTTCGACGGTCAAGATTGTCAACATCGGATCTCCGATCCACTCAATAACCCGCCTTGCTAGCTCAATCGGTAGAGCGTGAGACTCTTAATCTCAAGGTTGCGGGTTCGACCCCCGCGTGAGGCTCAAATCCTCACCGCGATTGGCATAGCCATTCTTCGGGTTAATCTTTTGCTTTTTGTCCTCGCCTACTCGCCTAGCGATCTTTGCTGGTTGTTGGCTTCCCAACTGTTCTCCAACCCCTAGCAATGACGTGCCAGACTTGGTCTCTCTCTTGCGCATTTTCTGGATCTTTTCTGTTCCAAAGGTTTCTACTGAGTGGAAGGTGTCACCGAGCGTCCTGTCTGTGGATGCGACGTTTCGCCCCAAAGCACTCGATGCGGGCGTGCGCGCGACCGGTCCGAAGAAAAGGGTTGGACACCCGGTCTGAAAAGGCATGCCCCGGGTCGGTCCTGGGCGTCGAACCGTCCCGGTACAAATGCAAGGGTGTACGAGAACCCATTCGGAAGCGTTCGGAGGCCGGAACAGGGCACGGGGTAGAAAACAGCAGAATGCCACACCCAAGTCGTGGGTGATGCTCGTTCCCGTGTTGTGGGTTTCGCCTCGACACATGCGCACACGGATAGACGGACACACCCAAGGGGCGAGACGCGATGTGGCGCCAGTTGGGGGATTTGAAAGATCTGAGTAAGGACGGGGGACGCTGACGCTGACCAATCTGAGGACAGCGAAAGGAAAATTTCAACTCGTTCGGTCGACATCCCAATGGCCAGATACGACTGTGTTTCCATTGAGTTTTCGGGTTTCGAGCATCCCGTAATTCAATGTCTGCGTAGAGTCAGTCACAAGGTTGGAATCTTCTTCGAGTGTTGTTAAGCTGCACAAGTTCATCCCACGTTCGCATCAGACCGTCGCCACAAACCCGCCTGCCAAAAACGCGCGGACCAATCCGGCAGAGCCTAAAGCAAAGGGGGGGAAGCAGACAGTCAGCCGCGCGGTGTCCATCCCGGGCTCTTTGTTGCCTCTTTTAGCGGCGAGCTGCCTGGAAACAGTCTAGCCTACCCGCCGAGGAGACAGGGAAGAACATTTTTGGCCCCCGAGTTGTTGGAGGGGTTGCGCGCGCGCGCATGGGTATGGTGGCTGCTAGAATAGGATAAAACCTCTTGAACAAGCGCATCCCACGCAGTTTCCAAGTGAAAAAAAATGACAGTTCTCTTCCCCCTACCTGCTTACCCCCCTTGTTTATCCTAGAGACATGAGAACGGTACACTCTGGCTTGAGAATTTCATCACAAAGTAGCCGCGCCGTTCATCTCCGCCCCGGGCCTTTTCTTCGCATCGCATCCCGGAGCATCCCCGGTGCTGTCGCAACCAGTCGCTTCTCGCCCTTCACCCCCTCCAGCATCCGCAGGTTCAGCGCCATGTCCAGCAACGAGGCCGAACAGCCCCAGGCGGCGGCTGCATCAACGGAGCAGTCCGTTGCGGCCCAGCCTGAGCTGCCTCCTCTCACGCCGGCCGAGTTCAAAGTGTACAACCAGATGGCCGACAAGATGGAATACTTTGTAAGATACTCACCCTCCTTCTGCACTGGCGCTCATTCCGCCAAGCCGCCACGACCTCTCGTGGCCCAGCCCAAAGGACTGCACCTTGGACATGACGGGGCAACCAGCTAACACGCCCGCCAGCACAGCCATTTCCGGCGCCAATGGACCCTGCTCTACGACGCCGCCACCACCGGCCGGCGCCCGCAGAACATGACGCTCAAGCAGTTCATCAACACGGGCCTGCAGTTCGCACAGCACCTGACGGGGCACCACAGCATCGAGGAGACGTACGTGTTCCCCATGCTCGCGCGCCGGATGCCCGAGTTCCGCGCCGGCCGCGCCGAGCTGCTGCGCCAGCACAAGGAGATCCACAAGGGGCTCGACGGCTTCGAGGACTACCTCCACCGCTGCCGCTCCGGCGAGACGGAGCTCGAGCTCGGCGTCCTCAAGGAGAAGATGGACACCTGGGGCGGCGTGCTGTGGAAGCACCTCGACCAGGAGGTCGTGACGCTCGGGGCCGAGAACATGAGGCGGTACTGGACGATGGAGGAGGTGAGGAACATGCCCATGTGAGGAACATGCCCATGTGAGCATGTGTGTGTGTTGTGTGTGTGTGAGCCTGTGTGCGGTGTGGGGGGGTTCTGGGTTTGGCGTTTGGGCAATGGGCCGGGCATAGCGTCATGGTCTCTTGTGTGTTTAAAGGTATCGACGTCTATTGCATCATGAACATGAAATATGAAATTTGTATCTAACTCGGAGCGGGGGTTCCCCGCAATCCCGCAATGTAGCACCCGAGTCCCGAGAGCTGCCCGACAGCAGCCGCGGCCTCGGTAGCTGTGTTGTTTTTTGCTTGCCATCCATCTACAGCTCGTCTAGGCGTTTCGCAGTCTGTCCGACTGGACGTGCCAGAGCCTCCCCCATCGTATCCCACGTGTCCCGGGCACCTCTCTCTCTGTCTCTGTCTCTGTCTCTCTCTCTCAGGCAGTTTCCTTCCACAACTGGCGCATCTGCACGATGCCCGGGATGCTGCCCAGCAAACCGATGCCCATCTCCGGCACGAACCCCTTGTCCATGCTCCAGTGCACGGTGAGCGGGAACCACGAGATCTGCCTGGCAAAGGTCCGCGTCCACGTCTCGGCCCACTCCCTGTACTCGGTGCTGGCGACGTCCTGCTGGCCGCTGCTGACGGCGGACCGCCGGCGCAGCGCCTCGACGGCGAGGCGGCCGAGCTCGCTGCCGACGAAGACGGACCAGAACCGCACGCTCCACCGCGCCGCCTTGCCCTGCTGCGCGGGCGTCAGCGGCAGCACGCCCTTGGAAGCGAGGTAGGACGAGCTCTCGAGCGTCTGCAGCAGCAGGCACGCCGTCACCTGGAGCCAGGAGATGGCCCGGTCGAGCGCCGCCGCGGACGGGTCCTGCGCCTTCGCCTTCTTCTCGTCCGTGTCGGCGGGCCTCGCGGGGGTCGTCATGAGGCGGCGCAGCCAGAGGTACAGCGGCAGCAGCGACCACAGGCGCATGATGGTGCGGGCCTCGCTGAGGAGGCCGGCGAGGGCGCGGAGGTGGCCGGCGACGCGGATGCCCAGCGACGCGGCGGCGGCCGAGGGCGGGGCCTTGGAGAGGAGGATGGTGGTGTCGGGGGGCAGGGCGAAGGCGAGGGCGACGAGCTTGCGGGCCGAGTGCCGGAGGGCGGTGGTGCTGGCGGAGTCGAGGACGGAGGCGGTGAAGCGCGAGGTGTAGCACAGGAAGAGGAGGACGGTGTCGATGCCCGAGGGCGTCTGGAAGCAGCGGCTCAGGTGGGCGACCAAGGCGTCGACGTTGCGGGGGGAGAGGGCGGCGAGGAGCTGGCCGAGGGGGAGCTTTGGTTGTTTCGGGGCCCCGGGCGGCGACGATGGGGCGGCAGCGGCGGCGGCGGGGGGCGCCGGGATGGGGTCGCCGGAGGGGAGGTCGGAGACGGCGGGCGCCTGGTCGGCTGTTTCTGTGGACATGGTGGGCGGGTTTTGTGTCAGAAGAGAGAGGTCGTCGACCTGTCCGTGGTGGTTTGTGATGGCGGAGAGAGGGAAGACAGTGAAGGGGGGAGAAAGAAGCTCGCGACGACCACAGAGCAGGGTCTGTGGGACAGCTCTGGGAGGAGGGAATTGCTTGAGCTCGGTGTCGGTGGTAAAGCTTTATCCCGAGGATCGGAGGACGGGACGGGTGTGGGCTCTCTCGGGAGGGAGTGACGCAGCTTCAATGGGCCTTTGGGGGAGACGAGGCCGTGATCAAGGCATGAGGAGGGAAAGCAAGCTCTTCAAAAATGGGGGTTTTTTTTTTGCTCGTGAGTGTGAGTGAAGGGAGGACAGGCGGCAGGCTTGAAAAAGCAAAAGCCCGGCTGGTAGCTGCATCAAGATTCAGACCGTTGCTCAATTAGCCATGTTCATGCGCGGCGGTGGGTTGCGTCGACGGGGGGGTGGGCGCGGTTTCGGCTGCGTCGTGACCAGCCGGCGGGAAGCTTGTGGGAGAAGCTAGGCAGTGCAGTGCATCGGTAGACAGCGACAGCAGACGCCGGCCCAGTGGTCACAGGGTGCTGCTGTGCGGTTCGGCTGATGGATGTGACGAGGGCCATGGGACGTGGCGCTGCTGCCGGCGGCGGGCCGGGGTCTGACACCCAGCGCGGGCGCTGCTGAGGTGGTCTTGGTGGTGGTGGTCGTCGTTGTCGTCGGTAAAGCGAGGTTGCTCCCTTCTGAAAGACCTCGGCTCAATCTGATTCGGCAAGCGCGGCGGGGCGCGTTTTTAGTGGAGAATGAATGGGGCCAAGAGGTGAACCGAACAAACGTGCTCGCCATGCCCCGGATTTTGGCCGTTATCAGATCGAATTTCAATGGCGCACACACAGGGCACATGCACACAGATACATCTGTGCATCTCCAGACAGGTCTCACCGACGTACAATCAAAAGGAGGAACGGTTGAGACACGATTTGGATGGTTGAGGGGGAAAGCTACCACAACTCGTTCTGTTAGTTGGAGTACTCTTTACCAGTCAATCGTCGTGCCCGGCGCGAGGCGCAAACTCGCGATGCATGACGACCTCCTAGATTAGGGTCTAGGAGCACGGCGACCCTCAATGTGCCCACCTTTCATGTGGCCCGACTATCTTATCGATCCATCTAATCGCCGAGCTTTGAACCCGCAGGACTCGAATTTCTCATTCGATGGTGTGTGTGTATCCGCTCCGAGTGAGAGTCCCAAGTGGACAATCTCCAGCAGGTCTTGTTGTGTGCCTAGGTCTGCGCCTGGCCGCCTTTCGACCTCTCTGACAGGACCAGCGCACGAAGGCATTCAGACCAGTTACTTGATTGATACAGCACGTCCAGGATCATCTGGCGTCGATTCGGGAACCGGTGACAGGGGTGAGGACCCTCGCAGCCTGCCACATCCGAATTGACATCGAAGCATGAGGTTTGGATGGTTGCTTCACGCAGCCTCTGCAAGCTTCACACCCCTTCGTGCTGGGACATTCCATATCATTGGATACAAGCGTCATTAGATCGAAACATTGGCGCGAATTGCATTGCAACTTTAACTCACCCAGGAGAGCCAACTTATTGTAGGGATGCCGAGTGCATGAGACCATCCATAATCATCGTTCGTGGGGGAAGCATCTCAAAATCCAAGGACCCACTGACGAGTCGATTCCACTCGCAGGCAGCTGTAGGCAACAACGCGGCTAAGACCCCGTTGGACGGGGGCCAGCGCTCAACGTGACCTCGTGGCAATCTCGCGTATCCTCAATTGGGGCTCTGTCACCGCCGGGCGCCATTTGGACTTCAAGGGACATGGACGGCTGAGACGCGTCGCAGCCTAAATTCCAGCTCAATGTTCCCCGTCGCCATCGCACGTCCCCGCCTCCATCGCCATGTGTTCATAGCATTACAAAAGCCCTCCAGCTCCCGGCAGCTGAGACCCAACACGGCTCCTTCCCACCATTCATCGCAATCTCTCCGGCTGTACTCTCGCCCTTCCTGCTCACCTAAAGGTCGACACACCAAGACAATGCTAGCCATACCCGACATGTCCAAGACATTAACCGTGCCACAAAGGCTGGCTCTCAGCAAATGGGCCCATACTCTAGGCGACACCACACCAACTCTCCCTCTTGCTGCCGAATGGGTGAAGGAGCAGTTCGGGAAAGACGTATCTGAGGCCGTGATTCAGTCCGTCCTCGAACGAACTAATCCGCGTGATGTCTTGCACGCCTACGTGAGTAGATCCAAGTCCAGCAAACACGCGGTTTCGAAGCATCACTGACGTTCGGAAGGACGATGGTGAGATCGGGCCTCTCATCCGTCCGGGGTTCGGCTACGACTTAACAGTCATACCCAGGGGCGCGTTCCCAAGTGCCACGCACGACTGGAATGCGTCGACGCTGACGTTTTTGGAGTTGGCCATGCTGTGGTTTATCGAGCAGATCACCAACAAGCCCGACTGGCATGTCAAGGTCTTCAACGATGACATTGTCTCCAAGTGGAAGACGGAGGTCATGGCCGTCGACTGGGAAGCCGTGGACCTCGCACACGCTCATTTCACTGACGCCATGTTTGATTGGGTCAGTCTGTTCCCTTGCGTTCATGTCTTTGCAATGCCGTACTGACGGACGTTTCAGTGCCTCGCTGAGCTCCGCGAGAAAGCTAAACTGTATGAGGCTACTGGACTCGTGCCCGTCTTCGACGTGACGACCGCTGTCCTCAAGTCCGACAACGCCATCCCCCCAGAAGTCAAGGAGGAACTCAAAAATGGCGTGGCCGTCCTCGAAGACCTACAGGAACACGAGAAGGACTGGCATCCAGGCAGTGACGGCAAAGTCCTGGACCTGGTCCACCCCTCTCTCTGGCCTCTTGTCTACGGTCTTTCCCGCATCGTCCCTGACAAACGCATCCCTCTCAAAGGCACTGTGAAGGCATGCGGCACAGGCCAGGCCATTCCAGAACTGGTACAGAAGCCTGAAAACCATCGATCTACTTGGAGTCCCTTTTACGATCGCTCCACAGGGCATAGCTTCTCTCATAGGTTCCAGTGGCTCCCGTGCGATATCGACATCGAACATGGCAAGCCCAGCATTGTGAGCTACATCAATAACCTCCATCCCGATCGCCATGCCGGGCTTTACACTACCATCGAAAAGGTCATCGCAAAGGCACTGCCAATGTGGGATGTCATCTACAGGTGGCACAAAGACTTTGAGGTCCTCCGCATAACTTGCAAGGCAGTCGGGAGAGATTGTCAAGCCGGGTGCACCGAATGTTGCTCTCAATACAACCGGCCCTTGGAGCCGGACGAAGAAGAGCGCGACATGGATGAATATTGGGAAGAAGAAGACCAGGAAACCCCGTCGCAGACCTGGCAGCGAGACAAGACCTGGTTCAACAGGACTCATCCCGTCAAGAGGCCCGACGTGCCCGAGTACAGACCCATGCGGCTCCAGCCCGAGGACGTCAACCTCAAAGGCGGCTTCTTCAACGGTTCCGACCGCATCCAGGTCATCGTCAAGCTTGCCAACATCCACCTCTCGCCCGAGAAGCCCACCTATGATGGCGGGTCCTGGCACATCGAGGGCCAGGTCAACGAGCGCATCTGCGCCACAGCGCTGTACTACTACGACAACGACAACATCACCGAAAGCAGCCTCGCTTTTCGCACCACAGCCGACAAAGAGGAGCTCATGTCAACGCTAAGCTACGAGCAGGACGACTACTACTGCATCGAACGCACCTTCAAGATCGACGGCCAGGGGATAAATACCCAGGAGCTCGGCAGCGTGCTCACGCGCGAGGACCGACTGCTGGCTTTCCCGAACGTGTACGAGCACTTAGTGGCGCCGTTTGAGCTCGTCGACAAGACAAAACCGGGACACCGCAAGATCCTGGCGCTGTTCTTGGTGGACCCGGCCATCCCGATCATCAGCACGGCAAACGTGCCGCCGCAGCAGAGAGACTGGTGGAAGGAAGGCGTCATGCCCAGTAACCGTATGGGGCCACTGCCTGCAGAGGTTGCCGACATGGTGTTTGACAACTTGGACTTCCCGATCGGTCTTGAGAAGGCCAAGAAGCTTAGGGAGGAGCTGATGGCGGAGAGGACAAAGATTGCAAGAAGTAACCGATCCAACAGGCGCGATCGCAGATGGAACTTTTGCGAGCATTGAATGTGTCAAATGGCCGTAATCCAAGAGAGTTCCGGTATCAATACAGGAGGCCAATCCCACTTCACTGTCTCGTAGTCTTTTGTTTGAAAATTTGGCACTCAACTTTGTACAAGGTCCCACGATTTTCTCACCAGAGCAGGACATCATTAAATCCTCTTCCCGGAGATAACAGAAGTGAGTATGGTTACCCGTTCAAGATTTGAAGAACGAGACCTTGAGCACCGCAGTGTGGTCCATAAAAGGGCAAACAATTTGAATAATTGGGACATAAATACTCGACAAAAGGATATCGACATCACTAACGAAGTTTGAAATAACAATTTGTTGAAGCCGAGACCCGAGATGAGTGACGAAGCTGCAAAACAACAAAATCAAAACCCGTGAGGTCGATATCAAAATGACACTTATTGCAGAATCCCCAAGGGGCAATGGCTTCGGTTAGGGAGTCCGACGCAAACGGCAGAGTCTCTCATCTCATCAGGTCGAAGAAGAAGAGTGGAGTATCGTAGAGCCAGATCAAGTGTCGAGAGCAACTTGATGGAAATACTAAAGACTTGTTATGGATTAAAACCGATCCTAGTCTTTCATAAATGGCAGAAGCTGAACTGCGGGAACTGGCAGCAGGGAAACCACTCGCTCGCGTCACGTGGGCAGTGGTCTCACAACAGCGAATGTAACAGTCGCGCTTTGCCTGCCGTTAGCAGTGACTCGGATGTAAGGTGCATAAATGGCGCAGATCATCCAGATCCAAGACATGCTCAAGCCTGCGCAATAAAACTGTCCCAGGTCTGGCACGCCTGGCTTCAGGCAAGGCGAGGACACACGTCACACAGGCGCCGCTTCGACGGATTGCTTCGTGGCACCCACCAGTGATGCTACCCGTCGGCGGGTTTTGCTGTTGCCAAAATTACCACATGACAACTCTGTTGCCCAAGACCTTGGGCAAAGCGGGAAACAGTACTGGTGCTCTCTCCAAGTCGTTTCGGATCTAGCCGTGGCGTTGCAACTGTGGCCCTCCCTTACGTGATGCAGGTCCTACAGGGAAAGTCAATCGAGTAAACTGAGACGCTTAGAGACATTGCTTAGTTCCCCGCCAGATCGAATATACGTATTCATAGCACTGTCAATATAACCAGCTGAAGAAATATCGCATGATGGTTTGTCGACCAAACGCTTACTTGGAAATAAGTGAATTTATACCGACTAACGAAATAATGAGCCGCGTTTCGTGAGCTTTGCTTTGGCTCACAAGGTTGTGTAGATGACTTTGGGGGTTTCCTCAATAGTCGCCGCGGTAGCACCATCGGGGGAAGACAGTGCGTCACCGACGATCGATACTCGTATGTCTTGGACATCCTAACCATGCTGTCTCTGTTTTGCCAACTTTGACTGGTGGCTCTACAGCAAACTTTGGGGAAAGCCCAAACCGAGTTCATTACAAGGAGAATCTATCAAAGTACTTAACAGCGCCCAATCCCCCGGTCTCCAAGGGAGAGATTATTGAAGCGCCCAACCCCTTCTCACGAATTGTCCAGCTACGTTTGGTTTCCGGCCCGTTTCAAAATGTTGTGCTACATCCACAACATCTTCAAGTGGAGCAAGAAGTCTCGCGCGCGCAGCGAGAGAAGCCCTCGCAACCAGCCTCTCGGACGGTGGCTCCCCAGAGACCACAGAGTCATACAGAGATGGGTGGCACAGAAAGCTCGCGAAGCAGAAGAAAGAAAATCGGATAATGGACTCGACCCGAGCCTACTCAACCTCCAGAAGATCGTCGACGACGATCCGGCCCTCTCCCGTCTTGCAAATGCCATGTTCACCGAGGCTTCGGCGCGTTACACGCTAGACCCCAAGGAACAGCCTGCCATACAGAGCTTCGGGCAGTTCCTACAAGTGGTCAACGTCATCATGCAGTCCGGGCCCGAGTTCTATGACAAGCCTGGGAACGATACTGCAATGGGGTTCGTCGGGTTCCCGATCAATGCGCTCCTCGACTGGCCGATGGGCACGAAATCCGGGTATGAATTTTTCAGGCGGCGGGAAGTCAACGAGGCACTCAGAGACGTTCTAAACACGTGGGCCAAGTTCTTGGGCACGGCGGCGTCTAAACCATGCCTTCGAGGCTGGCTATCACCTTTGGGCCAAGGCATGCTGGCGGACCAGGCCAACATGAAGGAAGACCAATACAGCTTTCAGCAGCTTTTTATCTGCCCCGATCCTGTAGAAGAAGAATACCTGGGCTTCGAATCCTGGGACGCGTTCTTCACGCGACGGTTCCACGAAGGCGTCCGTCCCGTCGAGTACCCGGACGATGCAAACGGCGAGGACACCAACAACACCCTGGTCATAACCAACGCTTGCGAATCAGCGCCGCTGAGGGTCGTCACCGATGTGAAATTCCGAGACGACTTCCAGCTCAAGGGCCAGCCGTATTCGCTCGTGGACATGCTGAACAACAACCCCCAGGCGCCAAAGTTCGTCGGCGGCACCGTCTACCAGGCCTTCCTCAGCGCCTTGACCTACCACCGCTGGCACGCGCCGGTGAGCGGGAGAGTCGTCGGGATCGAGATGGTCCCGGGGACGTACTACAGCGAGAACAAGTACGAGGGGATGGCCGCCAACCCGGACGATCCCGACCCGCAAGCCCCGAACCATTCGCAGCCGTACATCAGCGCAGTCGCTACGCGCAGCATCATCTACATCCAGGCAAGAAACCCCAAGATCGGCCTCATGGCCATCGTGTTCGTCGGCATGGCCGAGGTTTCCAGCTGCGAGTTTACCGTGGGCGTCGACGAAGAGGTTGTCAAGGGGCAGGAGATTGGAATGTTTCATTTTGGGGGCAGTTCGCACTGCTTGGTTTTCAGGCCCGGAGTCAGGCTTCGGTTCGTTGGCAGGCAGCCGCCGTGGGATCTGGATTTCGAGGGGAACAACAAGGTAAACAGTGCCCTGGCTGTTGTGAAACCGTGAGACCATCGCACGCTGCGCCGGAGCCCTTGCCGATTGCGAGGTGTATCTGAAAACGTTGGATGTTTCTGAGTTTGTCCCTGGCAATAGTGTAGAGCTTACTAGTAGGGAAAATCGTGACCAGTCTTCCCAATAATGCTGGCATTCTGGTGGCTCTGAGTCAGTATTGAGCGTACAAAGTCAGTCATTCGCCCACTAGACTATTGGCAAAGATATCTCCAGTAGCTACAGACTAGCCGAAACAGACTTGAGGTCTAGAGGAAATATTGGTCGTATGAATGCTTGAAGAAGACAACCGTCCACTGAATACAACCTCTATACGTTACAGAGACGAATCAATTCGCTAGTAGTCCATTCGTTTATACGGTATAGGAAGATAAAATAGATAGTATGAACTGAGCCTATCGTCGGCTCAGTCGTGATCCCTTACGTCAAGCTTATTACATCACGTTCGAGAGAGGGGCTCGCTTAGCGTGACGATCCGTGGAGCACAGCGTTCCAGCTGTCCGTCTGATGGAAAGTCTGGTCGTTGAGTTTGTTTGGTGTCCCATAGGAACAGCAATACTGAATGATTTCAACCATCTCGGCGAGCTTAGCAAAGCTTTCGACAGTAATGTCATGTGTATTCTGCATCAGAACATGTAAGCCCTCAATGTCTCATTGTCTTCGAGGTTCACATCTCGCCCCGCCTCCTTTCTCGAACATCATCATCGAATACGTCGTTGCAAAACCCAATGGCGGCCTTGTAGCCGTAGCTAACTCGACAGCAATATCCCGGTCCCAGACCTGCACTGGTCTGACCCTTTACGGCTTTGAGATAACGAAGGCTGCCTTGGGTCACATTGATATCTGCTAATCCCTAATTGGTGTTATTGCATATGGCCTTGTCTCTCGGGTAGATTTCGTGCTGCTGACGTGTCGTGAGAGATGAGACCGTCTCAGCTGGGGCAGAGGAGAATTGTGAGTAGTTGAGGTTGATCTACTCGAGCTCGGCAGAGCATGTTCGATGGTTCCGTTCAAAACGGCTTTCCCCCCTGGGAAGGGTTCAAACACCTATTGGGGGACGATGTCGTGAGTACCTATCGGCATGCCAATGGAAGCATCAGCCTGGAGAGTTGAGGTTCTGTCAGTGAAGATGGTCCACATCTAAGAGTGGGATTACTCACTAAGACAGCCGAGACAGTGGGTAAGAGAGTAAGAAGGTGGCTGGAGAGCATTTTGGTCAATGATCAAATCAATGTGACTTTCTAGAATGGGTTCGAAAATTGACGAGGATCAGCGCCTCGTTGTGCAGGAAATGGTCTTTGTGTTTTGAGCGCCATAAGCCTGACACAAGCGGTAGGTAGAGTGTTTCACAACTTTTCTGGTCCCCTAGCTTGAGTCTATTATCCCGAGTTTGTGATGTCTTTCGGCGTTGATTCCTTACTCTTGTTGTTACAATGAACTCCTGCGTCACACAATGCCATTGAGAGCTTGCAGCTACAACGCATTCGCCGGAATGCTATTGTTCATTGACTTTGCCTCAGCTTGCTTTTTCTTTAATCAATATCCACCACTTACGTGCAAGGCGAAAACTATGTCATCAACCTCCAGTTCCAAATGAAGGGCTTTAAAAAAAAAAAAACCTTTGGTTATTCTCGAGGGTGGACTGTCTTAACAACGTTTGATAAATCCAAACCCAACTCCGTCACATATATTTTGTGTATTCTGTCGACAAACTTATTTGCCATAGAAAGCCTCCTACAAGCTTCACGTATCATTGTGATTATTACGTTCTACGGCTTTTGCTATCGCTTGCCATCTACTCATCAAAGATAGTAGCAACAACAGCACCAGTGAGGGTGACCTGGCCAACCTTGCCGCCCTCAACCTCGGGTATGATCTTGCCGGACACAAGGTCACGCTTCCAGATGACAACAGTGCGGTTGTTTTGGTGGCCAACGGCGATAAGATCACCTGCCTTGTTGATGGAGAACTGACGAGGGGACCAGCCGCCGGAGGGGGCCAACTGTACGAGCTCAAGAGTACCGTCTTCTTTGATGGCAAATGTGGACATGGTGTCGGAGGGACCGGAGCCAAGGACTGGCGAGTCACGGAAAGAGACATCGCGGTTGGAGATAATGATGAACTTCTGGTCAGGCTACACCAAGAGAAAAGTCGCGTTAGTCAACGATTGCACTGAAAATTACCAATCCGGAAGTTAAATGCACCCGTGTCCTTTTTGGCGAGCGCTGGTGTAGGGTCAATCTGGTATCAAAATAAAGCCCAGGAAGGATCTGCGCTGTTGCAGGCCACAGTAACAAACAGTTGCTCCAAAAACCCAAAAAAGGAAATGGCACGGGGACTTACAGTAATGGCAATCTCGCTTGTTGGTGCTTGGGTCGCAGGGTAGCTAGCGTTGACAGCGGGGATGGAGAAGACCTTGGTAAAGGCGAGGCCAGTCTCCTTGTACTCGACCTTGTACGAGTAAATATTCTGGTCGAGCTCGCCGTTGAAGAAGAAGAAAATATCGCCATTGGCTGCGGTCTTGAAGACGCCGTGGCGAGGGCCGACGCCAGGGCCCGTTACCAGGCCGTCAACTTCCTCGATCGGCGCAATGCTGGTTGGGTCCTTGGTGTAGACGCGGACGCGATCACCGCCGAGATCAGCAAGTAGGACGTACTGATTCTTAGGATCGATGATAACGTGGTGCAGGTAGCTTGTGTCCTGGCGAGAAGCAACCGGACCAGGCGCTTCGAGAGTGGGGAAGAACTCCTGCAGCGGACCGGTACCCGGAAGGGCGCCATTGTCGCCAAGGGCAAAGACGGCGGCTGCGCTTCGGTTGCTGCCGAGAAACGTGAGCTTGTTGATCTTCTCTGGGCAGCAAAGGCTCGCAAAGATTTGGTGAAGTGGGACGTGGTCTGGAATTGTGGTAGACGGGGACTAGGCACGCCGATTGGCCCGCTTCAAACAGAAAGGGGCAAAATGGGTATCCCACTCTCGTAAGATAGGGCTTAACTTACTATGAAGCAGAAACGTATCCGCGAGCTCCAGAATCGGTCGTGACAATCTCGCCAGCGACACCGCCGAAGGGTGCCGAGACTCGAGCAATGCGGGTCAGAACACCTCCATCCCCGATCGAGAAGGAGTTTAGAGAGCCGTTGGGAACCGAGTTGGAGCCCCTGTCCAGGCAGTAGAGGACCCTGCTGGCGGTGTCCAGGGTGAGCCAAGATGGATTGACATCGCACTCGGCCGTCTTTGAGGCGACGGATAAGCTGTAATTGGTCCCGGATCCGGTCAGCGAAAGTGTTGTGACATTTCCGCCAGAGTCGGCTGCGTAAAGTGTAACGGCGCTGCAAGAAGCGGCCCAGAAGGCGGATCCTGTTAAGAGGTTCCTCAACGAAGAAGTACGCATGGCGGAGGATGGCAAGCTGATGGTGTAAGCTGACGGAAATGACACAACGGAGGGCGCAAAGTGCGCTCAATTTCGAATGAGGGAATATGTGGTAAAAAGAGTGGATGTAGTGGAATGAGCGAAAGCGGTGATTCGGATTAAATCAGGCAGGTCGACGCATTCCAGAAGTGGGTTATTATTGATTGAACTGCGAACAACGTTCTTTGCCTATTGTCCGACAATGAATGGAATAAGGATTTTGGTCGTGGCGTACTTGAAAGAGGCAAGAGTTGAATTGGTTACTCATCTGCCAAGTTGCGCAGTCCAACTCTGGCTTTCATCTTAAACATGTCGCGGGGATTCGGACCCTGTTATATTGTGCTCAGAACGGTTCTAGTAAGTGAGAGCCAAAGATGAGCTGGGACCGCCAAGATCCGTAGAGAGGCGGTTTTTACGGAAATTTCAGGGGGCTTCTGAATTTTTGGTTGTACTGACTCGTCCGAACGTTGTTGAGAAAGACGCCTCATCAGCCAAGACATCGTTAACCATAGCGGTCTCTATCCAAACTACGCAAAGCAAACCCCACGCAGTGGGGGCCAAAGGCTGTGCCAACTGACGCGAGAAGATTTCCTACGTCGCCGCAATATCTAACGTTTTTACGTGCTCTAACCATTAAACCTTAAAAAACGGGCGTTCGGATGTCGGTAGTGCCAAAAAGGGGGACAGACTCCGGTTCCAATCTGACGGCTCCGGAGCAGGCGACAGCAAGCAGGGTATGGCCTGCTTCATAAGGCGAATCACCCGAACAAGGTTTAACAGATCAAGGAGGTAAGAGGCTCACTTGTCAGCGCCAAGGCTTGATCAGGAAACAGGTTGATTGATATAATTAAACAGGTATGATCTAAACTTCTTTTCGACTCCAAGTGATGGGGCAGTGAGGGATTCGCCAAGACAGATAGCCCCAGCAAAGGAGACATATTGGTTCCAGACGGATATCGAGGAAAAGGCGTCCGGAACCGAAAACGACCCAGACTCATGAATAGGCCCCAAGCGGTTGGGCCCATATATCCCCCATTGAGTATAAGATAAACTTGTTCACGATCATGACTAGAGGTTTCGCCCCTAAGCCTTATAGCTCCAGCTCCTACAGTATATTCCTGACCATTACGCTCGTTTCTTATCACCAGGCTGCACGTGCCTGCATATACCGCAACCATGGATTCAACACGATCTTTCAGACGTCTTGCGGTCGCTTCGCTCCTTTGTCTTTCTCCCACTCTTGTTTCTACTCAGGCCGAGACCAAGGCCTCCGAGTTGCAGACATGCTTGACCACCGCTGGTGTTCGGAGTGTCATCAGCACTGACGCCACCTGGGCCGACGAGACCACCGGTTTCCAGAAACGCATCAAAGTTGACCCCGCGGCCATCTCATTTCCCGAGAACAGCGATCAAGTCGCGCTTTCTCTCGACTGCGCCCGAAATGCTTCCACTACTGCTTCACCCCTCGGCGCTGCCCACTCTTTCCAGGGATACGGCTTCGGAAACCCGGGCAGTCTTGTGATCAGTATGGCTGCCTTCAATTCCGTGTCATTTGACACGGCTACCAACCGCCTCACTTATGGCGGTGGTTCCCATGTCGGGCCTGTCCTCAAATATCTCTGGGACAACTACGGTCGTCACTTCCCCCACGTCCGAGGTGCCCACGTTGGGCTTGCCGGCTCTAGCATCGGTGGTGGCTATGGGTCCTCTTCCCGCCACCTCGGTACTCCCATGGACAACCTTGAATCCGTCGAGTACATGCTGTACAATGGCACCATCGTCAATGCCTCCAAGGGCTCTGACCTCTTCTGGGCTGCTCAGGGTGCTGGTGCCTCCTTCGGTGTTCTTCTCTCCGTAACTACCAACACTCACAAGCCCCTCTTCGACACCGCCGTGAACTTTACAATCGCTGCCGGAAACCTTGAGTCTGATGCCGCTGCCAGAGTCCTTGTCGCTATTCAGGACTACTCCCTCTCCAAGGATTGCCCCGACGAACTTGCCCTTCGCTGGAGCTTGTCCGGTCCACCTTACACTGGTACCGGTTACTTCTACGGCAACCCTGCCGAGTTTGATACAGTCCTTGCCCCTCTCGTCAGCTCCCTTAAGGCTATAGCTGGCAATGTCACCGTCCAGAAGACCGAGATCCCCTTTTGGGACATGGAAGTTGCCGTTGCTGGTCAGGGCATGAACCAACCTAACGGCGGCACCCTTGGTGGACGGTCTTTTTATACTCAAGCCCTCACTACCACCACAGATCACCCCCTCACCGTTGAACAGGCTAAGATTCTCTTCGAGAGCACTACCTTGTCCTTCAACCGCACCGACCTCCGCAAGTCCGGCTTCCTCGACCTCTGGGGCGGTGTCTCTCGTGACATCTCCGACACTGATACCAGCTACGCTCACGGCAAGAACCTCTGGCTCATCCGCTGGGAAGCCAACTCAGTAGATGTCAACAGCTACCCTGCTGATGGCACTACTTACATGAAGGGCCTCATCAAGCCCTTCGAGGAGGCCCTAGTTGCTGGCGGTGCTCCCCTCCGTGGCTTTGTCAACTACGCCGACACTGAACTCTCCGAGGCTGAGTGGTCGTCCCGTCTCTACGGCGCCAACTTTGATCGTCTTAAGCAACTCAAGACTGTCTATGACCCGGAGGGTGTCTTTGTCAACCACAAGCAAGCCATTCCCCTGCCGTAAATCTATGTAGGGTTGATCGTCGAGGTCATGACACAGAATGGAAAATGGGAATTTGAAAAATATTATTTTATAGATAACATATCTAGAAGTCTGGTTACTTCATGAGAGTGCCTCTTTTGCTAGTGGTATCCAGAGAAAAGTGCAACTCCATTTGGAGTCTTCGTTTTTGCATGTGAATTGGTGACACCAGCCTCAAGAGCTTGTCGTCCAAGGTGCCCCATGCTTGACACGCGTGTCAGTCGCGTTGACTACGGATGGATCATGTCAGATGCTTCTCCAACTTCACCCCTCAATCCATGCGGGGTAAAATTAAAGCCTACAACGCCAAGTGGGGGCCTTCGGGCGACATTCTCACGAATCATCCACCTCCGGCTAAATCCAAGTTGTGGAGGCGTGGGGTTCAATCGTCTCAAAGGCTCAACTCACTCTTGGCCAAAAGAGCGAACGAGGCTTGATAAATATTGATTCCGGTCCGGCCATGCCCTGCTGAGTGTTACTAGGTCCTTACCTACCAGTGGTAACTTACCAAATATTAAGATGCCTCAAGTTAGGAATCCTATTCTTCCCGGGTTCAACCCGGACCCTTCCATCCTAAGGGTTGGAGATGACTACTACATCGCAACATCAACGTTTGAATGGTTCCCCGGTGTCCAAATCCACCACTCCAAGGACCTCGCAAACTGGGAGCTTATCATACGGCCTTTGAATCGAAAAAGTCAGCTAGACATGCGTGGTGACCCAGACAGCTGCGGCGTCTGGGCTCCCTGTCTCACCCACGACGGTGAGAAGTTCTGGCTTGTTTACACCGATGTCAAGCGCAAAGATGGCTCTTTCAAGGACACCCACAATTACATCGTCAGCGCACCCTCAATCGAAGGTCCCTGGTCAGATTCCATCTACATCAATTCATCCGGCTTCGACCCTTCGCTCTTCCATGATGATGACGGCCGGAAGTGGTTCGTCAACATGATGTGGGACCATCGTCGCCGGTTTCATGCATTTACTGGAATCGTTCTGCAAGAGTTCGATCCCAAAGAAGGAAAACTTGTCGGCCCGAAGAAGAATATTTTCAGAGGCACTGAGCTAGCTCTAGTCGAAGGCCCGCACCTCTACAAACGGAAAGGATGGTACTATCTCCTCACTGCCGAAGGTGGCACTGCCTACGAACACGCCTGCACTCTTGCCCGCTCCCGTGACATCCAGGGGCCGTACCAACTTCACCCGCAGAAGTACGTCATAACGTCAAAGGATGCACCTTTCGCCGCTCTTCAACGCGCGGGACATGGCGACATCGTGGATACGCCCGAAGGCAAGACATACATGGTCCATCTCACAGGTCGTCCCACAACGCAGAATAGAAGATGTGTATTGGGGCGCGAAACAGCGATTCAGGAGGCATACTGGGGCGATGACGACTGGCTGTACGTCAAGAACGGCCCAGTCCCGTCGTTATACGTGGAGGTTCCGGGGACGAGGAATGACACTGCATACTGGGCGGAGCAGCGGTATACTTTTGAAAATGGACTGCATCAAGACTTTCAATGGCTGCGTACACCGGATCCCGAGCGCATCTTCTCAACTGAAGACGGAAAACTCACTCTTGTTGGGAGAGAGTCAATCGGGTCGTGGTTTGAGCAGGCTCTCGTTGCTCGACGCCAGACGCACTTCTCCTATGACGCAGAGACTATTGTCGACTTTTCGCCCACCGACGAGAGAGAGTTTGCGGGCTTGACGGCTTACTACTGCCGCTACAACTTCTTCTATGTCACCGTCACAGCCCATGAAGATGGCAAAAGGGAGCTCTTGATCCAAAGCTCTGAGGCATCATGGCCTGATAGCGACCTCACGACTCCGTTCCCAGACCCGATACCGTTGCCTGATTCGGGTAAGATCAAGCTGGCTTTGACGATCCGCGGACCGAAGCTTCAGTTCTACTACGCTCTTGAGGGTGACGAGCTGAAAGCGGTTGGGCCCGTGTACGATGCTTCAATTATTTCCGACGAGTGCGGTGGACATAAGGCACATGGTAGCTTCACTGGTGCTTTTGTAGGTGTTGCTGCCTCTGATCTGAATGGAACGGCGAGGAAAGCTTCGTTTGATTACTTTATCTATCGGCCTGTTCACGATGCGACTGACCGTTATGAGATCTGATAGTAGTGGGTTGAGATGGCATTGGAGGCTCCAGTTTGATGAAGACATTACTTGAGTAATAAAGTTATGAATGATTTCTGATTTTGTCAAGCAAATTGAAGCAGATTCCGACGCGAATTCAAGTTGTCTTCCTGACAAAATGTGCCCTATGTCGCGCTTAGATTTGGGAGTCTTACTTTAATCGTTCCATCGCCATTTCGTTCTTGCGGTTGCTGCTTTTACCTGAGCTGGCCTTAACGCCTGGCATTCTCACCTTCGCTACCATCAAGGTCGTAGAAACTTTTCAGTTTCACTCATGCTAAACGATGACTCAAGTGTATAGCATGAGAGAAATATTGCTTAGAGAAGACCAAACCAAGGCTCTTTGAGGCCTAGCGGTTGCTATAAACTGAACACTCTAAAGTTTCAGAAGTTTTCAAACTAAATCCCTAGTAACAGACTTAGAGACTGCAATAATAGAGTTCGCAAACATCCTATTAACTTGACCATTGAGGCTGCGCTGAATATGGGGAAATAAATCTGCCTTGATTCTTTGCTGCTTACTCAGAAGACACCAGGTCTGGATTTTCGATGCCGGCTGCGTAGTGTCATGGCGAAAGTTCTCTTTTCAAACGATGAGTCTCTCGCTCTCTTGTAGCTATGTAAAAAAGTGCAAGTTAGAGACCATTAAATAGAAAAATCAATTTTGGAAACAGCTATACGATTTATACGAGCCTTCATGGCGACAAGAAGGCGTCTAAGCTATTGTCGCTCGGTTTCGTCTAGTTGCCTGAATAACCTCCTTAGCAAATGTAAATCTTGATAAATTCGAAAATAATAATAGGCCAATCTTAGAGCCACGGACATATCCTACTGTTTACCAAGGACTCTCAAGACCCAATGCTATCAAAAAAGAATTGTCACTGGCAGGCGAAACAGGACCATGGTCGTATGACCTCAGTTTAAGTTTGATTCCACGACTATTAGCATACGACGGAGGAGATGAGGCCGAGGTCTTCCCACAGTATCTAGAAATAGCACATCATTTACGAGGTAGTCCATCGTACGCGCTTGTTACCTTTACAATATCTTTGTGATATTACTCAATCTCCGCCAAAGAGGACTGGCCACTGACTGGTAAACGCTGTGCGGCAGCACGACTACCTCGTATACGTCTAGTAAATACTCCAATCACCGTTCAGCTTTAAATCGGGTGTGCTGATTCCCCGTTGCTCTTTTTCAAGCTCCTGCTTCATAGACCAATCCTCCCACTTGAATCCCTTAGGAATATTAGTGTGCTGGAACTCGGTACTCGTTTCCATGCACTGTCTCGCTTTGGCAAAGTTTTCAGTCGCGTACTTTTCAGCGTTATGCGTCCAAACCCACTTCCCAAGCGCCATGGATCCGCCATCAGTCTCGTTTTTGACGATTTCCTCGAAACCACCCTTCTGGTGCATTTCCCGCCTGTTCGAGAAACCAACGCGCTGAAGAATAGAGACGCGACGAAGCCTACGAGTACATATTAGTCTTAACCCTGGCTAGCTATTTCGATCCTTCGGTAAGACACGTGACATACCGCATCAGTTCGTGGACTTTGGTCGCAAGATGGGCGTGTTCTTTGCCGGCGAGCCGCAAGCATTCAGCCAGCGACAGGCCATCCTCTAGCGCAGTAGTTGCGCCTGACATAGATGAGGGGATGAATGCATGAGCACTGTCACCCAACTGTATGATGCGGCCTTCAGGAGACGTCCATTTAGGCTGTGGGTCGCGCCAGCAAAGCTGCCACTTGGTGGTGCTGTTCTCCGGAATGTTGCGGATTATTTCCAGTGCCAAAGGGTCAAAGCTGTCGGTCATCGGGAGTAATCTGATGAACTCTTCATTTGTGATGCTCTCCGCCCAGGACTCCTGGGCAGTGCCGTCATCCTATTGGCCTCGCGCGTTAGTCAATCTGTGGTATTTGATACAAAGACCGGTAATTACGACTGAGCTGGAATAGTGACTTACTGGTATCGTAATACCAACGAAGACGGAATCGTTGCCGAGAACAGAAATGCAGTGGAAACCCTCACTAGCGTATTACATCATGTTAGTGTAGTCTACATGCTGCATGAGGACCAAGGCCTGTAATTATCCACCCAACTTACCCTGAAAAGCAGCGACAGTCGGGCCGCGTCAACTCGGTAAGCTTCTTACAGAGAGCTGCGTGCTTCTCTGGATCTAAACGATAAAAGGTTCGACAAATAGCAAAGCCGGTGGGAATAGCCCGAATGACCTCTCCTGCGACGAGCTTGTGAGACTTTGTGCCTAGACCATCGGCAGCGATGATGATATCAGCAGTGAACCGGAGACCATCCGCAGCAATAGCAGTTCCTGTACGTTGGGAAGCGCTCTCTTCGAAATCGACAATGGTCACGCCAAAAGTCACAGGTATATTTAACCGCCGGCACTGCTGATAAAACATATTGGACAAGCCAGCCCGGCTGACTGAGGTCCTTATCCTCAAGGGCCAGGCAGCATGGTGTGGGACGTCGTCTCGGTTATATTCCGCCTCGAACGGAGGAGCAACAGGCGTACCGTCAGATCTGCGAAAGGTGACGTAGTGGTCCCAACTCACGTTCGAATACTGCTGGAGCATACTCGGATAATATTTCAACGTTGCGAGTGCTGAGGGGCCAACGAAGAAGATGTCGCCTGAATATCTTGTTAGTCTACCAAGCCCCGCCATTGAAGTACTCAGCACGAGCTTTATCTATAGCTAGCACATACCAATCGTTGAAATGGCTTGGCTCCTCTCCACAACCTCAACCTCGTGCCCCTTTCGCCAGCACTCAAGCGCTGCCAGAAGGCCGGCAGGACCGCCGCCAATGATGACCACTTTCAGCCCAGTAGGAGGCCAGCGTAGCACACCATCAACAATTTGTGTCTCATGAGTCGGGCTAGGAACAGGATCATCCTGGCCACCGCGATTGCATCGAGAGTTAGTAGCCATCGTAGAAGGTGATTATTCAAACCGTATGTTGAGGATTAATTGATACAAGCAGAGCGAACCCGTCTCATGTTTATATATGTTAAGCCAACCTTTGTGTGAGAGATTTTCATCGGCATACATGTTCCAAGTGAAGCCGACGGGACGGGCTACAGTTAAAGCCCGAGTTCTAGAAAAGCTAGGTTGATAGGTAGACAGGGGCGCTTTTGGTCTGTTCTTTGTATGGATGCACCCCACTTACTAACGATGTCCCACCGGCCCAATCGTTCCCAGCTCGTAAAACGAGCGGTAATGTAAAAACCATCTCACCAAAGTTTGTCAAAACACGGCATGTGCTTCCGATGACTGGAGCCAGCAGTCAAGTCAATCCATTTTGAATGGCTGGGGACTCCGCCGGGTGAGGAGATGAACAAATGCAATAAGAGGAGATCAAGCGAGTGTACTGGTGCAAGAATGCGTCCTGGAAAAACAGATCACAGCAACCTTGCTGAGTATGCGTGTGAGAATTTGGGGTGGTGGGGTCAGGCGACAAAATTCAAAAAATGATTGACCTTTCCCGTGTGACAGGGTGGCCTATTGCTGGGGGCATAGCGCCAGGAAGCCTATGACAGCGTGAAGTTATGTCATGTAAATTAGGTATACTTAGGAAGCAAGAACAGATATTGATATTTCTACTCACTTTGTTAAATGGGACTACCGTGAGTAAATGTAAGTGTATAAGTAAACATGTTGTTGTGCAGTTATATGGTCATCTCATCGTTCATCTCGCCCAAACTCTAATTTACAGGTAGATATTGTTACACCATCCAACCACTGCCTCCATATTTTCCTTAGAAGACCATACACAGGCGGCCCTTGAGCTGTTTAGAGAGGTAGTGCTCAGCCATCTCGTTGGCTTGGTCAACGCTGTAGGTTTTCTCAATGTATGTCCTGCAGCTGTTCTTGGCGTGCAACTCCAGCATCTCCCGGCTGCGCTCCGGAGTACAGATCAAAGCCCCGCGAATAGTCTGCTCCTTGAAGTTCAGAGCAAAAGGATCAACCTCAAGAGGCCCGTCAGCAGGGAGCCCGACATCGACAAGGACACCTCCCTTGCGCAGGAAATGCTGAGCGAATTTTACGAGGGGGCGGGCCTCAGTGTTGATGACAACGCGGTCGACGCCAGGGTTGGTGTCATAGAACGCAGATTGAAGGTCTTTGACCGTCTTTTCTTGCGCCTCATCGGTATCGATGAGAATAGTGCGGTCGGGCTTGAGGTGTGATGGGACGTCATTGGCCAGATCGAGGGCTTCTTGACGGTTGTCGATTGCGATGACCTTGCAGCCCATTGCCTTGGCGTACTGGACACCCAAGTGACCCAAGCCTCCAATACCAATCATTGCGAGCCATTGGCCCTTCTCAGACTGTGCTGCACAGAGAGCTCCGTAGACTGTAGCACCAGCGCAGAACAACGGCGCAGCCTCAGCCCAAGGAATTGAATCTGGGATCTTGGCTACCACTCGGGCATCGGCCTTCATGTATTGTGCGAAACCACCATCAAGAGTGAGACCGAGCATACCGGTGAGGTTATCGCAGACCTGTTTGCCCTGGTTGCAAGAGTTACACTTGCCGCAGCAGCCATATGTGTTGATAGAGCCGACGTGATCACCGACCTCAAGGCCCTGCTTGCCGGCTTCGGAGCCGAGCTTCACAATAGTACCGGCAGGCTCGTGAGAGCCAACAAGGCCGGGCTTAGCACCAGAGGATTCATAAACTCCCTGTTGTACTTGAAGGTCGGTATGACAGTAGCCTGCGGCGGCGATTTTGACGAGAACATCATTGGGTCCGAGTTCGGTAGGGACCTTGACGTCCTTAACTTCATAGCCCTTGTTGAAGTCCTTGATGGTTGCAGCACGCATCTGCTCGGGGATCTGGCCCGCCATATTGAAAATATATTGATAAGTGTTGGAATAACAGCACCAGCTGGTTGTACGACACGCACGACTCAGGGACACACATCATGGCAGAGGGCACAGACTGGATATTCGGCCCTCGGTTATCCATTGAGGGGATCAAAAGTATATTCATGCCGAACTGACTCAGGGACGTACGAGATCATATATCTTGTGTACGAAAGCCAAGTCTTGTAGTTAGGAAGATAATCACGGAAAATACATCTTTGGTTCACCCTAACTTTAACCCGAGTACGATCGTACAAACGGGTTCTCTCAGGAAGAGAGAATCCATTCAACACTGATCAGTGGTTGCTTGGCAATCCGTGCGATTGCTTTGTGCAATCACAGATTAGCAAGAGTGAAGAGACAAGACTTAGGCTTTACGGCCGGGCTACCGGGTAGTCTTGCACTTCGTGCGAGGCGAGAAATCCTCAGGGATACCTAAGGGGTCACGCTAGAAAGTCTCTTGTGCTAAGAAGCCTTAATCCTACCTATTGTCGCCTGCTAAGCTGAACCGGGTAGATAGGATAAAGACGACTTTTGCTTTACTATCGTACAAGACAGATTCCCGTTGTCGCCTGCTAAGCTGAACCGGACGAGAATCTTTATTGTACTGTACGTAGAGTACAAAGTGTGCGCCACGGCACCAAACAAACCAATTTTGACGTCGTACGATACGAAACGACTACCGAACACAACATGGCTTCCCAAGAGGATCCAGAAGACAATCGTCAAAGCCAATATGACAATATTGATGGATACCTGCCAACGTACGAAGAAATAAGTGCAAGGAGCGAAGTCCCACTGCACACGTGGAAGAAGACTGTGAATCCTAGACGCTGGGGAAATCCAGTCGATATTACACAGGCACCGTCCGAAGAAGAGATGACTACGTACATTGCGTACATCAACATGGAAATGCTTCATCTTAGGCAATCAAAGGAAAACCTGACAATATCACTGTACGAAGATTTTAACGAATGGTCTACCTTCCAATGGGAAAAGGTCTATCGTGCGTTCAGGGCAGAGTTCATACGACTTATTGAGCTAAAGGGATTCCGATTACCGCCAATAAGAAATGTGAATCAACAGCTAGTTGAATTCATCAAGGAGATTGGGAGGAAGTTTGATGAGCAAGAAGAACAGCTTTCTACTCGTACAGCACTTACACCAAGTCGTACGATTACAACAACTCAAACACCTGTTCGAAACCCTGAATCAACTTTACCCCAAAACACAGCTGAACCGACAACAGAGCCAATCGAACCCCCGTACGATACACAGACAACTCAAACATCAATCGTACGAGAGCAGTCACAATCAGCTTCAGGAAACATGCCTCCTGGAACAAGATTCACACAGGAGGTTGAGAGTTTTCCACAAATCCAGGGTCGTACAACACCTTTACATCAAGGAGACAGCATCTATGACCTACCACCAAGACGAATAGTCCAGAATGGATTGTGCGAGCCAACTACAATCTCAATCTTCCAGAAGGGATGGAGAAAGGACAGGAATTATACGGGCAAGCCGTACGATATCCTGTACGACAAGGCAAAGGTCTTTATCAGTTTTTGTCGACGCCTCAGGATCACTGAAGATCAATACCATGCAGTATTTCCTGATATCTTGGCTGATCGTGCGGAAGAGTTTTATCTCCATCACATTGGACCAACAAGGAGATGGGACGAGATGTACAACATGTTAGAAATGCACTTTAACACTAACATCAACCACACTCTCTATTGGACAGATTGGACAAGTCTATCCTTCGCACGAGTCAGACAAGACAATCCAGACAAGAATCTGATGGACGTATTAGAGATACTCTTAGACAAGATACCCCTCGTACAGCGGGCACTTGGCCCAGGTTTTCAGGGGGAGATTATGCTTCGTACGCAAGTCACCCAAGCGTGCAGAGGTGTACTAGAGCTAGAAACTGCTCTAAGCAATCTTAAAGCACATCACACATGCGAGCAATTCTTTTCTAGCCTAAGAGCATCACTACAGGTCGCTTTAGACAGGAAGTCTATGTCGCACGACATCAACTTTGTGGATAGAAGATACTCTAACAACAAGAGTTACCCACGACCATCGTACAATAGACCGTCAGACAACAGAGGATCTTCTCGACAACCTTGGAAAGGTCAACCTTCATCACGACCTAGGTTTAATCGTGCAATATCTAAGAAAAGATGTTTTGTGTGCAAGAAGGAGGGTTGTTGGTCTACGAATCATTCGGACGAAGAACGTAATCGTGCGAAAGACCAATACCTTCAGGCATGCGGTATACTTGAACAAGAACCACAGAGAGATTTTGCCTCGTACCTTCTTGACTTTGAAGGAGAAAACCCAGTGGACGAATCGTGCGATGAGGAGGGAGAATTTACAGGAGATGAAGAGACATCAGCTTTCCTAATGTCTTCTTCATTCTTCCATCGCACGACAGGGGAGGATATCTTTTCATTACCAAAGACGTCAGAGGCCTGTCAATTCTTGTTGCACGATCCTTATATCTCATCGTACCAAGGGGAACTATGGGATACAGGAGCAGCGAAGTTCTCTACCGTAGGGAAACCTCAAGTCCTTGCATACCTACGGGAGAACCCTCGTACGGCAATATCCTGGGGACCAGGATCAGCAAACGTACGATTCGGGGCAAGTGACTCAATCACATCGGTTGGCACTATGGAAATGGAGAATCAGCTTGGAAAGGTTACGTATCACATCCTTGATGCTCCTACTCCGTTCCTGTTTTCATTGTACGATGCAGACAGGTTAGGTGCATATTTCAACAACGTCGACAACGTGATTGTACGGCAGGATGGAAAACCTATCCCAGTCGTACGGAAATGGGGTCACCCATTCTTCAACCTTAGTCGCACAGAGGCCAGCATGTTCTTCACAGAAGGACAACTCCGAAGGCTTCACAGACGATTTGGACATCCTCGTACGGACCGTCTTTACCACCTCCTGAAGAAGGCTGGGCATCACAACATTGACATCAACATTCTAGAAAAGGTCCAGAAGTTTTGCCATCATTGTCAATCGCACGACTCAGCACCGAAGAGGTTTAAGTTCACACTTAAAGACGAAAGCTACTTCAACTATGAGATAGTTGTGGATGTCGTACGACTAAGAGACAAGAACGCCTTACACGTCATCGACACAGAGACAAGCTTCCAAGGAGCCACCTTCCTGAAGTCCTTATCTGCACGAGATACGTGGAATGCACTTTGCAAGTGCTGGATCAGCACGTACGTTGGTCCACCAGACTATATCGTACATGACCCAGGTACAAACTTCGCATCATCAGAATTCAGGAACTATGCCGACATCATGGGCATATCGTGCGAAGAAATGCCAGTAGAAGCCCACTGGGCAGTAGGCAAGATAGAAAGAGCTCACGCTCCTCTGAGGCGTGCGTACGATATCTTGTATGCTGAGCTTAGGCACAACACGGACGAGGAAACCATCCTCCAGATGGCTGTGAAGGCATTGAACGACACAGCTGGTCCGCACGGCATCGTACCTACACTACTTGTCTTTGGTACATATCCAAGGATTAACAAGGACTCACCTCCATCGCCCGAAATCACCCAAAGGGCAGAAGCAATCCAGAAGGCAATGAAAATGCTTCAGAGCATTCGTGCAGAAGTAGAGATCAATCGTGCGATCAACACCAGAAATGGCCCTAACCTCCAGAGCATACTATCACTACCAATCCAGAGTGAGGTTCTAGTATGGAGAGAAAACAAGGGATGGACTGGACCGTACGAAGTCCAGGCTATAGAAGGCCATACGGTGACAGTCAAGATGGTCAATGGTCCTACACAGTTTCGTGCAACACATGTCAAACCATACCATCAAGACACAGCACAGTCAGATTCAGATATCGCACGACCTATTCCTCAGAAACAGCCAAACAAGAGAGGAAGACCAAAGAAAGGCCAGAGAAGGGCTGTACGACAATCACCACGTACCAATCAAGCATTTCTATCTCAGAAAGAAAAAGACCACAAGGAGTTAGCAGAAAAGTTACGGCTTGACAATGTGATTACAACACCAGGTGCTCCATACGAAGAGTCAGACCAAACAGAGATAGACAACCTTATTAACCAGGGAGTCTTCACCTTTGTACCGTACAATCCAAAAGAGCATGACCACCTCCGTATCTACAAGACACGGATGGTACGAGAGATCAAGAACTTGTCATCTAAGCCGTACGAGAAGTCAAGACTCGTCGTACAAGGGTATGGGGACTGGGAGAAAGAAGAACTCTTAACCCAGGCACCTACTATCCAACGGATGAGCCAAAGGCTCATACTTGCGATTGGACCTACCCTTGTGCGAGACTACAAATGCAAAGGGGAACTCAGAGACATAACTCAGGCATATACACAGTCGGACGATCGTCTAACCAGGACAATTATCGCACGACTACCCAAGGAGTTAGAAGACAAATACCCTAAGAACACACTTCTCCATATCTTGAAACCACTATACGGCCTAGCAGAGTCAGGCCTATACTGGTACAAAACCTATTCTGAGCATCACAAGAAAGATCTGAAGATGACAGAGTCAACGTACGATCCATGCTTGCTGTATACAACAGAAGGACCGGATACCTTCGGGATTACAGCTATGCAGACAGACGATACACTTAGCTTTGCTACACTTGCCTTCTCCCAGAGAGAAGAAGAAGAGCTGAGAAGGAAAGGACTTCGTGCGAAACCAAAGACCACCTTATCGCCCAACAGTGAAATTGACTTTAATGGGGGAAAGATTCAATCGCACAATGACCACATTACCTTTACTCAAAAAGGCCAGGCAAAGCACCTGAAACTCGTTGATCCTGATGCGCACGATGCACATCAGCAGTATGTTTCCCAAAGGGCAAGAGGAGCATACCTCGCATCTATCTGTCAACCAGAGGCATCGTACGACCTGTCAACTGCAGCCCAAACTAAGGAGCCTGATAAGAAGGA